CAAAACTGATGGTAATGTGAATTTATCACATCGAGTTCCCATACATTTTGCAAAGCATGTCAACCTTTGCATCGCAAATGACGGAAATCATATAGAAGATGATATTTAATTTTCCAATTGAATAAAATTACATTTCTTGAAAATATGCATTTTTTCTTATGTGTCCACAAGACTTTAGGAACATACTGTGGGTATGCAAGCGTATGCGTATGTGAGAGATTTTTTTTTAAAAACAAGAATACTGACAGTGAGAGTTAGTGTTTTTAAACAAGAATATGTCAAATCACTTCATGAAAATGCAAAGATTATATAATGACACTCCATGAAGTGTCGGTGGTAACAACAGAAATAACAAAGATATATATATATATATATATATATATATATATATATAATATATATATATATATATATATATATATATATATATATATATATATATATATATATATAAAATTAAATTTGCAATGATCACATCTTGTGGCTTTTATCCTCTACAAAATGTCATAAATTCTGAGTCAACTGACAGTTTCCAGTACATCATCAAGAATAGGTACCCCCACTTGGAAAACATAAACTAAAACATTCCCTTTAGTATATTCAACAGCAGAAATGTAAGCCAAGAAAAATGGCTAAATAGTGCACAGATCACTCCCAGTTCTCCCAGTCATCATCCTGCAAAGAAGAAGAAGAAAACAGTTTTTATTAGTGCCAGCAATGTAGAATAGCTGAAGCAAAACTAGCATTTCACAGGATGAAGAATACCCCAAGCAATCTATCATTGTCAACTGAGGTCAGAAAGTTAAAGTTAGTTGCAAATCCTTTACAGGACGTTGCAGAACCAGCCCCAGCATTTTTTGGCTGTCATTGTTTTTTTAGGCAAATGTTATGTTCAGTAGTTTGCAACTGCGTCCTGAATGGTCAGCTCTCAGTACCACTGTCAAAACCAGCGCAAGATAAACCGTCCTTAGCTAGGATTGAACCTGGCACCCCAGCATTATGAAGCGCGTTCGCAACGCCTAAGCCACAGGCGCCGACGAGGTGAGAAAGAGAATTCTTAATAGATGACTTAAAAGTCTTCTTTTGAGTTGGCCCTTAAATTGACAGGTGCCGCGTTGTGTTATGGTTTACAGCCAGGCTATGATACTTGCACTTTTCGGCCCCACATATTTTTATATCCGATATCAGCAAACTCTCAATTAGTCCCCTTTTATGACATGCTTGTTTAGGGAACGCGGATCTACCCCCACACCAGCACAAATAGGGTCCTGCTACCTACATGATGTCTGAAGCTTAGGTGCTGTGAACATGTTTCGTAGCTCCGAGGTGCCAGGTTTGATCCCAGCTGCGGGCAATTTGGCAGCAGACTGCCGTGGGTTGATTTCGAAAGTGGTATCAAGAGCTGACCATCCAATAAACAATGGCAAACAAGTAAATGTGAATTGCCTAGTGAAGTTAAAATTTTTTTTTCAAAGCTGGAGATCAAATGTACTGTAAAGGATATGCAACAAACTTAAAAAAAACATTTTTTTTTAAAACCTACACGGGGAAGTGATTTAAAAAATAACCATGGCATACTGGGCATCACTGATACTATGCATTCCAAAGAAAATATGAAGTAGTAAACACTGAAAACTCCAGTAGCACACTGGGTTGTACACACGTCTACCCTTCCTTCCATATGTCTTTTGTTGCAGAGAATGGACACTTAATTCCAAATTCCTGCAACCTTACACGTGTTGCCTCATCTAAAACTGTGTTCTTCTATCAGCATTCATTCATATATAGCCTTAAAAAATCTAAATTCTTTCAGTCCCAGGAGTTTCAACAGCAGATACCCAAGAAGGCCAAAAGAACAATAAGAAAACATGAGTGTATTAGTTACAAAGTGGAATAGATGAATGGGGCATGAAAAATATCCTTTTCTGTTGTTTTTCAAAAATCATATTTCTTTTGTATATTCAGATATATTTCTTTTGTACATTCAAATATAATATTTCTTTTATATATTCAGATACATTTCTTTTGTATATTCAGACATCAAATTCTTTTGTATATTCAGACATCATATTTCTTTTGAATATTCAGACATCATATTTCTTTTGAATATTCAGACCACATGTAAAGGATACATGAACATACAGAGTGATGTTTTAATACACATGAACAGTAACTGATCAAACGTGGTACATTCCTTGGGACTGAAAGAGTTAAGAGGTATATAGAGCCAATCCTGATGTACATCAATGAATCAAGGACACCCCTTGTGGGTGTTAAGGAGAAACAAGAATAGACCCGCTGCCCCCAAGAATGTCATAAAAGTCATGTAATTAGAGGTGTTTTCTTTAAAGTGGGAGTTCATCTACCTGAGAGGTAAACAACCAACAGAATGCATGCAAATAAGCAAGACCTGTCAAAAGGATGAGCATGCTAAACTCAAGTTCTGGAACAAAACAAGCCCTCTGGAGGTTACATCCGGTGAATGCTGAGAAGATAAGAAGAAGAAGAAGAAGAAGAAGAAGAAGAAGAAGAAGAAGAAGAAGAAGAAGAAGAAGAAGAAGAAGAAGAAGAAGAAGAAGAAGAAGAAGAAGAAGAAGAAAAGAAGAAGAAGAAGAAGAAGAAGAAGAAGAAGAAGAAGAAGAAAGAAGAAGAAGAAAGAAGAAGAAGAAGAAAAAGAAGAAAGAAGAAGAAGAAGAAGAAGAAGAAGAGAAGAAGAAAAGAAGAAGAAGAAGAAAGAAGAGAAGAAGAAGAAGAAGAAGAAGAAGAAGAAGAAGAAGAAGAAGAAGAAGAAGAAGAAGAAGAAGAAGAAGAAGAAGAAGAAGAAGAAGAAGAAGAAGAAGAAGAAGAAGAAAGAAGAAGAAGAAGAAGAAGAAGAAAGAAGAAGAAGAAGAAGAAGAAGAAGAAGAAGAAGAAAAAGAAGAAGAAGAAGAAGAAAAAGAAGAAGAAGAAGAAGAAGAAGAAGAAGAAGAAGAAGAAGAAGAAGAAGAAGAAGAAGAGAGAAGAAGAAGAAGAAGAAGAAGAAGAAGAAGAAGAAGAAGAAGAAGAAGAAGAAGAAGAAGAAGAAGAAGAAGAAGAAGAAGAAGAAGAAGAAGAAGAAGAAGAAGAAGAAAAAGAAGAAGAGAAGAAGAAGAAGAAGAAGAAGAAAAGAAGAAGAAGAAGAAGAAGAAGAAGAAAGAAGAAGAAGAAAGAAGAAAAAGAAGAAAGAAGAAGAAGAAGAAGAAGAAGAAGAAAAAGAAGAAGAAGAAGAAGAAAGAAAGAAGAAGAAGAAGAAGAAGAAGAAGAAGAAGAAGAAGAAGAAGAAGAAGAAGAAGAAGAAGAAGAAGAAGAAGAAGAAGAAGAAGAAGAAGAAGAAGAAGAAGAAGAAGAAGAAGAAGAAGAAGAAGAAGAAGAAGAGAAGAAGAAGAAGAAGAAGAAGAAGAAGAAGAAGAAGAAGAAGAAAGAAGAAGAAGAAGAAGAAGAAGAAGAAGAAGAAGAAGAAGAAGAAGAAGAAGAAGAAGAAGAAGAAGAAGAAGAAGAAAGAAGAAGAAGAAGAAGAAGAAGAAGAAGAAGAAGAAGAAGAAGAAGAAGAAGAAGAAGAAGAAAGAAGAAGAAGAAGAAGAAAAAGAAGAAGAAGAAGAAGAAGAAGAAGAAGAAGAAGAAGAAGAAGAAGAAGAAAAAGAAGAAGAAGAAGAAGAAGAAGAAGAAGAAGAAGAAGAATTTACATCCAGCCAATTCGTGAAAAATTATGTAAAAGCTGCAGAGATGAGGTTTTACAGAAAATGATTAGAATCCCACGGACAGATGACAAGAATGGTCAAGATGTCATGAAAGAAATTAACCCACAAAGAGAAATTAACTGCATCGGGGGGGAAATGATCTACATTCTTTAGGCACAAAGCAAGAAGAGGAAAACTGGAGTATTTCATGACAAGGGAAAAGCTGGAGGAAGAAAGGCAGATGGGACCCAAAAAAAAAGAACATTTTGGTCACTTTAGCCCAAGGGCATAGAAGAAAAAATGACAGTGTATGAGAAAGAAGGCCGCAGACAGACATAATTACCAAGCAAGAACTATAAGAAGAATGGCTAGGAAAGACACCATTTTCTTTATCCACCATTTATTTAATTCTCCAAATATTTTGGGAGAACAGACACAGAAACAAGAATCCAAGTTTCTGTATTTATGCTGCATTAGAAAACTGACACTTACCATATGGGTTCTGGAGTCCCATTTTGGGGATACAAGAACAGACCCACTGCCGCCCCTCCCCCCCTAAAGAATGTCGTAGAAGGCATGTTTCCTTTAAAGTTAACATGCATACCTCTACCTGAGAGGTAAGAAAATCACTGGGGGTATTTATTACTCTGTCCCACATGTCTCGTCAGTCTACTGACTAGACATTGACCTGGCTGCTTTGAGATACCAACCTAAGTGATTTTGTGTGGTACTGTTTTGCTTTATGTATGTGCTGATGAAGGCTGCAGAGCCACAATGTTAACGTTTTTTGTGTTTGTTATATTGTGAAGCTTGCTGATATACTTTTCGTTCAGTTTAAAATCTTTTCTTGAATGCTACGAAGAAGGGGAAGAATATTTCTACGCATACAAGAACCATAAAAGGTAGAAGAAAAAGAAGTACACAAATCATCTGTACTACGTTGTAATCACGCAAATGCTAAATCCTTGTTTTGAGAAAATCCAATCTGAACAATAAGATCACTCTGAAAACTGTGGCAAATATTAAATGTGCAACTGCATGAAAAGTAATTCTTTATTTTGATCTATTTGCTGTAAGAATTCACATATGTCTTTGGCATATTGTGAAATGATAAAATAACAGTGCTGAATAGGCACTAAAGGATAGAACAACTTGGCGTGAGTTGGTTGAGGACCTATGCTCCATTGAGGGCTAGAAAGGCAGAAGAAGAAGAAAAAGAAGAATATACACTGAGGGGAAAATCGCCAAAATCGCATGTAGGTGACTTTGACGTAGTGCCAACAGAATGGGAAAATAAATACTCACTGCTGCATTCAAGTTTTCACTGAGTTGCTTGGCGATGTTTTCAGCAGACTTGAGGTCATCATCTGTTATTTCAATATCAAAATCCTGCTCCCAGTCTTCTTCTAAACCCATTTCTGGAACGAGGTGTAAGAATGCATAATTAGTGCAACACAGTGACTGTACCGATGCTAACTCTGTTGTGTAGTAACACATAGACAGGGTTAATATACGTTATAATATAAATGAATAAAGGAAAATTATATAACGTGAACATTTTGAAAAAAATGCAGTATATGAATAAAAAGTATAATATATGATGAAGAGGTAAAATATATTATATGTGGACGATATATATAAGAATAGGAAAATTATCCATAATAATAGAACAAATACATGACAAATATATATAGCATATGAATGAGAGGAAATATATAATATAATATAATTTAATAAGATATAATATAATATTATATGATATAATATGATATAGTATGATTTAATATGATATAGTATGATATAATATGATATAATATAATATGATATAATATAATATGATATGATATAATATAATATATTATAATATAATATAATATAATATAATATAATATAATATAATATAATATAATATAATATAATATAATATAATATAATATAATATAATATAATATAATATAATATAATATAATATAAGGAAAGTTAAAAAATAAATATGAACAGAACAATTTTACAGACAAAAAATGTATGAACAATAAATACATAGTATATGAATGAAAGGTAAAATATTTTATGTGCAGATGAGGCAAGTATGAAACATATTAACAATAGGTAAAATTCATAATATGTTGTTTATAAAAGCATAAAATATATAAATAGGTAAATTATTTATTTTTCACATTATATAAGTATATGTGAACAGTATGTACAATATTTAATGTGTAGATTACAGATATATTATATAATGTGCGGATTATCAAAGTATTAAATTAAGCATAGGTTATGTTTACAAATAAGTCAAAAATGAGACAGGGAAAAAATGAACCCAAGTTAAGGGAATAATGGATTGCATGTTAGAGAAGCATAAATGAAACAAACATGTAATGGTATAGAAAATATGTTTTTGATTAATTATGAGATTATATATTAAATACAATTTTTAAAATATAACAAAGGATTATATGTCAATGTATATTTAGTATTGTGTGATTTTTTTTTTGTAGTTAAAAATTCAGTTAGGATAATTGTGCATTCCATATAATGTTTAAAAAAAAACATGTGCAATTTTTAAAAATATATAAGCACCATATATTATAGATATTTGAGATAAATAATTAAAACCACAGTGTATGAAATCAAATATTTATAAGGGAAAATCATAGTAAAAAAATAAAAATAAAAATAAAGAGAGATAAAGCAGGAATGAATAAATAAATTAATATTGACACAGGATAGTTTTGGCAAAGGAAATTTTGAAGAAAAAAAAAAAACGTGGTGGAAAAGCATAAATAAAAAAATATATTGGTATTTAGGATTTAAAAAAAAAAAGGGATGTTTTGATTTTTAAAAAAAAAATGCATTTACAAATCACCGCCACATAGTCCCAGAGGGTTATTTTGCCCAGACCATCAGATCAAGATTGAGGATCCATGGCACAACATGCAGTTGGTGTTTTGAAACCAAAGAAGTGAAAACAAAAACCAAACTGTGTTAGTGAACTGAGAAACAAGAGAAAACATGAAATATGTAGATTAAGCACAAATAATAACACTACCAGTATTAAAAATAAAAAAAAAAACTCACTTTTTTGAAGTGCTGGATTTTACAGAGACAACACAGAAACTAAAAGATATTAATCTAAGATTGATTCATCTTTCTACCTCATAATGAATGTTTTAAGCAACAAAACAAGGAAAGAGCCGAACTCTAAACTACCTACAGGATGATAAAAACTAAATATGCATAGTAAGCTGTAATTAACTCTTTAAGTACAGTCAACTGCATCAATCTCACCAGAGTCTGGTGAGATTGATGCAGCTGGGGGTGACGAGAGGTTCTGGCAGATGCTCCAGGCTCAGAGGAAAGGCAAGATGGATGTTTAATCAGAAAGCTACTGGCACCATTAGTATCGGTACTCTTCGCTGGCTGCTGAAGATGGGGACGGAGCGCTTATGGGAATGCCCCGAGTGCGGTGATGTGGGTTCCTGAATCAAATCAATTAACTCCTTGAGCACCAGCCAATACACCAAATGCTTAACTCTTCGTCCATTAAAACCTGGGGAAAAAAGGTCATGAACCCAGATATTCCTGAAAATGTCTTTTAAGAAACTCAACCAGGTCCCTAATAATAATAAAAAAGCCAGAGATAAATCTATATAAATGTAAAATGTCCGTAAAAAATATTTGAAGGGGAATAAACACTAAACATGAACAAAGTGAACAATTAAATGAAATGCAAAAGCTTAGACCTTAAAAAATAAATTATAACACGACCCCATCACTATAAGTCAAGTAAAGGACACTCTTCCATGCCTTTAAGCACATAGGGCTAGACCTATATTTTATAGACCGATTGGCACTTGGTGGGTGATGTGGTAAGCATCGTGCCGGCCCCCTTTACTTCCCAGGACTGCACCTGGTACCCACTTAATGGTGGGTCGACCTGGAAGCCAAGGTTATTTCTGGAAAAAAGTCTGATTCGATCAGGACCCGAACCCACGGCCTTCTGATTTACAGGAAGTCTAGCCACTACACTAAGGCGACTCCAAACTCAATCATGCTACCTCTAAAAGCAAATTATCACAATGACTAAAAAAAGAGAAATTTTTTCAATCCCTATTGCCCCCCCCCCCCCCCCCACCCGCAATCCATCTTGTTAGTAAATATAATCATATCCAGTCCTCCAAAATACTGGAGAGGTGCAACCATAACCAGTGCCATTAACTACGCTTGTCAGGGACCAGCCAATGCAGCAGCAAAGCCGCAGGGATTCGTAACAGACTGCTAAGCTGAATTATCAGTGTTCTCGGTGTGAAAGGGTTAATAGCTTTTCTGCACATCACATGTGTTTCCTATCTTCTTCTGTCCCAAAGATCAGCTTCAGTAATTTTTGTATCTAAACTTTTACTTTAACTCCTTTGATTTCGTGCTTACATTTTCAAACATCTTAATATGCAAAAGACTTTGTTATAGAATATCCTGACGGAGGAACTGCGTGGGAATAAAAGAATAACTATAATCTTCAAAACTTTATGAAATAGTCTTCTTTTTCTTCCTCTTCAGCATTCCGAGCCCTTGAGGTTCATTGCTGCAGATATCACCCGCCTCCACTCATGTCTCTGGTTGGCCTTCTCTTTCCAGTTGGTGACACTAAGTGTTTGCAGGTCTGTCTGGACATTATCTCTCCATGGTCTTCTTGGTCTGCCTCGTGGTCTACGACCATTCATCTCCCTTGAGTATACAGTTTTTACCTCTATGCTATTCTCTCAATATGCCCGTGCCAAATCAACCTGTTAGCTCTCATGAAATAATCTCTCCACATAAACCTTTTGGTTTTAAAAAAAAGTGAATGAAAGAAAAATGTGGCACTAGATCTTGAAAGAAACTGACGCATATAAAGAGAAGCAATTGCCAAATCAGTCTACACTCTTTGGTCATGTCATGAGAAGGAGAAAACTGGAATACATAGTGATGGTGGGAAAGCTGGAGGGGAAAAGAGGCAGAGGGTGGCTGAGAGAGAAGGTGCCGGACAGTCTGACATCATGGCATGGAAGATCATCAGTGTCAAAACTCACTGAAAGTACATGAGACAGAAGACTGTGAATTACATGACTACCAATGCTACATGGCATTGATAATATGAGAAGAAGGTACTGTGGATTGATATAGGAAAAGATATACAAGGAAAGATATAAAGAGGCGATTGAAAATCACTCAGTGTGAACCATCAGAGCAAGAAATGGACAGTTAAAGGTTCAAATCGAGAGGATTGACTTCACTGCACCGAGTTTTATCCCATATGGTTCAGTCTCCTTAAACAGAATGGCTAGTCGCCTGTCGTGAACATCACACAAAGCATGAACTCCCTAGCTCCAGCGACGACTCCCAGGGATCTCCGTAAAAATTACACCCCTGAACTGAATGACACATCCGTAAAACAAACCCACGACCTTAAGTGTGTGAGGCAAATGGCTTGACCACTTGACCCCCGAGACCCACAAAAGAATGTCTTCAACATTAACTGTAAAGATGAAACTGAATTCACTGACTGGTAAAAAATGATGAAAACAATGACTAATAACTAAAGAAAGAGAGTGTCTTGAACACATTTATCTGTATTTTCAGACAGCTAATGCTTCAATATTTTTCAATATCAGGGGTCTCTGTGGCGAAGCAGTCAAGCCATTCACCTTGTGCTCTGAAGTTCGGGGGTAAGTTTCATGGCCGCACCGTTTTTATGGAGATCTCTAGGGATTGATATGTGCTTCCATTATGTCTAGGTGACAGGGCTTTCTTTGGGTACTATCTGGTGATAGTCTTGACATATGCCCAAACCATTTGATCTGCTGTCTCTTGATGAAGTTCAATACTGGTTTCGTCCCCTTGTTTCAAGATATCATCATTTCTGATCCTGTCTCTTCTAGTTAAATAAAAGATTTGCCGAAGACATTTCATTTCTGTTATTCAATTTTTCTTTTATTGTAAATGTCCACGCCTGGCACTGGTAACACAAAGTTGGTAAAAATGCTGTACTGAATAGAGCTCTACTGGTGTCAACTGTTATACATTTGTTCTGCAATAGTGGCGACATTTGTCCAATGATCTGATTTGCTTTATTACATTTGTGTACTACATCTGCTTCCATTTTTTCCATTGAATGATATTAACTCGAATAGGAATAAGTTGAAATAATAAAACTATGGGACATAATGAGTTAAGAGTTATAGGAAAAGGACAGAACAGGTTAAAATAATAAAACTATGGAACATAATGAGTTCAAGTAAAAGGATTAGGACAGAACAAGTTAAAATAATAAAACTAAGGGACATAATGAGTAAGAGCAACAACTGTGGTAAAACTGGTGAAAGTAACAGAAAAAAGGAACTGAACAAGTGAAGACATGGATACCAAGTACACAAAAATTGATAAATATATAGTGCATTGACTGGTACGATAAATTGTTCTGGGGAGCAAAGGTGGCCAGCATGATATTGACCAGATAATATACTGAGTGCACTGGTTAATACGGGTTTATACAATATACACAGCATGCCTCAAAGTATAGATAAGGGTGTGTTAACATTTACAAAACAAAGACATTTAAACATAACTGAGAGGAAAAAAAAAGACTAAATTTAAAATAAAACTAGAAAAACTACCACAACATATTATTTATTGATTACTGATTTAAGAATCTACATCATAGCACACAGGGCATACCCAAAGGCAAATGTCTTAAGGTGTAAATGCTAACTGTTCCCAGGCTGACTCAGCTCTAAATGGGTACCAGATAAAGCCCAAGGAAGTAAAGATGGCCGGTGTGATGTTGACCCCCATCACTCATCAAGAGTTGCATGGTCTATAAAAACAGGATTCTAGCCTCATACACCTGATGCGTCACTGGTGTGCAAAAGGATCTTTACTTTTTACTTTTACGTGAACAGGAGATGGGTACCACCAAGTAGATATCCTGTCTTGTAAGATGGGTACCACCAAGTAGATATCCTGTCTTGTAAGATGGGCACCACCAAGTAGATATCCTGTCTTGTAAGATGGGTACCACCAAGTAGATATCCTGTCTTGTAAGATGGGTACCACCAAGTAGATATCCTGTCTTGTAAGATGGGTACCACCAAGTAGATATCCTGTCTTGTAGAACACTAAATAGCTGGCTTACACTGAGTGTTAATGCTTTCATTATGCCACCTCTATATGAAATGCTTTTTCTTCTTCGCGTTTATCAGCTGTAACTCTGGAAGAAAGTTCTGTTTGTTCATCCATGCCTTGAGTTTGGTCTTGTTTCAGAACCGAGTTTTGCATGCACAACTATTTAATCAAACCTGTTTATTAGCATGCAGACTGTTGGTTCCTCACCTCTCAGACAGATGCACTCAGAAAAACATTCTTAAGAAACACTCCTGACAACCTGGGATCAGAAGTTCTCGATCTGGATAGCAGACCAACAGGACAAGAAGGTATGACACTGAGACTAAAGAATCTCAGTGCTGACGGCAGACCAACACGACCTGACGATCTGACAGTCTGATTACCAGAAGGATAATCAGAATACTATGAGTAATAGTCTGATTAACAGAAGGATAAAGAGTATACTAGGAGTTAACAGTCTGATTAACAGTAGAATAATTAGAATACTACTGAAGAACAAAAACTCATGCAGAATGTCTATAACAAAGTCAGCTTGCTGTCATGTATTGTGGAGAATATTATTTTATTATGGTAATGAGATGCTCATCATCAGATTCAATTATATGATGGCTCGGTTTCCTCTGACGCGGGGTGAGACAGCTAACTGCCTGTGTCATAAGAGGGACAATCAACTTTGATTGGGCACCATGTGAGAAGAGAAAAACTGGAGTATGTCATGGTGATGCTGGAGTATGTCATGGTGATGCTGGAGTATGTCATGGTGATGCTGGAGTATGTCATGGTGATGCTGGAGTATGTCATGGTGATGCTGGGAGTATGTCATGGTGATGCTGGGAGTATGTCATGGTGATGCTGGGAGTATGTCATGGTGATGCTGGAGTATGTCACGGTGATGCTGGAGTATGTCACGGTGATGCTGGAGTATGTCATGGTGATGCTGGAGTATGTCACGGTGATGCTGGAGTATGTCACGGTGATGCTGGAGTATGTCATGGTGATGCTGGAGTATGTCACGGTGATGCTGGTGTATGTCATGGTGATGCTGGAGTATGTCATGGTGATGCTAGAGTATGTCATGGTGATGCTGGAGTATGTCATGGTGATGCTGGAGTATGTCATGGTGATGCTGGAGTATGTCATGGTGATGCTGGAGTATGTCATGGTGATGCTGGTGTATGTCATGGTGATGCTGGAGTATGTCATGGTGATTGCTGGGAGTATGTCACGTTGATGTTGGAGTATGTCATGGTGATGCTGGAGTATGTCATGGTGATGCTGGAGTATGTCATGGTGATGTTGGAGTATGTCATGGTGATGCTGGAGTATGTCATGGTGATGCTGGAGTATGTCAGAGTATGTCATGGTGATGAGAAAGTTGGAGGGTGAGGGAGGCTCAGAGAAACCAAAAGAAAATGTTAGTCTGGCATGACGGCAAGGAGAAATATCTAAGAGACATGGCGGTAATTGTGACAGAAGGTTGTGGAGACATGCTGACCAGTACAATATGGCATGCATTCTAAGACGACGACACGAACCCACCTTTTGTTCCATTGGACTCTGATGACAACGGACTGTCCCGGTCTCCAACTACAACCATGTCTCCCTTGAGTCTCATGCCGATTTCTTTCACTTCTCCTCCTTCTGCAGCATCAGGGAGCAAGACAGATTCCCTTTCTTCAGGAAACTTCTCATCCTGTGATGATAAATCAGCAACTTCTGTCTTTGAATCATCGGGCACCTCCAGAGAAGTAGTTTCTTCTGAGACTGCAATAACAGAACTTTCAGCACTGTTGTCATTGTTCACGCCGACTAATTCGGCAGCCGGAACAACGTCTGTAACAGCAGCCACAGGTTCAGCTGAAGCAGGTCCTGAAATGAACAGATCCCCAGCTTCTTCACAAAATGCTGATTCTACTGACAAATCAGCAGGTTCTTCAACAGCACTTACAGTGGGACTCGACACAGCTTCAACTGGTGCTAGGCAAGGTTCAGCTGGTATTTCAACTGAAGCTGCAGAAACATTAGAAAGTAATTCTGAAGCTTGGTGTGCACTGGCAGGACCTTCAACGTCAACACTTCCACATGCACCTTCAGCCAAGACGACTGGAGATGTGTCATCAGAGACAAGAGAAAAATCACCACTACTGGCAGCTTCTCCTGATACATTACCAGGTTCTCCCTCTTGCATATGTACACTCAAAGAAGACCCCGGCTCAGTAACTGCTGCTTCAATGCATTCAATGTCTTGCTGGGTGTGAGATGCGCTTGCGATGTCACTTGGTATGTGCAGGCTCCACAAATCAGCTGATGGCATCAACTGCAAGTCTTGATGAGTAAACAGCTCAGCAGAAGCATCTTGACCCTCAAGTGAAGCCGCAGGCTCAGGTGAATATCTGGTCGGTACTGTGCTTTTCAGAGTAGCCTCCTCCTTGATTTGTGCAGAACTTGCAGCAACGGCAGAAAGATTAGATTCTACTGTTTGTTTATTTACACTCTTCTCCGTCAACTTGCTGACTTCTAATTGGCAGCCACCAACAGCTGATGGCACTGCATGGGGAAATGAGGATATTTTCTCTGTACTTTTTTCCACCAATACATATTCACGTTTATTTTCAGGCTTTGGCACAGTAGGTGCGGCTGTAGACTGTGTAGGTCGTGGCAATTTCTCCCAATCACTCTGATTGTCCTCTTCATTCCCACTCCAGTCATCATCATCATCATCTGTAATTAACAAATCAAACCACACATTTTTACGAGAAAAAAAAAGGATCAAACTTTATATCAAGCAATCATTTTAATAAGGAAAAGGAAGGGGGGGGGGGGGGAGGGAAGAAATCAAACAACAAACCTGGATTGCTTACCTACTTAAGCTGATGCACAGTTGGGTTATACCGATAAAGGAATCTAAGCACTTAAAGAATGAATGTTCTGATGTGTAGTGAGGGTGATCTGTCAAACAGCTAATCAGAGAGCTCACTGATTATATTCTTGGGAAAGGGTCCTTTGGGAGCTAGTGAACAGTGTGGAGGCACAAAACAGATCATTGCACTTTGAGGAGAATGGTGCTGCGAGAGCACTCAGGAGAATGCTGCAGGTGCTGTGATGTCAACTATTAATCCAACATTCTCTGTGCAGTGCTCTCAGCATGTGAGGAGCCACCATACAGAATAAGAACAAGCCATCTGGAATAAAATCCAGCACCTTTAAATCAAGTTTCATCTTTAAATAGAATGAGTTCCCAGTGTGGGTTGCGGAGCATATTGGGGGGAATAGACACACTGATTTCATAACAAGCATGTCATAAGGGTAGACTAATTAGGAGGTTGCCTTTAAAGTCAGAGTATATCTGCCTCAGAGGCAAGGAACCAACAGTAAGCCAACAAATAAACCAGATCTGTAAAACAGATGTGCACGCAAAACTCAAAGTTCTAGAACAAGAGTAAAGTCTAGTAGTGAAAAAAACCAGAACCTGCCACCAAAATTTATAGCCGGTGAATGCAAAGAAGAAGAACAAGTTAATGAACGTCTGCCCTGTCCATAATTATTTTTTCCACTAACTACTGTGGACACATAAAAATAATAGCAGAAGGCATGGTACCAGGAAGGAGGGGCAGGGGCCGACCAACAAGAAGATGGGCAAAAGGATATAAGTAACTCCTTGAGTGTGAAAGTACATGAGGCGGGAGAGCTGGTGAGAGACCAAGTTTCTTTCAGGCAGACATTGATGAGAGCGATGTTCTGCAAAGGACCTGCTACATGATGATGACTGCGAACTCTGCCAGTCTGTTGGCTCTTTCACCTGGTGTACAACCAAGACAGTTTCTTGAGGTGGGACTTCTGAGTGCATATGCCAGAATGTTTTCAAGCAGCAAGATTCAAACATTAGAAGCTAAAGTAATAAATATGACGGAATGTAATAAAGTAACAAGTGTCTAACATAATTAAAGTAATAAATATGAGACAGTGTATTTGAGTAGCAAGATTCAAGCATTACAAGCTAAAGTAATAAATATGACAAAATGTAATAACATAAGAGTATCACACAGAATGCGTTAAAATAATAGATATGAGACTGTATTTAAGTAGCAAGATTCAAACATTACAAGTTAAAGGAATAAATGACAAAATGTAATAGAGTAACAAGTGTCACACAGAATGCGTTAAAGTAATAAATACGATACAGTGTATTCAAATAACAAGATTTCAAAAAGGAGTTAAAGAAATAAATATATGTTACGTTTGGCGAAAACTAAGAGCATCAACTTCACTGCACTGGGTTATGTCACATATAGTTCTCCCTCTTCTGTAGAAAGGTTAGCTGTTTCCTAATGAGTCTCCATAAAAATTGCACTCGTGAAGCAAACCACGCAGCTGAGAGCCAACCCATGACCTTCAGAGCATGAGGCAAAGAACTGGCCACTTTGCCATAGAGACACCCAATAAATATGATTAAGACAGAATGATTTTAAACAAAATATAATATCTGAGTAACAAAGCTCAAAACAGAATAAGAACGAAATTAATTATCATGCTAATTAAATTTAAAAAAAAAATTATATACAAAAAAAAAAAAAAAAAAGGAATACCATCCCAAGTAAACGAGTCTCCTCTGGCCTCATCTGCCCTCTTCATTAAAGCCTGCTTCCTAGCCTCATCACAATCAAGCTTGTGGACACGATAGAAGTACCGCTGCCAGAACTCCGCATGTGACACTTCCGAAGGTACCTGACAAACACCAGTGGATAAAAAGATAATTAAGGCCTGTTACTGAGCCCATAATAAAGGCACAGATATTGAGAACAAAGTATAGCAAGTAAAAGACCCTTTTCCATGTCTTTAGACACATTGGGCATATAGGGATAGACCTATGTTTTATAGACCTATCGGCATTCGGTGGGTGCTGTGATCAACATCATGACGACTGCCTTTACTTTCCAGAACTTTATCTAGTACCTACGCATAGCTGGGTTGACCTGGGAGACCAAGGTCTTTTTTTTTTTGGAAAAAAAAAGCCCAGCTCCGCCAGGACCCAAACTCACAATCTTCCGATCTTTAGGTGAGCGTCTAAGTCGCTATACTTGCACCACATGCTCTTTCAAAAAAAATAAAAAATTGCAACGGGCTGAAAAGGGGCAAAATATGGCTGGGTAGTGCAAAGGATGATTCTAGCAGGTCTGCAGTCTTACAGACATCCCCCATGCTGAGGAATGGACACCAGTACTTAAAGCATGCAACTGCACGGTGTCCTGTGTCATCACACTTGATAGTATTTGTCAGGAGCAGATTTCTATTGCTGTCAATGCCAGAGTCCCCATGCTTATTGGTGACAATTCAGATGAGGCAGATGTGCCGATCTACAGACAGGTCCATTGTATGAGGACACAAGAGTGCACGGACATTTACAGTTAGCTTTGCTGGCAGAATATTCCAGGAAGCTGATGCTGCCTTGCAGGACGAAGGAGGTGATGGTAGTGGCACAAGCTCTCATGTGGCTGGAATCACAGGACCATTCTCACGTATGTGTATGTGCTTGTGCTGAGTCATTCTATGAGCATGATCCAATGGGTCGAGGCAGGCTTCATACACAGTGGATTAAGTCATTACAAAATTCCACTGGGCATTTAGTTGCTTTCATCATTGCCCGGGTGATATGGATGTTGTTGGAATGAAAGAACTGACAGAATGGCCAGTTCTGCCTTAGCTGCAGATGGCCAGGCTATGGATCACACTGATATTGCTAATACACTTAGAGAGACAGGGTGATTTCAGGATTTTGGTAGCAGCGTGTCCACATCACTGCTAAGAATGTAAGAACTGGGATTGACAAGCCAAACATGAGCGACACATTGGGCGTACAGAGTCTTGTTAACCAGCATAGGCCTGGCACTGTTACCCGCGGGACACTGATGTATAGGTTGAAGGAGGAATCTGAGCACCTATGAACGTGTCCGTGTTGCTGTGAAGATAACCCAACTCATAATTCATAGGCAAATCAGCATTAGTTGATCGATGCTGTCAATATCATGCCGGCAACCTTATGTCCTATAACACTGTCTGACCTTGATGTGAGTTTGTCAAAAGTCTATATGCCAGAAAGCTGCCTGACCTTGATGTGAGTTGGTCAAAAGTCTATGTGCCAGAAAGCTGCCAGACCTTCATGTGAGTTGGTTAAAAGTCTATGTCCCAGAAAGCTGCCTGACCCTGATGTGAGTTGGTTAAAAGTCTATGTCCCAGAAAGCTGCCTGACCCTGATGTGAGTTTGTAAAAAGTCTATGTCACAGAAAGCTGCCTGACCTTGATGTGAGTTGGTTAAAAGTCTATGTCCCAGAAAGCTGCCTGACCTTGATGTGAGTTTGTAAAAAGTCTATGTTCCAGAAAGCTGCCTGACCTTGATGTGAGTTTGTCAAAAGTCTATGTCCCAGAAAGATGCCTGACCTTGATGTGAGTTTGTCAAAAGTCTATGTCCCAGAAAGCTGCCTGACCTTGATGTGAGTTTGTCAAAATTCTATGTTCCAGAAAGCTGCCTGACCTTGATGTGAGTTTGTAAAAAGTCTATGTCCCAGAAAGCTGCCTGACCTTGATGTGAGTTTGTAAAAAGTCTATGTCCCAGAAAGCTGCCTGACCTTGATGTGAGTTTGTCAAAAGTCTATGTCCCAGAAAGCTGCCTAACCCTGATGTGAGTTTGTCAAAAGTCTATGTTCCAGAAAGCTGCCTGACCTTGATGTGAGTTTGTCAAAAGTCTATGTTCCAGAAAGCTGCCTGACCTTGATGTGAGTTGGTCAAAAGTCTATGTTCCAGAAAGCTGCCTGACCTTGATGTGAGTTTGTCAAAAGTCTATGTCCCAGAAAGCTGCCTAACCTTGATGTGAGTTTGTCAAAAGTCTATGTTCCTGAACGCTGCCTGACCTTGATGTGAGTTTGTCAAAAGTCTATGTCCCAGAAAGCTGCCTGACCTTGATGTGAGTTTGTCAAAAGTATATGTTCCTGAACGCTGCCTGACCTTGATGTGAGTTTGTAAAAAGTCTATGTTCCAGAAAGCTGCCTGACCTTGATGTGAGTTTGTCAAAAGTCTATGTCCCAGAAAGCTGCCTGACCCTGATGTGAGTTGGTCAAAAGTCTATGTCCCAGAACGCTGCATGACCTTGATGTGAGTTGGTCAAAAGTCTATGTGCCAGAAAGCCTTCAGACCTTTATGTGAGTTGGTCAAAAGTCTATGTTCCAGAAAGCTGCCTGACCTTGATGTGAGTTTGTCAAAAGTATATGTCCCACTGGGAGGTGAAAGGCACAGGAAGTCAAACAGTCATGACCCAGTTAGAATGCAAGGAAAAAACATATGTAAAAACAAAATTTTTGTATACAGGTCACAAATATATTCATTAAAAATGCATTTATTTATATTTTAAAATTATTATTCAAAATGTACAAAGATATATGAAACTGAGTAATCAATACACATGAACCGGGTGAAACATTAAATGCAATACATCCCCTGGTGTCTAAAAAAAAAGAAAAGTGACATTTAAGTGAAATTGGACCTAATCAGAAGCGGTGTCAGTTTTTCAGCATCTCATCCATACTTTAAGCTCAAATAAAGCATTCTGAGTTAAAATATAATAAAGTTAAATTAAGCAATCATTCACACAAAAAGAGGTCTTCCTTACCAGTCTGGTATAAAGAGCTCGAACTTCCACCTTTGAAACCAGCAACTCGGAAATCTCCCCCTTGTGCTGATCAATATTAAAGCTCTGTAGCCACATCTGAAACTGTTCAGGTGGGCCATCTGGAGGGTCCATGTAAGTGCTTGCATCCAGCTGAATAGCGTGCAGCCGAGCCTGAATGGCAAATGTTCAGATACAGTGGTTATATGCAAAATACATATTTTGTAATAATAATAATAGCTGGGCTGCCACATAAAGGTCTACCATGGCTATGTTGACTAATGAAACCATATCCGTAGCATATGCCACACAGCATGAGATATAAGAAGATGAATCAATCGATCAGTTTGTCCCCTCTGGACTTACACCTTGAGGTTTACCACAAATATGATGACTAATGCCACCATATCCCAAGCACATGACACATAGTATAAGCTATAAGAAGATCAATCAATCCATCCATCAGTTTGTCTCCTCTGGGCTTCCACCTTGAAGTTTACCACAGCTATGATGACTAATGCCACCATATCCGTAGCATATGCCATACAGTATAAGATATAAGAAGATCAATCAATCCATGTTTGTCCCCTCTGGGCTTTCACCTTTAGGTTCATCGCTATGATGTCCAATGCCACCATATTTGTAGCACATGCCACACAGCATGAGATATAAGAAGTTCAATCAATCGATCAGTCTGTCCCCTCCAGACTGCTACCTGAAGGTTTACAATACCAACCTAACATTAAAAAATCTCACTCAATCTGGATGGCAGACCAACAAAGCAGATCTCTGATACCCTGTTTAACCCCTAAAAAAATTCTAATTGGGGCAGCCATAATGGTAACTCCAGCCAGGATCTGCAGTCCTATACAGGTGAGGATGAATGCAAGAAGCCATACAGACTGTTCCTGGGGTCCATTGTGGGGAAAACAAGAACAGACGATCTGCTTCTCCATCAGGCATGTCGTAGGAGGTGACTAAGTGGGGGCATCCTTCAAAGTTGGGATACATCTGCGTGAGAGGCAAGGAGCCAACAGTCAGCATACAAATAAGCAAGATCCGTAAAACGGATGCACATGAAACACTCAGGTCCTGGAGCAAAGTCAAGGTCCAGAAAGTGGACGAACAACCAGGTCTTTCCGCTGGGGTTTACAGCCGGCTAACGCAAACAACACACCTGCCATCAATGCACCTTTCCTTGAACACTGAACTTACCTATTGCAAAGTAAACAAGAACAGACCCTGAGCCTCCCCAACAAGCATGCTGTAGGGGTTGACCTAACTGGGGGCATCCTTCGAAGTTGAATACATCTGCCTGACAGGCAAGGAGCCAAGAGTCTGCATAGAAATAAGCCAGATCGGTTAAAAAAAGGTGGAACACTCAGGTTCCGGAACATGACTAAAGTCTGGAGGTGGACGAACACCCAGAACTTTCTGATGGAGTTTACAGGGAAAAGAAATGACTGAACTAAGGGATGTTACTTCCAATATTACCTTTCCTCTATCATAGAGTCCACTACCATCTGCTGCAACCGTCACAGGAATGTAGTCATCATCGGGAGGGATCACCAGAGCTCTGGATATGTTGTCCAAAAAGGAAGTCAGGCCAGCTTTTACTCTGTTGGTTGCACTAGCTGTGTTTTCATTCTGCAGTCAATGACAAAATAAAATACAGGTTTATTTGAACATCAAGTAATGGAATGTGAATCACGCCCTTCTACAATGTCTACTGCATTATACAATGGATTCATTCATTTCTGTTTTTCTCCCATTACAGTTTTTCACATGATAATATACATAAAAATATAGCATGTACAATAGAAACGATAATATGAAAAATAGGTGGATAAGAATTCTTTTTCTTTGGCTGCTAAAACTAAATTTATTATGTTATTTTTCATGTTCACTGAAATAAATAAGTAATGTAAAGAAAGAAAAAAACCACTCAAAAAAAAAAAAAAACAGCAATTAATAAAAAAGGTCAATAATCAACGTTGGTATGGTCAATAATATGGCAACCACATTTGCTTCCAAAAACATTTTCAGGCACCAATTATAAGGCTGAGATAACAAGAGAGTCCACTTTAAAATTCTGTATCAATGGCCGATTTAAAGCTATGACCACACAAGCACACTAGTCACTGTATCATCATAGCTGAGAGCTTACTGATGACCTATGATATGTAACTAAGAGTGATGGTAGAAAACAATTGGATAGTGGAATAATCCCTCACACTAAAATCTTAGTTTAACCACCCTTGTTCAGAGATTCCTTTGTCATCTCTATTGCTTGTCCAGTGTTGTGTCTATGAATGTATGTGTGTGTGTGTGTGACTACATATATGTGTTGTGTGTCTATGTATTCTGTGTCTGTGAATATGTGTTGCATCAGTGTGTGTGTGCTGACAGTATATGTGCCTCCATGAGTGCAAGTGTGTTTGAGTGTGTGTGTTTATGCCTGTTCCACTACCTCGAGTGTGTCTGTAGTGTGTGTGTACCTTTGCAAGTATATCTGAAGGTATGAATTTGTCATCCATGCTTCTGTATTTTTAATTTACATTTTCATACTATGAATATTTTGATATATTAACACAATATGCTTGATTTATAACACACAATTGCCGTGTGAACAATCAGTGTTCAGAAGTCTAAAAGGGGCACTTAAAATGTCTGCCAAATCATGTAACATGGTAGAGTAGGTAGTTACTCTCTTCCACAATTGCCATCTGGGGATTTAACCCATCAAGGATGAGAATAAGTCAAGTACGAATCCGAGAAACCAGTTAAAAAATAGTAATACTGTTTTATGGCACCCGACAGTTACGTAACCTGCAGTCCAGTCTGCTGGGAATAAAAACAATAACTCTTGTAGAGGCTATATGATTTCTGCAAAATTATTGTTATTGCTGTCAGGTGGGCCGCTAAACAATGTTCCCTGTTCTGGAGGGCCGCTAAACAATTTCCCCTGTTCTGGTGGGCCGTTAAAAAAATCAAACAATATCCCCTGTTCAGGTGGGCCGCTAAACAATATCCCCTGTTCGGGTCGGCCGCTAAACAATATCCCCTGTTCGGATGGGCCGAAAAACTATTTCCTCTGGTTTAGTTAGCCATGGGTGTCAATTCTGTTTGTTTTGTTAGCTGTCAGGTGGGCTGCTAAACAATGTCCACTGTTCTGGAGGGCCGCTAAACAATTTCCCCTGTTCTGGTGGGCCGTTAAACAAAATAAAACAATATCCCCTGTTCGGGTGGGCCGCTAAACAATATCCCCTGTTCGGGTGGGCCGCTAAACAATATCCCCTGTTCGGGTGGGCCGAAAAACTATTTCCTCTGGTTTAGTTAGCCATGGGTGTAAAAAGGCAGAGAAACACTGCTTTAGATCATAGAAATTAGATCATAAGAAACTCCACTAATGCAGGGTTCTAGGGCCCTAAAACAAGAATAGAACCACTGCCACCCCAACAATCATGTTGAAAGAGTCGACTCAATGGGAGCTTCCTTTGAATCAGAATGCATCTGCTTGAGAGGCAAGGAACCAACAGTGTACACAAAAAAAGTAAAATCTGTACAACGGATATGCATGCAACACTCAGGTTTTGGAACAAGGCTAAAGTCCAGAGGTGGACAAACAACTAGAACTTTCTGCTGGAGTTTACAGCTGGTAAACATAAAGAAGAAGAAGAAGACTAATGCAGTAATCATTCACACCCAAATGCAAGATTAACCCCTTACATTCAGAGATTCCTTTGTTATCTCCACTGCCCGTTCAGTGTCCCGGTGGATAGTGCAGGTAAACTCTGCTAGGTCCTTCTTTACAATCTCCAGCGCTGTACTGGACTGTGCATGGAAAACCCAAACAAGTTACCTTCACTAATAAAATATCAAATGTAAAACATGCATTTTCTAGACAACAGTAATTCTTCTTCTTTCGTTCACTCCAAATAAATTATCTACATCTGCAATGTTGTCTCTAGTATGAACTTCACTATCTGCTGTAATTCACTCAGCGACCCATACAGTTTGGCTTGTACAGGTGGTTTTCTTGGTCAAAAGTTAAGCCTTGATATGCTGTATTTGGGATGGTCTTGGAGGACGTGATGTGTTGTCTCAGGTGCCAATCCACATGTACACATGGCCGATACACCAATCTTAAATTTAGTCTGTTCTAAGGCGTAGAATAATGACTTGCTCTGGACAGTAGCAATAATAAACATCTTTCAATAGAATCAATACAAAAATTATTCACCCTCACTGGACTGCATGTTACATCTGGCTGGTATGGCCATTAAACAAAAAGTTAGCTGCGGTATCCTTTACAGGATGTTGCAGAACCAATCCCAGCATTTTTGGGCTGTTGTGGTTTTTCTAGGCAAATTTTTATGTCAAGTAGTTTGCCACTTCTTTCTGACGGTCGGCTCTTGGTACCACTGTTAAAACCAACGCAACACAAACCGTTCGCAGGTAGGGTCGAACGGTATAGCCAGGTGTCCTATTTATAACTTCTCTGAGGCTGAGTGGGATATTCAGGATGTGCCCTGTTGGTCTGCCGTCCAGACTGAGATTCTGTGAGTTATGATTTGGTTTATCTTCATTGCACTCCAGGCACGTACATAGGTGCTCAGATTCCCCCTTCAACATATACATCAGCATCCCGCGGTTGATAGACTTCTCGTGCATCCTGTGTGCTTCTCGTGCCTGGCTGTGCCAATATTTATTCCCAATTTTTGCACGCTTAGCAGAGATATCGAAGTGTTGCTTCCAAAATGCTCTGTACGTCCTACCTCTCTAATGACGTTAACAATGTTGGCATGATCCATTGGCCAGCCCTCTATAACTAGGGCAGAGCCAGCTAATCTGTCGGCTCTTTCATTGCCAACAACACCCGCATACCTTGGATTCTGTATCTCAAGATGTCAGGCAGCAGCCAGCAGAGGGAAAACGGCATTCACACACACACACTGCAAACTTAGATAATAACTGTTCAGATAATTTCTGATTAATGCAATCTTTCTTTGTCAGTTCAGACTAGAAACAGAATTCTTAAAAGCTATATAAATGATATCTTGGTATATGGAAGTGAATCATGGACAGTTAGTAAATTAGTGAAAACATATTTAAAAGCTGCGGAGATGTGGTTTTATAGACGAATGATGAGAATACCCTGGACAGATAAAAAGAGTAATGATAACGTCTTGGAAGAAACTGACTCACAAAGAGAACTGATTGCCCACATTAGAAAGAGACAATCTACATTCTTTGGTCATGGGATGAGAATGAGAAAACTGAAGTACATCGTGAATGTAGGAAAGTTGGAGGGAAGAGAGGTAGAGGGAGATTGAGAGAACAGATGCTAGACGACTTGACACCATTGCAAGGAGTGTCATCTGAGTCAGAGTTGATTGAAAGTACATGAGCAGAAGGTTGTGGATAGACATGACTATCAATGCCATACCTTATGGACTTTAGGAAGAAGGAGATAGTATTTGCCATGTGGAGTTGGTCATCATCTTCAGACCACACAGCCTTCTGTCTCATTTGCTGCGGGTAATTTTTTATATAAAGTTCCTCCACGTCGTTTGGGTTTAAACAACAGATCAACATCATGGCACAAGAGTAGTAACCCATAAGTGCTCTGTTCTAATTCTTAATCGAGGGTGAAGAATCTCAGCGCTGTGCACAAACTCTGTAGCAACGGCACGGATCCTAAAATACTTTGGGTAGATTTTAAACTCTAAATTATGCCTGGGCTGCGCCATGAGGGTACTTTTTTTTATTTCCAGCTGCCAAGAGATTTTTTTACTTGTGCAACCATACATATGGGCATCCGATCTTACTACCCAGAGCAAAGGGGATATTAATAGAAGTCCACGTGAAAAAATCCATCCTTCACTAGGGCCTGAACCCAGGACCTCCAGCACTTTTATCCAAAGCCTTCTGTCCTTTGCACTCTCAATAATTTCTTCTTCAATGCTGTTCTTAAAAAAAAAAAAAAACCTGTTGTGTAAGGTCTCATATGCTGCCGGTCATTTTTTATATAGAGTTTCTCTGTGTCATTGAGCTTTGGTCCTTACTACAATGATGAAAAATTGGCCATCACACTTTTATCCACAACCTTCTGTCCTGTGTACTCTCAATAATTTCTTACATAGTTGCTCTTCAATGCTGTTCTAAAATGAAGAAAAAAAAATTCTGATGTAAATATTCTTCAATGCTGCATGGTATTCACCTCATATTATGTCTGCCATTTTTCTGTTTTGTACATGGCCAATAATCTCTGACACCGATTTTAGTCTTTGTCATAAATGCCAAACTGTCTCCTGATATCCTCCTTATCTTTCTTCCCCTCCAACTTTATCATTACATAACAACAGAGTTTTTGTGTTTTACAAAATAATCCAAAATACTTATGGATTACCTCCTGTTTAAAAAAAAAAATGAATCTCACAACTGTTTCCAAACATTCAATATCATATTCGCCATCCCTTGAGATATATCCTTTCTATTTTCGTAATAAATGACCTAAAACCATTTCCTGTGATAAATGTATAATATATAATACCGTCACTGTTCATTACCTTTTCCTTGGCAGTTTGGACCCATCCTCCCAGCCAGCTCTCCCAGCTATTGTTATTTGCACTCTCACTGCTGTACATTAAAAGACAGTCTCATTTTAGTGGGGAAACAAATCTTATATATATACAATTATAACCTAGTAATGACAATACACTTGTTCCTCTTCTTGTGTTAATTTTCTGCTTTACACTGACAGACAAGTTCTTGTGATAAACTGAGGGGTACCAGAAAAGTTCAGACACTTTGATGATGTGTTAACTCAAAGTTAGGACACTTTGATGATGTATTAACTAAAGTTTAACTAAATTTTTCAAAATTTTCCCCAAACATGAGAATCCCTGAGTTTTCGGGAAAGTCCAACATTATAGGGGTGTTAGGGTTAGTCAGTGTCCATTTCAAACCTAACTTCCCTATAACACTGGACTTTTTTGGGGTAAATACAAAAGAATCCAGATTTCTTTAGTATGTTCTGACCAAATGTTAAAAGTAAGAGAGCACACTATACTATGAAGGAAATTCAAGGTTTAAGAGTCGATCACACATCAGGCACTGCTTAAGAGTGAAAGAGTTAACTCTTTCGAGTCCCAGGGGGTTTAGCATCACAGGCCCAAGGGGGTAGTAAATAAAGTCATAAAATCGGTGCATCATGCGTTCATTGGGCTTCTAGGTAGGAAGCCATGAACGTATGATGCGTTCCTTGGGACTCAAAGAGTTAAAGAAGGTGAGTGCAGAATAGCAAAATATCTTTGTCAAATGATGTGAGAAAGTGAAGGAATGAGCAAACAAACTGTATTTTTCAGAGGGTCAAGAATTGGGTGTGTATTCCTGTCTCAACACAAAGTGCCCAAAAAGTGTCTTTTACACTAGCGTCTAAACAAAATGTATACAAAGAAAGTGCTGGTACTGTGTACCATTGCATACCACCAGAAAAAAGTCCTGGCAGAAGCATACAACACAGATGAATATGGACAGAAATGTCGACCAAAGCCACGGATGACGGACTATTTGATAAAATACTTAGGAAATCAGCTGCAAAACTAAGATGAAGCTATTACTATTAAACAAGCAGATTAAAATCAACAGGCAGTTATTTTGTTTTTAAAGGAGACATTGGCAAATTACTGAATGTAAATTTGCCTAGAAAAACCACAACAGCCAAAAAATGCTGGGGTTGGTTCTGCAATATCCCGTAAAGAATACACAACTAACTTTTTTTAAGGAGACATTACTGGGGAAAGAGTAAAGAAAAAAGTACAGTACTCTTTTCTTTGTCTCGATGTGTATTTGACAGTTAAGTTAAGTCAAGAATTTACATCACAGTACTCGGGGCATTCCAATGTGTGCTTTGTCCTCATCTTCAGCAGCCAGCGCAGAGTTCAAATACTGATGATACCGGTCACAATCTGGTTATATGTCCATCTTGCCTTTCCTCTGAGTGTAGTGAGCCAGCCAGACACTCTGGTTACAGCCAGGTGCCTCATTCTCTCCAGGCCATAATAATCTTGTTTCTCTACTGATTCTGTTGCTTGTTCCCAAAGGGCCTTGACCACATCTGCCTTGTTATGTATCAAATCACCACCAAGTGATGCAGATCCAGCCAATCTGTCTGCCTGTTCATTACCCACTATGCCGGCATTGCCTGGAGAAAAGATCCAATGTATGCTCACTACCCGTGACCTTCCCAGTGAAGCTTTGCCGCTCTGCTCGAAGCATCCCTGTCTTCACTTTTCTCAGCATGCTTTCAGAGACAGATGATGCTAGACCCAGGTTTTTACAGATTAAAAAGCATCATCCTATAGTGCATTGTATACCTCTATTGACACCTGAAGCAATAAAAGAGGAAATGAAGAAGAAAAAGAATAAGCAATATATACCCAAAACGCCTTTAGGGAGACAACATGGTCTTTTAGTTTTAGTTTATCATTTTACCCTACAAAATAAGGGAGTTGAATTGTATGTTTTTAGAACAAACATAGGGAGCAGTCAAACTTTGAAGAAGTGACAACGTAAGTTCTAACTTTAGTATTAGTATGAGCCACCTTTTTTTTGGGGTCTCCTCTGAACTTCTACCCGATATTATGGCGGCCAAGCAAATAGCCTTAACAGGGCCTCAGTCGTGTGTCAAATGCGGACTTTCTGCCAAGGAACAAATCGCGGCAAAACTAGGATCGGCTCCGAATAACGAAACAAATGCTCTAACAGGGTCTCAGCGATATGTTAATTGCAGACCTGTTTCTGTGACTATGCCGCACCGTCGACAGTGGCAGCGCAGATGGGGGAGGGGGGCTAAACTAGATGGCTGGGACTCACTAGCAGCAGCTACCGCATCTCCTGCAACTTCCTCTAATTTATTTGCTCGTGAGTCGGCGGTGAATTAAACACCCGTTTTGCGCATGTCGAAAAGTGTGAGGACAATAACGACGCTAATCTGCGTCAAAGCGCGTGGTCTCCCTGTCATGTGGCTAATATCGTCTGTAATGTTGCGTGTCTCGAAATTGTCAATGGTCGCTATTATCATCTGGCACTATCGTCTGTAAGGTTGCGTCTCTTGAAATTGTAAAGTAATCCTAGTTTTGCCGCGATTTGTTCCTTGGCAGAAAGTCCGCATTTTAAACACGACTGAAGCCCTGTTAGGTAGGGAGAGTCTCTTTTTTTAATGAGCTAATCATTTAAATGCCAGTTTTAGTTTTAGGTTTTAAAGTAAGCTGACAATTTCAGTAGTTTCGTCAACTGAGTAACAGAGCGAACGTTGACACATTTTTATATGAATGAAAGTCTGACTTTATACTGACAGACTAGGAGCATCATAAATAATCTTACTAAGAATCTAGAATTTAGAATCGGTCAGTCAGTCCATTGTGATTGTTGACTAGGACTGACTGAGTATTCATTCAATTGTTGTGACTTTCTCAGGTTCCAAGTATACTTTCTTAAATAAAATAAACAACATGCTAACCACATATATATGTATAGATTATACTTCATAAAGTTAAAATAAACGAAAAAACCGTAAACGAGCATACAAAAACAATAACCCAGCAATAAAAACTGTCAACAAATCGCCCAGTCTCTCTTACCTTTCCGCCATGTTTGTTTGTTATGATTTGGCGCAAGGAGGGCTGCCGAAATTGTTTTGGAATAGGATCTATTTTTGTTTTATTGTTGAAAAGGTTCCAAATTTTTGATTAAAATAGTGCCAATTAATGACCGGCCACCAACACGTAGTATTCTATTCGTTATTGTCACCAGCCGCGGATATCATCTATTCTATATTCCCCAATGTGAGCGCTTTTAAGGCCCAAAAACATGCATAACTGGTCCTAACCCCAACCCCCATACCCTATAGCCTCAGCCTACGTCCCACGACTACATTCAACCTAGGTCGTACGACTGCATGCAGCGTATATTATAAGCTGCATGCAGTCGTGGGACGTAGGTTGCACTCTCTGCGGGAAGTAAGACGTTTGCGAGAACCAAGTGATGACTGTGAATCTGCAACTATGACCAGACTGCAAGTTAAAAGGGGTGTCGCTAGACAAGAGCACTATGCAGGAAACAGAAGAAATAAGAAACCAATACAGATCAGGTGTAGTCAGCCGCTACACGCTGCGGGTTTTGCTGAGCATGGAATCCAAACACTTATGGACTAGATGGTTCAATGTACAATGAGGATAATTAATCTGTCAACTAATTGAAACAAAATTGAAATTGAGAAATTATGTCAGTAGTACACTTGCCTCAACAATTAACCTTTGCACCCTCCCAATCACTTTAAAAAAAAAGATTCAGCAAAATGACAAAATTTAAATATTGATGCAACGTTTCTAAAACGTACCAAAACATCTTTTGTGGTATCAAAAGTACAGTTTTCCTAGGCAAAGGTCAAATAGTACTGAATGTGTATCAAAATACCAACTTCGGCAGCCCTGGGTGCAAGTCTCACTTTGTGTTAGTCACTAACTGAAAGAACTCGACCGTGACAGTTTATATACAGTTAACAGCTACAGCCAGTTCGCACATAATTTTATTGAAATAAAGTGCCTGGCAATATGAAACAGGTGATTTGTTTTTGTTTTCTCAATTTTTGGTTCAGAGCTATTATTAGGGGAGGCGACTGTAAAAATTGTCACGAGCTTTTCCGTCGTCATCCTCCTCAAAGCTGGAACATTGTAACGATTGTTGTAAGTTGATCTCTTGGTATGTTATCTTCCTCAAACCTGGAACATTGTAACGATTGTTGTAAGTTGATCTCTTGGTCTGTTATCCTCCTCAAACCTGGAACATTGTAACGATTGTTGTAAGTTGATCTCTTGGTCTGTTATCCTCCTCAAACCTGGAACATTGTAACGATTGTTGTAAGTTGATCTCTTGGTCTGTTATCTTCCTCAAACCTGGAACATTGTAACGATTGTTGTAAGTTGATCTCTTGGTCTGTTATCCTCCTCAAACCTGAAACATTGTAACGATTGTTGTAAGTTGATCTCTTGGTCTGTTAGCCTCCTCAAATGATCTCTTGGTCTGTTATTCTCCTCAAACCTGGAACATTGGAACGATTGTTGTGAGTTGATCTCTTGGTCTGTTATCCTCCTCAAACCTGGAACATTGTAATGATTGTTGTCAGTTGATCTCTTGGTCTGTTATCTTCCTCAAACCTGGAACATTGTAACGATTGTTGTAAGTTGATCTCTTGGTCTGTTATCCTCCTCAAACCTTGAACATTGTAACGATTGTTGTAAGTTGATCTTTTGGTCTGTTATCCTCCTCAAACCTGGAACATTGTAACGATTGTTGTGAGTTGATCTCTTGGTCTGTTATCCTCCTCAAATGATCTCTTGGTCTGTTATCTTCCTCAAACCTGGAACATTGTAATGATTGTTGTAAGTTGATCTCTTGGTCTGTTATCCTCCTCAAACATGGAACATTGTAATGATTGTTGTAAGTTGATCTCTTGGTCTGTTATCCTCCTCAAACCTGGAACATTGTAACGATTGTTGTGAGTTGATCTCTTGGTCTGTTATCCTCCTCAAATGATCTCTTGGTCTGTTATCCTCCTCAAACCTGGAACATTGTAACGATTGTTGTGAGTTGATCTCTTGGTCTGTTATCCTCCTCAAATGATCTCTTGGTCTGTTATCCTCCTCAAATGATCTCTTGGTCTGTTATCCTCCTCAAACCTGGAACATTGTAACGATTGTTGTGAGTTGATCTCTTGGTCTGTTATCCTCCTCAAATGATCTCTTGGTCTGTTATCCTCCTCAAACCTGGAACATTGTAACGATTGTTGTGAGTTGATCTCTTGGTCTGTTATCCTCCTCAAATGATCTCTTGGTCTGTTATCCTCCTCAAACCTGGAACGTTGTAACGATTGTTGTGAGTTGATCTCTTGGTCTGTTATCCTCCTCAAACCTGGAACATTGTAACGATTGTTGTAAGTTGATCTCTTGGTCTGTTATTCTCCCCAAACCTGAAACATTGTAACGATTGTTGTAAGTTGATCTCTTGGTCTGTTATCCTCCTCAAACCTGGAACATTGAAATGATTGTTGTAAGTAAAGTTGATCTTTTGGTCTGTTATCCTCCTCAAACCTGGAACATTGAAATGATTGTTGTAAGTAAAGTTGATCTTTTGGTCTGTGTTTGATAGTTTTAGCGATAAATGTCTAGTAGCTTCTACAATACATGCTTCTGCATCTTTGTAGCTAGGTCTGCTATATAATAATATAGTACAGCAGCCTTCAACGGCTTATACAAAACACACTGAAGGGAACAGTTGGAAGCAAGAGATAGAGATTAGAGTCATTGACAAAGTGAGAGGACAGTCACAACGTCAGCAAACATTCCAACAACGATCAACTGAGAGTGTGCATTCCTTGCGAACGACAAGGCCTTTTTCTTATTTTCTCTACTCCTAGAATGCCTCACAGCATCAGGGCAGGTAGACATCTCTGGAACGGGCTCTTCTGTTCGCTTTGCATAAAGTACTTTCCAGTGTCTTGGATATTTTTGCCGTCCATAAGGAGTGTGATTGATTTAGATACATTGCAGGCCTTTCACTTGTGGAGACGGCACCTGATTGATTTAGCTACCATACGTCTCAAACGACAGGCGATCACATAATTCATGATACTTGAGTAGATTTGATTATTAGTTGCTGACTGACTAGCTGCTATTATGTCTAACATCATGTAATCTTTGGCTTTAATTCTCTACATTTTAGACTCAGTATTTTTATTTCTCCCTTAAGAGTAGATGGAAATTAATTACAAATGTGTAACATCATCATCATCCTTATTTTCTGTTACATGTCATACCATAAGGCTCACAGTCCATTCTTTGATTCTATTCTGTCCTGTGTGTTTATTTCAAATTAGTGTCATAGATGGAATCCACTCTGACACCTTTAACCTCTCTCATCAGTGTTCGTCTTATGGTTTTTTTTGGATGTCCTCAAATATAATATAAAAATACATTTTTGTACTATGGTGTGTCATTATTTAATCCCCATGACCATTTTTGTTTCATTGTTTGGGAGAGGGAAAGTCCACTCAGCTCTGTTTGGTGATCACAGTTGCATTTGTTGTGGTTTGAATGTATTCCTCTGTATGTTATTATTGTTTGAATGTATTTCTTTGTATGTTGCTGTTAATTGAATGTATTTCTTTGTATGTTGCTGTTGTTTGAATGTATTTCTTTGTATGTTGCTGTTGTTTGAATGTATTTCTTTGTATGTTGCTGTTAATTGAATGTATTTCTTTGTATGTTGCTGTTGTTTGAATGTATTTCTTTGTATGTTGCTGTTGTTTGAATGTATTTCTTGTATGTTGCTCTTGTTTGAATGTGTTTCTTTGTATGTTGCTGTTAATTGAATGTATTTCTTGTATGTTGCTGGTGTTTGAATGTATTTCTTTGTATGTTGCTGTTGTTTGAATGTATTTCTTTGTATGTTGCTGTTGTTTGAATGTATTTCTTTGTATGTTGCTGTTAATTGAATGTGTTTCTTTGAATGTTGCTGTTAATTGAATGTATTTCTTTGTATGTTGCTGTTGTTTGAATGTAGTTCTTTGTATGTTGCTGTTGTTTGAATGTATTTCTTTGTATGTTGCTCTTGTTTGAATGTATTTCTTTGTATGTTGCTGTTAATTGAATGTATTTCTTTGTATGTTGCTGTTAATTGAATGTATTTCTTTGTATGTTGCTGTTGTTTGAATGTGTTTCTTTGTATGTTGCTGTTGTTTGAATGTATTTCTTTGTATGTTGCTGTTAATTGACTGTATTTAGCTGTATTTTGCTGTTAATTTAATGTATTTCTTTGTATGTTGCTGTTGATTGAATGTATTTCTTTGTATGTTGCTCTTGTTTGAATGTATTTCTTTGTATGTTGCTGTTAATTGAATGTATTTCTTTGTATGTTGCTGTTAATTGACTGTATTTAGCTGTATTTTGCTGTTAATTTAATGTATTTCTTTGTATGTTGCTGTTGATTGAATGTATTTCTCTGTATGTTGCCGCTGATTGAATGTATTTCTCTGTATTTGGATGTTTGCATGCATTTCTCTAGATGTTGCCATTTATATGTAATTCTCTGTGTTGCTGTTGTTTGAATGTATTTCTCTGTGTGTTGCAGTTATTTGAATGTTTTTTTTTTGGGTGTGTTTTGCAGTTATTTGAATGTTTTTCTCTGAAAGTAAATTTTTGAACATTAATTTAATGTTTCAACCATTTCCTGTTCTGTTAATTTCTAGCAGATGTAAGTTGAATTTGTTGGCTGGTTGTGAATCCCTTGGAAGACTGTTTTAACAAAGCAAGTGCATCGCCATTAGAAGAACACTGTGAAACCAGCATACAGTTCAGTAAACAGCAACACATGAGATGGTTTGGCTGTGTGATGAGCATGCCCTGTTGCTAACTGCCACAGAGAGCCATGCTAAAGAAATGAAATGAATAAGGAGAAAATGAAAGACCACTTAAAAGAAGGAATGAGGCATTAAGAACAACCTTAAAGAAACTATGATCAACAAGTACAGTGCATTAGAATGAGCAAACAGATGATCCTTATTTCTCCCATCACTTCGATGAGATAACTGAAGGAAGAGAAGAAGAAGAAGAAATACATTGTTATACAGGTCGTCTAAGCCTAGAAAAAGCTGACTGAATGACTGACTTTCTACCCCACTAGGACATCACACAAGCGACAAACACCCGATGACACAAAGTGCCACCATGTGGATGAGGATCACCGTGGGGAGGTCCCAGAAACTGCGTTCAGATAATTGGCCATAGTGATGGCCTGCCTATATTGCGGCCCCTGGCAAAAGCCAGAGTGGGGCTTCAAATAACAAATAATTACGACCTAAGAAGGACGTAAGGAATAAAACATTGCCAAGAAAAAGCCTTGTATCTGTTGTAATGAGGTAGTGTAGAGACTTTACTCCTGACCTGATACCAAAATAACATCACTGTGGAGACTTTTGCGTAACATGCCTTAGCCTCTCCAAGCCCATGAACTAGCAAACTTTACAAGACAGGAGGTACTGGAACTTCACACCTATAAAGACGCATAAAAGGATATAATCTTATATGGTTTCTGGGGCTCCATTTTGGGGAGGGAGGAGTGGGGGAGAAGAATAGATCCACTGACTGCTCCCTCTCCATTTTCATCAGGCATGTTGGAAAAATGACTTTAAAAGGGTTTGTTGAAATTTGGCTAAAAGGTGCAAATATCACAGCCTAGTTGTGAGAAAGTATTGTGTATTAGTGAGTGAGAATGTGGGTGTGTGAGAGACAGACAGAAAGACTGACAGACACTTGGACAATTCACAGTGACTGAGTTAAGTACCTCTAGTCACTTCGTCATTTTCGTCTATTCTATGTCAGACTACATTGAGAGGAAAATTTAATGTCAGACTGCATAGATAGGGCAAGAAACACACACACATAGTGAAGTGAATTAGAAGGAAACAAAAAATAGAAGACTTGGACAATTCAGAGTGGCTCAGTTAAGTACCTCTAGTCACTTCAGCATCGTTTTCTTCTCTTTTATGTCAGACTACATAGAATGGAAAAAAAAACATACACACAGTGAAGTGCAGTGAAGTGAACTAGAAGAGGCAGAAATGAATAATCTGGGGATGACCTGGGTGCAGCTGCAGTAGATAGCAAATGATGACTGGTGTTAGTTTTGTGTGTGAGCCTATAGGGGTGCTGAAACTGTTGGACAATCACCTTAAGACCCCCCCCCCCCCCCCCCGCCCTTCCCTTCCATATAGTCTGGTGAATGCTACACACAGTAAGATGTATGTTAAACACTTCTGGAAGCTATCTAGATAGAGTGAGACACATTTTATAAACCTATGAATGTTACTTATATTGAGAGCTATACAAGCTAATTCAATAGACTTCAGGGGCCATAATAATAATTTACAATGAGAAATCTGGTCTCGTGAGGTTTTTAAAAAATAAAAGCACCCCCGAACACACGTATGCATTATCTCTCTCTGGTTCTAAAAAAATTTAAGGGGGGGGGGGGGGGGGGGGGGGGGGGGGGGGGCCTAAGCCTCCCCAAAACTCTTAGTATTATGTCACAAATTTTATTATATTTATTTGTCATTCAAATAATAATATTACTTACTTACTTACTTAGTCGCTCCTCTTCTACCTTGGGGTGCAGAGGTTTGCCAGAGAGATCGCCAGACGTCTCTATCAGCAGTTTTCTTTCTGGCTTTGTTCCATTCCAGTCCTCTGTCAGTTAGGGACTGTCGGATGTTGTCTTCCCAGCACACCCTGGGTCATCTCGGAGGTCTGGTTCCCTGGTTCTTAGCCTCCCATGCTTGCCATGGTGGCCGATTTTCTCCCATTCTGCATACATGTCCAAACCATCGTAACTGTGACTGATCTACTCGGGTTAGTAAGGGCTGGGTATCAAGATCTTGACGTATTGTCTGATTGCGGACTTTGTCCCTTCTTGTCACTTGGACCACCTTTCTCAGGTATCTCATTTCCGAGGCCTGCAGCTGGCTTCTGTGAGCTGTTGTCATTGCCCATGACTCACACCCATAGGTCAGGACTGGTACATAGGTAGAGCGGTAAACAGTCATTTTCGTCCTCTTGCCAATTTCTCTTTTGCTAAGAAACCCTCGGTTTATGGCCTGGAAGAGTTTCCCAGCAGCTGCTTTTCGTGTAGTTAGCTCAGTCTTAATGCCTCCATTTTTGTCTAATACAACTCCAATGTATTTGAACTGGTTAACCTGCTCCAACACATACTGACCCATCATGATCTGGTGTTTCTTCTCCTCTCTTGAGATCACCATGGTTTTAGTTTTGGAGACACTGATGGTCATCCCTTTCTTTTCAAGCTCTTTCTTCCAGACAAGTAAGTTGGACTGAAGGTGTGCCTCTGATTTAGCTATCAGGGCCACATCGTCTGCAAAAGCCAGCTCTGATATACAGATTGGTCTCATCTTCCAGTACCCTACAGAGTACTTCTTTGTCTTCTCCTTACAGGTCTTGATGACATCATCCATCATAAGAATTAAGAGGTAAGGTGAGAGAATATCACCTTGTCTAACACCGCTGGCAGTCTTGAATTCTTGACTTTTGGTCTGCTGTTCTTACATAATTTCTGCACTTTTTGTAGAAACTCTGTATTGCACTGATCAGGGGTGCTGGGATGTTTTTCCCTGCCAAGCAGTCCCAGAGCTTGTTCCAGGGTACCTTGTCAAATGCCTTTTCCAGATCCAAAAAACATAAGTGCATCTCACTCTTATATTCCAGGGCTTTTTCACTCATCTGTCTCAGTGTGAAGATAAGGTCTTGAGTACTTCGGTTTGCTCTGAAGCCGCATTGGGCCTCGTCCAGCTGTGGCTCTACCAGACTTCTAAGTCTCTGCTCAAGAATTCTAGAGTAACTTTTACCGGGAACGCTGAGGAGGGATATGCCTCTGTGGTTTTCCAAATAATAATATTAATAACTATTATTATTGTTGTACACTTAAGCAAGGCTGAAGCCTATTGAGACCTCCACACTCTCTAGTAAAGTATATGGGATCTTAAACCCCCATCCTCCTCACTCTTCCATGTTTTATTTGTGTCTGTGTCCCTCAACGCCTATAGAAGAAAAAGAACAGAACAAGAAGAGAAGGATTGCATAGTACAGAATGCTTTGATGATTTTGGTAACAAACAACTTTTAAATACATCCTACAGATAGCAGGATAAGACTGATGTAAATGTCAGTCAGGACCAAACAGAAATGGAAGATGACAACTACTATATCTCATTGTGCAAAAATCCCATACGGTTTGAGCCTTTCAGCAAATCCAACAACGTCTTCTTTGATGATGCCAATAAACAGGTAGTGTATGAGTTTCATGAATTTGTTTCGTATATATTTGTGATGTTGTCAGGCTGACTGGTTCTGCTTTTTATTTGGTTTGTTATCTTTTCAGGAGTGTCATGAAATTGTTTCGTATATATTTGTGATGTTGTCAAGCTGACTTGTTCTGCTTTTTATTTGGTTTATCTTTTTAGGAGTTTCATGAAGGACACACTCAACAGCTTCTCTTCTTCTCCTCTTCCTAATATTTTAGTGTAGTCATTTCAGAGTTAAGTATTTGCGAGTATGTGTTGTGTTTTGTTTCTTGGCATTGTTTTGCTGATAAAGAGTAATTGCTGCCGCATCCTCTGTTAGTTCATTGTAACATTATAATGTTGATGTAAACTTTATGTTTTTCTCACCATTGTCTATCTCTTCTCTTCCCATTGTCCTGTCTCTTTTGTGTTTATTGTAATAGGTTTTGTAATACTGATATAAACTTTATGTTTTTTATTACCATTCTTACTATCTATCTCTTCACATCCCTGTCTTTTCCTATCTTTTTTTCCCCATACTTTTTTTTCCAGTTATCTCAAAGTGTTGGAAGGAGGGATGGCGGTGGGGAGATAATGTAAGGAATCCTTAATGTGCTCTTTCTAATCAATTGTATACTCTGATCTTAATTTCTTTAAGGCTGTTCTTTGATGTTATAATTTCATCCTTTATGTCATCTTCCTGTGTTCATTATGTTTCTTCTGCATGGCGGTTCTAGGGCACTCTCGTCAGACTGTCTCAGCTGTACTTGAATGTACTATGTGACTGCTTTCATTCCCAGTCTTCTCCTAATTTCTTTGTTTTGAATTTTATCCTTTCTATATAAAAGTGTCGTAGAGCGAACAGAACATCATGGTCTAGAAAGAGTTAAGTGAATGACCAGAGAATATGGTAGACACTCGGTGCTCACAGGAAAGGCAAGAAAAATATCATATATTATCAGACTATCAGAACTATTTTTTGGCCAACACTATGCTATCAATGCCAAACGTGGACACTTACATCCAATGAACGTACAATTTTGACAACAGAGATAAAATGCTTTAGAAGAGCTGCAGGAGTTTAAAGGAAAGACAGAATACAAAATTGTGAAATCAGACGAATGCTAGGAATAAAGCCAGTCTTACAGGTAATCAAAGAACAACAAATGAAGTGGTTTGGACACCTAACAAGAATGCCCTGGGACTATCTGCCACAGTGAGCCACACTAAAATGCTACAACGGGTATAGAGCGATTATAAGACCTTGGAAAAGATGGGGTAATGGCATTAAGAACAGCCTTACAGAAATGAACATCAGTCTTAATGGCGCTCTTGACAGAGGCCCCCTCCCCCCTCACCCCCCAGACACTACGATGAGGTACAAGGTGGAAGAGAAGAAGAAGATCAGACTACAACTGACACCAATAATATTGCAACCACTTAAGAAGGGTATAGAGCAGTTATGAAAGTGACCTGGTTTTGATGATGTTGATTAAATAACGGTTAACTCTTAGCTGCAAAATTCAACCAATCTTGAACAGCTGTTCAAGGATGAGATGAAATAGGTCAGAAGAAGAAGTAATCCACTTTATGATGGTCATCATTGACAAACTACGCAGTTTCTGTAGAAAAATATGTGATGTGTGTGTTAAACCAAAAACAAAATGTAAGTTGTGTGACATGAGTCAGGTTAACCAAAGATGTTTGGGGGGTCTCCGGGGCGTAGTGGTCAAGCTGTTTGCCTCACACTCTGAAGGTAGTGGGTTCGTTTCACAGCTGCGTAATTTGGTTCATGAGTGCAGTTTTTATGGAGATACCTGGGGATCAACACAGGAGCTACGGATCTCCTGATTTGTGTTATGCTGTCTGCAGGCGGCAAGCCGTTCTGTGATAGAGAGACTGAGCCATATGGGATAAAACCTAGTGTGATGTAGTTAATCCTGTCACCTTTAATCAAAGATTCTAAAGCTATGGGATGTGGCTGGCCAAGTGGTTAGAACTTTGGGCTTTTATACCTGAGACCCAAGTTCAGTCTTCTGTAAGGGATGGAGCTTTTGTTGTTGTTGTCAGAGGCAAAATCAAAATTTTTACTTGCCCAGTTTGTGATGATACATTAGCCATGCAGATTTAAAACATCAGGATCACCCCCACATCTATTCCCTGTCCTATTTAATTAAAAGCGGTAAATAATAGCAGTCAAGAAGACAGTTGTAGCTATTGTTCAGGAAGTACACTGAAATGATGTCTCGTATACTCACTTAGATAAAAAAAAAAGTAACAGTAAGTATTTGACAACTTTTACACATGAAATGTAATGGGTATATTATAACAGTGAAGGGCTTTTTTTTCATGCATTTTGGGCATATGGTGTATCACTGGGTAGATAATGTGGTCATTACTTATTCATTACAGATTTAATGAGAATACCCTGGACAGGTAAAAAAAAAAGTAATGAAGACATCATGAAAGAAACTGACTTACTAAAAGAACTGATTGCCCACATTAGAAAGACACAATCTACATTCTTTGGTCATGTGATGAGAAGGAGAAAACCAAAGTACATCGTGACAGTAGGAAAGTTGGAGGGGAAGAGAGGCAGAGGAGGACCAAGAGAACATATGCTGGACAGGTTGAAATCATGGCATGGAGGATCATTTGTATCAGTTCCCCGTGTGGGTTCCGGGGCCACATTGTGGGGAAAACAAGAATAGACCCACTGCCTCCCCAAAAAACATGTCGTAAGAGTCGACTAATTGGGGAGCTTCCTTTAAAGTTGGAGTGCATCTGCCGGAGAGGCATGGAACCAACAGTCTGTATTCAAGAGAATGAGATCTGTAAAACTGATGCACACGCAACACTCAGGTTCTGGAGCAGGACTGCAGTTCAGTAGTGGACGAACAACCAGAACCTTCCTCCAGAGTTTACAGCTGCTGAACGCGAAGAAGAAAGAAGAAGATTTGTATCAGTTGACTGAAAGTAAATGAGAAGAAGCTTGTGGATGGACATGACTACCAATGCCACATGGCTTGGACTCGAGAAGAAGATCTGTTCTCATTATAATTGACAAATTTTCTGGTAGCTTAGCAAACAACACACTTATATTCAAATTCTGCTTGCAGTAGTTCTGGGCTGCTAGGTTGATTCAGCTCAAGATATGTATCAAGAACATGCTGGGAAGTAAAGATGGACATCATTAGGAATTTTTTCTAAACAAGTGCCAGTGCTTACCACAAAATGCCTAAAATGATGCCTCAATTCACCACAAAGTTTCTATTACAGGAGTGACGAATAAATGTCTGGCTGAAAATAGGCAGTGTTGCTGCGTACTTTAACAGAAAATTAGTAACCATGGAGATAAGATGTTTGAGAAGGGCTACATAGATTGACCAGAAGAGATAAATTCAGAAGGACTGCAGGAGTGACCATTAAAGATAAAATCAGAAGTATGCTAGATAGGCACAGAACCAATTATAAATTACATACAAAGACAGCAAATAAAAGGGTTTGCCCATTTTGAGAGAATACCTGCTGACATCATACCTTACAAAGCATACGCTAAAAAACCCAGAAAAAGGACGTAAAACATGGGGTAGACCAAGAACAAGTTGGAAAGACAACATCAGAGAAACTCTTCAGCAGCAGTCAGAAGAGCAAGAAACAGAACCTTTTATTTCCCTCAACACCTGAAAAGGTGAAAGAGGACGTGAAAAAAGATGAAGAAGAACTGTGTACCATTTGTGCATAGCCAGACAAAAGGCAGCAACTAGGCATCGTGGTATAGACCACATCCCTGACTGCCATTTAAGTTAATAAAACATGTCAGACTAGCCCCACATAACCAGTATGCCTCAAGACAGGAAAAATGGGACTTTATTTTTGTATCTGGTCTTCTTCTTTTGCATTTGCCCTTAAAGGGGTAGATGGCACATTTTATTGTGGTTTACAGTTAGGCTATGATATCTGCATCATTCGTCCAGCATAGCTGATTTCAGCGAATTCTTAATTAGTCGCCTTTTATGATATACTTATTACTGGGCAGTGAGTATCCTTTTCTCCTTAACATTGGGTTCTGCAACCCACATGGAGAGCTTTTTGTCTAGTAAGTAGTAAGTAAGTTGTACCCCACCAGGACATCACACAAGCGAAAAACACCCGGTGACACAAGGTGTCACCATGTGGATGAGGATCAACTGTGGAGAGGTCCCAGAAACTCTTTTCAACCGTGAGGATATATTTAGGGCTCCCAGCAAAAGCCAGAGTGATTCTTCAAAATAACATAAAAATTGCATCCCACAAGGGAACAATAGTATTTTTATTTTGTCTAGTAAAACACACACATATCCAGTGCTTTCATTACTAGATGACAGTTAAATTAAATATAAATCAACACATGATGCATTTCTTGGTACTGAAAAAGTTAAAGCAGAGAATAAAATCAATGTTACAGTTTCGATGCAGAGGGAAAGAAAAATATATTGAAGACTTCTTTTTTTGGTACATAATAAATGCTGTGTCTTGACTATGGATCAGGAATACAGTTTGTTTTATTTCTGTAATTTCGTTAGCGTATTGTCTTTCTTCTTGTAGTCCTATTCTCATGTTAATATTCATCTTCTTTTTGAAGAAGCTTTGTTTCTTTTTAATTACAAGTATTTTTTTTTTAATATCTCAGGTATTTGCAGTTAGATGTGGAGGTGCCATGGGTGTTATTATGAAAGGACCAGAGGAGAAAGTTTGTGTCTCTTTTAGGTAATGTGTTTGTATTGAATGTAGCATAATTTCGCTGTATGTTACCACATATTGTCATCAGATTAGTGGATACGATAAATTTATGTCACCCCAAACAGAGGGAACCCCGCAATCCCCACTCCACTTCCCTATTCTAGCTGTGTTATATGTTGGGTTGAAGTCAGCATTTATTACATCTTCAATCCTCACTGTGTTTTTTTTCCACCTCTTTGGAAGTGGCGCTCACTCTTAATTCGTGACTTTGCCGTGAATTTCCTTGACCTGTCAGCATTGATGCATGACAAACAAAGCAACACTCAAAAGACTACAAGAACTTCAGGTCAAAAGAGATGTCGATTAACATGAACACTATACAGGTAGCCACAGAAGAATAGTAAACCAGCACAGAACTGATGTTATCGGTCGCCACATGCTGGGGGATATACTAAAGATGAGATCCGAGCGCTTATGGGCTTGTCTGATGTATAGTTAAAATAATCTTTTGATTAACCAACTAAGCAGGGCAGAGTTGCTTTTCTGCAGCAGCATGGCATCTTGCATTCATCCGGATGCTGCTCCAAGAATCATCTCATGGTACTGTCCGACAGTCAGGCTTGTTGGAGATACTGGCATTTCATCTGTCGAGAAGACATCAGGGTGAGGCAAGGCACACGGCTGCAGTGCTCACATCTGTCTCCCTTACAGACATGTCATTCTTTTTGTGTGTACTGCTGGTCTCAAGAGTTGACAAGCATTCCATTTTGCCAGTTGGAGTAAGGGATGTCGGTGGCAGCAACAGGTGATTGGAGCTTTAACCTATGGGAGGTTTGTGTGGACACACTGCTTTATGTCCTCTTGCAGTGATCAGAGGACCCGATACCACTGTTGAGATAGATGAGCATGTTCACAAGGTGAGAAAATCAGGTGGGATGAGTTTCTCCACAACAGTGGGTATTTGGCGGCATCTCTCTTAAGATCTGCAAACCTTGTAAAACTATAGAAATGTCAGCTTGTGGGTAACCAGCAGTATATAATTGATACTATTAGCCCGTCCATTTTCCAAGATGACCCTTTTACACTCCCCTCCCCCCAAGATATCCCCAATTCTAATCCCCCCTACACGATTGCACATAGAGTTCGTTCACACAACATCACACATATAGTTATTCACACAAAGCGCAGCAGTTTGTGAAAAATTTTGCATCCACAAAAGTTTTTCCGCCCGGTGCACATGCACACTTTTCTGCACATTGTGTGAGCACTTAACAAAGTCATGTCATGACACCCCCAGAATAGTGGACTGTACCAGGATTCCAGGGTTCCCTTTCTTTAGGGTGACATAAAGTGATTTTACTGATTATTTAAAACAGGTGAAAGCTGCAGAAATGTGGTTCTGTAGAAGAATTCTGGGACTAAATTTTGGGGGAGGAAATAATAGACCCACTGTCATCCTAACAAGCATGTTGCATCAGGTGACTAATTAAGAATGTTTGCTTCAAAGTTGGAGTGCATGTGCCTGAGAGGCAAGGAAATCACATATCTGTAAAAATCTGTAAAAGCCAGATCTGTAAAAATGGATATGCATGTAAAACTCTGGAACAGAACTAAAGTACAGAAGTGGAGAGTAACCAGAACTTTCCGCTGGAGTTTACAGAAGGTGAATAATAAAAAGCAGAAAAAAATGTCTTGAAATAATTTAATTCAGAAAGGGAGAAGGGATAGAAAGGAAGGGAGGGCATGATATTCATAGAGAGAGTGAGAGCAAGAAGGTGAAAGAAGCTAATCTGGCTTAGTGAATTGCTTAAGTTATTAACAGATATGCTTAATTTGTGAATTCATTTATTTACCATAGTATTGTAATGCTGATATGCTTTTTGACTGTAGCTTAGGGATTATTAAGACGCTTTGTACTTCCAAAATATCTGATTGAGCTGCACACAGTTTGGCAGCAAACAATGCTTTGCATTGATTTTGACAGTGGGATTAAGTGCTGTCCCATCAGAAAGCAGTGGCTGAACTTCTTATAATCCATGCACTGTGGCTTTGCTAGTTATGTCTATCTACAACCTTTGGTCTCATGTACTGTCAGTTAGTATTGAGGCAGATGAAATTCCATGCCATGATGTCAAACTGTCCAGTATCTTGGCTGTTGGTTTCCCTCTGCTTCTTTTCCCCTTCATCTTTCCCACCACCATGATTTACTCTAAGTTTTCTCCTTTTCCTGACCTGATCAAAAAATGTGTATTGTCTCAACTCAAATTAGTGAACATAAATTGCCTAGAAAAACCCAAATAGCCACACACATCCAAAAGTATAATAAATGCTGATGTAGGTTCTGAAGTGTTCTTTAATGGATACACAGCTAACTTCTTCTTCTTCTTCTCCCTTTTCTTCTTCTTCTTCTCCTTTTTCTTCTTCTTCTTCTCCTTTGGTTCAGTTTCGTATGCTCTGGTCAGACCATCGAGTGGGTTGCCTCTGTGAACTCGCATGTCATCTGCAGGTCCTTCATTGTTCTGCATAGCTTGCTCTGCACACTTTTCGCCTAAGGCCAGGTTTCTTTTCAAAGATGTAAGCAGAGTGGGCAGGTCTGCAGAATGGGCTCAGGTGTTTGTGGTCCTCTCTGACTGGCACACTGTGGGGACTGTGCAATCTTTATTTTATACATGTGGAAGTTGAACCTGCAGTAGACGGAAAATTGTTGTATGTTGCTTTCTGTTGAGTCTGCTGATTTGGTCTTGTTGATGCTTACTGTTGGCTTGTTCTCTCCGCAATTCCTTGTGTGGGCAACTAACTAATTTTATGGAAACAGTGTACTTTACTTGCTGTCTTCTTCTCCTCCTCCTCCTCTGCCTACCCCCTCTGCTCCTCCTTCTCTTTCCTTCTTCTGCATTTACCCTTAAAAAAAGGCAGTAGGTGCATTGTGTTATGGTTTACAGTTAGGCTGCGGTATTCAGTCTTTAAATTTTAGCATTATTGTGTAATTTATCTTCATATCATATGGAAAATGACAAGTTTCATTTGTATCTCTACAGGATGGAAGATCGAGGTGAAATTGTGTCAATCAAATTTTCACCAGATAAAAGAATCCTAGCAGCGCAACGTTATCTCAAGTCTGTGGTATGTTATTCACATTAATAAACAGAGGAGAACCCTTGAGGCTGTAAAATATTATATATGTAATAAACAAACCGTGTATTGATTGGCAGTCATTCAAAATCAAAGTGACCTCTATATTTGATTTACACAGTGTTTTGTTGCAGATTGACTAGAACTTTAATTTGAGAGAGCCAGGTAGAGGCGAGAGAGAGAGAGAGAGAGCGAGGGAGAGAGAGAGATAAAGCATATATATGTTTGGGAGTGCATTTATAAAAAAAATTTTAAAAAACCTCACTAGACCAGATTTCTCATTGTAAATTATCGTTACTGGCAACTAAAGTCTATTAAATTAGCTTGTATGGATTTCGATATTTGCATCATTCATAGGTTTATAAAACATGTCTCACTCTGGAGAAGTTAGATATAACTTCCAGAATTGTATAACATACACCTCACTGTATGTAGCATTCACCAGATTGTAACACACATCTCACTGTGTGTTGCATTCATCAGACTGTATGTAACATACGTCTTACTTTTACTAAGTAATTTTACAGTTTATAACATATGCCTTATTCTTTCCAAGCAGTTTCTAGAAGTTTGTAACATATATCTCACTGTAAGTGGCATTTATCAGATTGTAGAGAGAATACCCTGGACAGATAAAAAGAGTATTGAAGATGTCTTGAAAGAAATTGGCTCACAAAGAACTGATTGCTCACATCAGAAAGAGACAATCTGCATTCTTTGGTCATGTCATGAGGAGAAAAACTGGAGTACATTGTGAAAGTTGGAGGGGGAGGGGGGGTGGAGGCAGAGGCAAAGGGAGACCGAGAGAGAAGATGATGGACATCATTGCATGGAGTGTCATCTGTGTCAGAGTTGATTGAAAGTACATAAGACAGAAGGTTGTAGATAGACATAACTACCAACGCCACACAGCATGGATGTTAGGAAGAAAACAAAATCTCTGTATATCTCAGTATTCTTCTGAAGCTTGTAACATAAATCTCATTGTATATAAGGTTTGTTAATATACACCTCACTGCATCCAAGTTATCTTCGAGGTTTTGAGGTTTTGAACAACGGATCAACATTATGGCCCACAGGTAATAACCAATAAGTGCTCCGTTCTTCTAACTCAAGTCTGAGTCCGAAGAAGCTCAGCACACTGCTCAGGCTCTGTAGATCTTGCGAGGATCCTGAAATATTTTGGGTAGATTTTTAACCACATGAAAAAATACCAGCTCTTACCGGGGATTGAACCTGGAACCTCTAGCACTCTAGGCAGACACCATGCCTCGAGACCACCCAGCCCCCTAAGTTATCTTCAAAAGTATTTAAGTAGTTTTCAGAATTGTGTAACATCTCATTGTATATAAGTAACATTCTTATTCTAAAAGTTAATTTTTTGTTTTGCTTTTTGTTTGGCCAGGAATTTCTAAACTTTCAAGAGGATCTCACTACCGATCAACAAGAATATTCTCAGGCATGTAAAGTAAGTTTTTCTTGTTTCTTGAAACAAGATTCAACTTAACTGGTCTATGCTGAATGTCTGCTCTTGAGTATTTTTTCATTGTTCTGCTTCTTCTTCTTCTTCTTCTTCTTCTTCGTGTTCACCAGCTGTTAACTCTAGCAGAAAGTTCTGGTTGTTCATTCACTTTTGGACTGCAGTTCTGTTCCAGAACCTGAGTGTTGCCTGTGCATCGGTTTTACAGATTTACTCATTTGTATGCAGACTACTGGTTCCTTGCCTCTCAGGCAGATGCACTCCGACTTCGAAGGAAGCTCCTAATTAGTGGACTCTTATGACGTGCTTTTGGGTAGGCAGTGGGTCTGTTCTTGTTTTCCCTATAATAGGGCCTGAAACCCACACGGGGAGTTCTGCTTCTTAATAGCGAATTGTTACTTTTTAAATTTTCTCCTTTCTTCTTTCTGAAGACTAACAGCATGTAAAAATTCACAGAAAATATGTGAAAATTAGAATGTTTGAAAACTCTCATAGTGTATGAAAACTCAATGCAATTGATGAAAACTCAAAGAGATAATATCTGAAAATTTAAAGAGAGTATTTAAAACTGCAAACATTATAGTGCACATTCACAATGTATAGTAGATAATGTACATAAACAAAACATGGCACTAAACATGAGTAAATTCTTCTTGTTCTAAGAGCTATTAATGACTGAAATATCACTGCATTTTGTATTATGTTATAAACATACAAATTCAGAGAAACATACAGTTTTATGTACAGAGAGCTGGAACATGTTTAGATTAAAATTCCTTCATATTTATTATTCATTTTAAATTGTTGCAGGGTTGAGCTGTATGAATTGGGGTGTTTGTGTGATTTGTTAAGGCTTATGTAAAATTATTGTAGGTTAAGCTATGTAAATTGGAGGGTGTATGAATTATTAAAGTTAATGTAAAATTGATGCAGTAAAGCTGGACAAGTATTGGGACAGCTAGAGGCCCTCTTACAGCATAAGGCAATCCCAATCAGCACAAAGAGACATCACATACAAAGCATATTCATTCCCACCCTATGCTACCAGTGCCAGATGTGGTCACTCACAACAAAACATAAAAGAAAATTAGTAACCATGGAAATTAGGTGTCTGAGAAGGAATGTAGGAGTGACCAGAAGAGGTAAAATCAGGATTTAGGTCATACGAGATAAAGTTGGCACAGAACCAATTCTAAATTACGTAGAAAGACAGCAAATCAAATGTTTTGTACACTTGGAGAGAATGCCTTCTGATGCTATACCATTCAAGGCATATACCACAAGAGGAGAGGGACGCAGAGCAAGATGTAGACCAAGAATAAGATGGAAGGATAACATCAGAGAAACTCTACATGTGTCTTTGGTTAAAGGATCCAGAAAAGCACGAAGCAGGACCTTATATCTCCCTCAACACATAAAGTGATAAAACAGGACTTAGAGAAGAAGAATGTAACATTGTTGCAGGTTTAAGCTGATTATAAATCAGAGCTTATGTGTGTGAGTTATCAAAGTTAGCATAAAAATTGTTGCAGGGTTAAACCAAATAAATCAGTGTATTTGTAAGATTTATCAAGGAAGACACAAACAATAAGCTTGGTATATTTGGCTGTATCTCGTCAGATGCATACTAAAATAAAAATTTGATAAAATGAAGTAAAAAAATGAATTCTCTGTGTCTGAAATCTCTGTATGAGGTAACAATTACTGCTGTATGTACTACTTGTAAAATGCAACAGAACTTTGGAACAAAATGCAGGTTACACCTGCGAAAGTGAGGAAGGGAGAGAAGAGGCGGAAAGAAAGAAAATGAGGGGATATGTATGTTCTGCATGCACTGTTAATAGAATACTATTGATGTATAATTTATTAGATAACGAACTTTTGAATATATATGTTAATTTGGAACGCAAATTAGTTATTAAAAAAATGAAATGCAAAATCATCCACTTTCAATAGTAACTGCCCATTTTACCAGGGTAAGTGCAGGTTCACTAGGTTGTCTTTTTGTTTACACAAATCTGATGGAATTACAAGGCAGTAAATTGTGCAGTCTGTTGTTTGTGTCTCCTTTTGTTAAAATTTACAACAAGAAACATTACTTTGATTTAGCTAAGTTAATGTAAAATTGTTGCAGGTTGAAGCTACAGAAACCTGAGGGTTTGGGTGATTTATAAAAGTTACTGTAAAGTTGTTGCAGGGCAGAGCTTTGGAAATCAGAGGATTTGTGTGGTTAATTAAAGTTAATATAAAATTGTTGCAGGGCAGAGCTACGGAAATCAGAGGGTTTGTGTGATTAATTAAAGTTAATGTAAAATTGTTGCAGGGCAGAGCTACGGAAATCAGAGGGTTTGTGTGATTTATTAAAGTTAATATAAAATTGTTGCAGGGCAGAGCTACGGAAATCAGAGGGTTTGTGTGATTTATTAAAGTTAATATAAAATTGTTGCAGGGCAGAGCTACGGAAATCAGAGGGTTTGTGTGGTTAATTAAAGTTAATATAAAATTGTTGCAGGGCAGAGCTACGGAAATCAGAGGGTTTGGGTGATTTATTAAAGTTAATATAAAATTGTTGCAGGGCAGAGCTACGGGAATCAGAGGGTTTGGGTGATTTATTAAAGTTAATATAAAATTGTTGCAGGGCAGAGCTACGGAAATCAGAGGGTTTGTGTGATTTATTAAAGTTAATATAAAATTGTTGCAGGGCAGAGCTACGGAAATCAGAGGGTTTGGGTGATTTATTAAAGTTAATATAAAATTGTTGCAGGGCAGAGCTACGGAAATCAGAGGGTTTGTGTGATTTATTAAAGTTAATATAAAATTGTTGCAGGGCAGAGCTACGGAAATCAGAGGGTTTGGGTGATTTATTAAAGTTAATATAAAATTGTTGCAGGGCAGAGCTACGGAAATCAGAGGGTTTGGGTGATTTATTAAAGTTAATATAAAATTGTTGCAGGGCAGAGCTATGGAAATCAGAGGGTTTGGGTGATTTATTAAAGTTAATATAAAATTGTTGCAGGGCAGAGCTACGGAAATCAGAGGGTTTGTGTGGAGTTCCACTAATGAAATTGTATTTATCACAACCGCAGGCTTGGAACATTATCAGGTAAATTGTGTTGTATAGTAAGGAACTGAACTGTTGTTATCTTTTATTAATCACTGAGATGCTGTCTGGACAGCGAAGATTGGCTACAGGGGATTTCCATCAGTGCCTCTCTTCTTGGTTGTATGCTCTCGCAGACTTCATTTCATCCATCTCTTGATGTTGTCCCCTCACATGTATCGCTATCTATCTCTTGTTTATTTTGACTTCAACTGTCACTAGTGTCATTTTAATTTTAAGGAGTTATATCTTTTCACTTGCTTCTATTTTATGTCTTTTAAGAACTTTTTTCATTTCCAATTTGTACAGAACCTCTGTATTTTACATATCGTTTGTGGGATGATTAAAGTTAGTGCTGAATATATGCTTCGAAGGTGCTGGAACTGGTTAGGTTATAAAACTTGAGTAAGAAGACGTCATTAAATCATGAGCCTCAAGAGTGTGTAAAAAAGAATATAAAGAGGCTGAAACATTCAATAAAGGGGGTGAATGCTTTTGATGATCACTAGCTTCCTGTTCTTCTTGCTCTACTGCAAACGTTATATACTACTTTATATACTACTTTATATACTACTTTATATACTACTTTATATACTAGTTATATACTACTTTATATACTACTTTATATACTACTTTATATACTAGTTATATACTAGTTATATACTACTTTATATACTACTTTATATACTACTTTATATACTAGTTATATACTACTTTATATACTACTTTATATACTACTTTATATACTACTTTATATACTACTTTATATACTACTTTATATACTACTTTATATACTACTTTATATACTACTTTATATACTACTTTATATACTACTTTATATACTACTTTATATACTACTTTATATACTACTTTATATACTACTTTATATACTAGTTATATACTACTTTATATACTACTTTATATACTACTTTATATACTACTTTATATACTACTTTATATACTAGTTATATACTAGTTATATACTACTTTATATACTACTTTATATACTACTTTATATACTACTTTATATACTAGTTATATACTACTTTATATACTACTTTATATACTACTTTATATACTACTTTATATACTACTTTATATACTACTTTATATACTACTTTATATACTACTTTATATACTACTTTATATACTACTTTATATACTAGTTATATACTACTTATACTACGATTGGTTGACAAATCCGCTTGAAAGCCAAGTTTGACTCTTTCCTCCAGTGTATACTGATTTCTGAATTAAGATCAACATCACTGCACACTGGGCATATCCATACATGCTCCGTCTCCCGCAGCAAATGTCTTAAGGTGTAGATGCTAACTGTTCCCATAGCACAATGATTATACACACGTCGTTCTCTTCCTCTCATCCATCCCTCCTTGCTGGATCCACACTTAATTCCTTGTTCATGCTTCTCCCTCCGAGACCAGACAAGTGGAACACCTTGAATGGAGGTAAAGAACAGCTTATGAAAACATGCAAATTTCACTACATGGCATTGGGCCAGAGGGCGAAAGCTCAAGGATCGACAACAACAACAACAACAACTCCTTGTTCACACTCTTGCACATGTTACTTCATCTAATCTTGTGTTTTCTGTCAACATTCGTTCATATATGGTCTTCAGAAAATCTCCCTTGTCCAGTACGAGTGTTCCGATAGCTTTCGCTTTTGTAGATAGAAAATCTGCTGTTTCATTCCCTCACATTCCTGCCTATCCCGGACAGTATATCCACGTGATTCACTGCAACGTTGGCGTACTGAGGCATGGTATCCACTCATGCCACATTAGTCCATTTGGAACCTTCCACAGTGCTGACTGAGAATCAGACACAAAAATTCCTCTGGTAACTTTGTTTTCTGCTATCCTATTCAGAGCTGCAGTGATTGCCTCCACTTCCTTTCTTATGCTTGGAGTTGTAGATAAAAAAGCTCCATTTTGTTCTGCCACAATTTTCCCCTTTATTCTAGCTGAAAATCCCCATCTAGATCGTACACCCTGATGAACAGAACAATCTGTGTACACTACTGCATCATCTAGCCTAGCCTTTCCATCTATCAGTTGTTGTACTTCTATTTCTGCCATATCGTTACACTACTCTCTATATTCTGTTTATGATAATGACCTGATGAAAACTGCTGTTGTGAGTGTTCGTGTCGACCCATTCCTGGCCCCTGTAGATTTGCTTGACGTAGGCTGGATGGTATCTTCAGCTAGTGCCATCCATACTTTCCTCTTTTCAACTGGTCTCCTCCTAAATCGTTCAGATTACCATGCAGCGGATGCGTATCATTGGTAACTTACCATTGGTAATAGGACTTGTTTGCGCCAATGACAGTCTAAACTGTACCAGTGTCTGCCCAAGCGTATACCGCATTGCTCTAATTGGGGTATCTCATGTGCAACCCCAAGACGATTCTTATTCCTTCATTTTGAATCCTTTTTAGCTTTGTACACTGAAGTAGATAGGGTTAATATTCCTAGACCATAATCGATTATAGAAAGGATCAAATGGTTGAGCGATAAGACCAATAGTCTCTGTTCCATGTGTGTCGCTACCATCACCTTAAGTGCTGCCAGGCCACTCTTGCATTTGATCACAGTCTGCTCCATGTGATATTTGTAGGATACTCACACCTGTGTATTCCCAGTCACCTCCTCACATGAAAACAACAGATCATTTTATTTAGACTGTGAACTGGATTCAACCATCACCACTGCCATATGTACAGAAAATTCAAGACTGAGAACTTAGAACTTTGTCCTTGTGGATAGGTACCCCCCCCCCAGAATACTGAACTTGGGCTGCAGAAAAGCTGTCTTCGTACAGTAGAAACATCCCAGGTCTTGCCATTTGGTATCCTGGTGGAAACCAAACTGTATAGTTCAATTGGGGACAAGCATCACACTATGGCCTTCATAGAGGACAGTGGCTGTCTTATCTAAAAACCATGACAGGGAGAATAAAGAGATATAGTCAAGTCTGCAGTATGTTTATTAATGCTACCAGAATGATGTTGGCAGTATCACCTACCCTCTGAATGCAGGTTGGTGTACCAAACAAGAAAAACTATGGGACTAACACTGTGTACCCAGTACATCTCAGTTAAAGGAATTGTTGCTTAGTTTTTCCCCATGTGGATACGCAGGAGTACAAGGAAATGAAAGAACAGATTTATGGCTACAAAAGCGATAGCTACGGGAAGACTTATACTGGACAAGGGAGATATTATGAAGACCATATATGAACGAATGTTGACAGAAGACACGAGATTAGATGAAATAACATGTGTAAGAATGTGTCAATGAGGAATTAGGAGTGGATCCGGCAAGGAAGTTCGGAAGAGAGGAACATATGTTTAACCAGTGTGCCATAGGAGCAGTTAGCATTTATATTTTAAGACATTTTCTGTGGGAGACAGAGCAACAATGGGTATGCACGGTGTACTGTGATGTTGATTCTTAAACCAGTCATCAGTAAGCTCCATTTGGGGAGAAAATTATTAGACCCGCTGCCATCTAGCAATCATGTCATAATAGACAAATAATTAGTGGTTTGCTGAAATCGGATGTAACGGACTGAAAAACGTAAATGCCACAGCCTAGCTGTAAACCACAACACAGTATGCTGACCACCCTTTTAAGGACAAACACAGGAAAAAAGAATTTACTGTTAATCTGCAGTCTCAGGTTAATCTTTGCAAAGTGGTGTTTGTCACATAAATGGAAGGGTTTATAGTTCATGACTTGTTCGGTCTTTTGTATTTAAACATTCATATTTAAACAAAAATATATCATCATCATCATCGGGTGCCTTGCTGACTGCCATGGACGATCATGCCTCTCCACAATCTACGATCTCCTGCAGCATGTATTAGTTGGTGTGCTGACACACCTCCATGCCATGCAGCAAGACGGCCAAGAATCTTCTCTCGTCTTCCTCTATCCCTCCTTCCACCAATCTTTCCAGTGGTCACAACATGTTCCATTTTCTGTCTTCTCAAAACATGGGCAAAAAATAATGACTGCTCCTTCTGATGACTATGATAGCTTGTCTTCAGGCTGCTCCCGCCTCTTTCAAAACCTCTTGGTTGCTCTTTTTTTTTTGGGGGGGGGGGTGGGGGGGGGGGGGGCTGTCCAAGGTATTTTAACCATTCTTCTGTAAAACCACATCACTGAGCCCTTAAGAAATTGTTTGGCCTGCCTACCGATTGTCCAGGACTCGCAGCCATATGTTAAAATGAATGTATGTAGATGTTTAAATATATATATATATTTAAACAGAAGACGTTTGGTCCAATATGGCAGATGGCTGGATGATCACTGGTGCTCTGAAAAATTATTTGTTTCTATCTGTGGTTTGGTGATGAGATTTTTACATATCTGGACGGGGAATCCTGAGGTTCCGTTGCCCAGCTACTGTGAGTGTTAGGTGCGGCACAGATCTGTGGAATTTATGTAAAATGTTTTTTCTTTTATGCCCTTGGCGGTTGTATTTTATGAACTGCACCAAAATGGTGGATGACCAATTATGTTCAAAATGGTGTGTTACTATGACTAACTGACTGCTTGCACCAAAAGTGAGCTGAAATTCTGTTTGGATACTGTTAATGTTGGCACATCTGACAGCTGCCTTATGCATTTATTTTGCACATGCTGCTTCAGGATTTTGCTGAGACTGATGTGTGTATCACTGGTTTATCGCTTGGGACAGTGTGAAATATTTTGTGTGATTTCCGTTGGCACAGAAATAGAGTAGTTATGGAAAAACCCGCCTGCAGTGAAGTTGGAACATCGACTAACGACTTATTTCTTTAAATACTTTAACATTAAAAAAAAAAAAAACTAAAACATTTCATTTTCAGGTCATTCCTGAGAAAAGAACTCTCAGAAACCTGAAAACATTAAGCTTACAAGTGAACTGGTATTTCTGGCTGGTAGGTTCCCCTCTTTTGTTAAGATGATTGTATTTTGAAATAGTTGATACCTATATTGTGAAAATGTTCATTGTATTTTGTGAGAATGCAAACCTATTTTAGGAAAATGGGTAAAGGAATTTGTAATATATGAGAATGAAGCATGGAAAGTAAGCAGATAAGCTGAAAAATATCGGAGAGAAAGAAAGAGAACGAATGAACAAACAGACTTTGTTTAAAAAGGCCATCACAAATTGAACAAGAAAGTCCGCCTTACATTCAGCACTTCCAACCACTCACCTTTCACACAGCAGGTGTATTTAATGTGTAATGCAATTTAAAGGGAAAACAATTAACAGATTGGGGGGGGGGGGGAATGCATTAATTTATCTTTACTGTTTTGAATTCAAACCATGGAGCTCCCTGTGTGGGTTCCAGGGTCCAGTTTTAAGGAGAAAAATAATAGATCGACTGCCCCTTTAAGTGTGTTGTAAAAGTCGACTGATTAGGTGTATATCTTTCGGATGTGGGAGTGTATGTGTCTTAGAGGCAAGGAACCAACAGTCTGCTTACAAATAAACCAGATCTATAAAACGGAACTGAAGTTCAGGAACAAGGCTGAAGTCCAGAAGTGGATGAACAACCAGAACTTTCTGCTGGAGCTTACAGCCAGTGAACGTGAAGAAGAAGAAGTAGAAGTAGAAAGAGGAAGAAGAAGGAAAAATCCGAGAGCTCTACATTGGTAGCTGTTCTTCAACTCTGCAAGGAAGAAGGAAACGGAATGAGAGAGATAAAGATATGCAAGAGATAAAGATATGCAAGCCTTCATTAGAAGGATTGTTTATTATTTCTGTTTAGGTATAGCAATATTTATATATATGCAAACATTCACTAGGAGGATTGACTATCTCATTAATGATAAAGTACAGCAATATTGATGTTTTTTCATTCTGTTTTCTGCAACAGGCTTCTAGCAGCATATTGCTCATTTCTTCAGGGACTCTAGGAAATATACTACATCCATTTCAGTTCAAAGTAAGTATACTACATCCATTTCACTTCTTCTACAGCCCTTTATTTCCACTGGAGTATAGGCCCTAAACATGCCAAGTTGAATTCTTTGGCATCACTGATCTTAGTTCGTCTTAGTCTTGAATGTTGAATTAAGAATCAACATCATAGCGCTCAGGACACTCCCATAAGCGTTTCATCCCCATGTTCAGTAGTAAGCGAAGAGTTTCAACTCTGATGGCACAAGTAATTGTCTGATTGTACTAGGTCTCACCTTTTACTTGAGTGTTGAGCGTCGGCCAGATCCCCTGGTAACTCCCTGCAGTGCCATTCTCCTCAGATCATAATGATCTGTTTGTGCCTCCACACTGTTCATTGGCTCCTAAAGGGCCCTCACAACATCTAGCTTGTCATACATCAGTTCACCAGGAAGTGGTGCAGAGCCAGCCAGCTTATCTGCCTGCTCATTTCCCAACACACCAACATCAGCTGGAGAAAATATCTTAATTTTGAATTCTCTTCTCTGTTCTGGGACTCCTGCCTGAAAGTTTGACACTACAGCAGCTCAAATGTCAGTCCAACTAGAGCAAAAAAAAAAATAGCCTGTTCACCCTTAGAAAATGGATATTATTGGGTTACCCTACCATTACCTTCAGTATCTGTGGCTTAGAGGTTGCAAATATGGTTTGTAGTTCTGAAATACTCAGTTTGATTCAGCCTGAGGCGATTTGGCAGTTGACCCTTGGCATTTATTTATACGATGGTGTGGAGCATAGACTGTTCAGAAAGCTCAGCAAACTGTTGAATGTACAGTTGCACAAGTAAAACCACAAACTGCCAACATATACTGGAGTTGGTTTGTGATATCCTCTAGAGGATACACAGATCATTTTTTGGGGTGGGGGGGGGGGGGGGGGGGGTACCATCATAGCAAGTATTAATTAGTCTGCTGTGCTGCTATCCTAGGTGACTGGGGATATCTAGCAGTGTGGCATTATTTATATATATTTGTGTTTGTGTGTGTGTGTACCTGTGTGTGCACTCATACGAGCATGTGTGAAATTACTTTTCTACGCAAGTTTGTTAGTTTGGTGTCATTGCTGGAAGTTTTGTCTGTATAAGAAATGATAGGCATTTTATGAGCCACATGGCTTTTTGGGAAACATGACCAGCTCCACGTGGCATGAAATATTTGTGTTTGTTCACTGCCATCGGTCACATGTATTGAAAATAATTTTTTTTTCTGGGTGTCCCTTCCTGCCAAGCTGTTAAAACATCATTCCCCCTCCCCCCCCCCCCCTGATCTTCCCCTGCCTCTCTTCCCTGCCGTAATTCCATAAATGTACTACAGTTAGCACAGATGATAAGACAGAATAATTAATTGTGCTTGATTTTTTTGGCTAAAGACATGAAATAAAGGTTAAATGCATTTGAAAAGAAATGCCTGAGGAAAATGTTGAACATAAAATGTTATGATTTCTAGGGAGGAGGAGAAGGGGAACCGATGTAGAAATAAGAGAATGTTGAATTAAGAATCAACATCATAGCACTCGGGATACTCCCATAAGCGCTCTGTCCCCATCTTCAGCAGCAAAGAGTTCCAATTCCGATGTCACCAGTAACCTTTTGATTGTATATCCATCTCACCTTTCCCTTGAGTGTTGAGCATCAGCCAGATTCCCTGGCAACTCTTTGCAGTGCCGTTCTTCTCAGACCGTAATGATCTGTTTGCACTTCCGCACTGATCACTCGCTCCCAGAGGGCGCTCACAACATCTAGCTTGGCATGCATCAGTTCATCAGAAATAAGAGAATAAGAGAAATATCTGAGCAGCCACTGCTGACAACATTTCCAAGTCAAACAAAAGATGTCAGTGTATCGGACACATCCTGAGAAGCAATGAGCAAAGAATCCTGAAACAGACACTAAAATGGGAAATAAAGGGATTGATGAGGTGAGGAATCTAACGCAACCCTAAAATGGACATTGATGAGAGAGGCTAAAGATGCTGGATTAGATTTCATCCATGATATTGAACTGATTGCCAACGGTGCTGAACTGGTTTCTATCCATGATATTGAAGGGATTACACAGGATAGAACAAAATGGAGGGTGCTTTATTAATATCTTACCCCAGATGACATCACAGGACTGTCCAACATTTTAGAGAGTGGTAAGACTGGGTTTCCCGGCTTTCTGAAGCTTTTATCGACCCTAAAACATATCAAACTGGCCCTAACCTCAATCCACCTACATCTAACGAGAGAGTGCAGCCTAGGTCCCACAACTGCATGCAGCCTATCTACCACCCCCTGAAATATTAGACTATCCTGTGACTGCTAGTCCTGGGTGATGTATAATGGCACAACAGGACAATGAAGATGATAATTATGTAAATTTTTTTTTTCATCATCATTTCAGCAGCCTGGGGTTATGACCAGGCTTCCCAAGTTTGAAGCAGATTTGCCTGCTGGTCCCAAACCACAGAAGCTGTCACTGCTAGACAGGGATGTGACAATGGCAGTTATGTGAGTTACTTATGGTTTTTTTAATAATTTTTTAAAAAATTTTTTTAGACTGATTAGGTGGCAGAGTAGATTAGAGTGTGGTGTCTGCCTCTGGCTCAAGCAGATCTCATGCTGTTGATTGTACTGGAACACACACACACAAAGAAAGAAAGAATAGGTTTGTTAGCATTACCTTTATCCGTGGTAGTGAATCAGTTTGGAGGCACCTGAGATGTGGTTCTTGAGAAGAAGTTTACGAATACCTTGGACTGCCAGATTAACGATGATTGCCTGGAAATGGCTAATGAAAGTAGAACATTATATACAACAATGAGAAGGAGACAAAGTTCTTTTGCCATGTGATGAGAAAAGAACTGGAAAATATCGTGACGATTGGAAAGATCACTGGTAGAAGAGACAGAGGCAGACCAAGAGAAATGATGGTGGATGGCTTAAGACAGTGGCATGGAGGCATATCATCAGTAGAATTGATCCAGAACACCAAAGACCAAAATCTATGGCGACGCATAAACGCCTACATCAGCTGGCTCTTGATAATGATGTTGAGTGAATCATACAAATTACTTTCTCAGACAAAGGCAAAACATTCAGAGGACCCATCTGCATGTTACAGATTCACGGGAAGTTGAATATTGGAAAGAGCCTGCTGGATTCTATCCCAGTATCTTTCCCCAAATAGACAGTCGAATATTTTAGGGGGTGGTAGGCTGCCTATAGTCGTGGGACCTAGGCTGCACTCTCTCGTATGACGTAGGTGGGTTGAGGTTATACCCAGTTCTAGATGTTTGTGGGTAGTTAAAAGCATCAGAAAGCTGGAAAACCCGATCTTACCACCCTCGAAAATATTGGACTGTCCTGTGATGTCATGGGGGGGGGGGGGGGGGGGGGGGGGGGGGGGGGGGGGGATATATATTGGGAAAGCAGCGCATGCTGAATATGCTTCTGCCCCTGGCAAAAATGTCAATGATAAAACCTTACCAAAGAAAGATTATTATAGCATTAGCTTCTGATACATGTAGATTTGGGTCCTCACTGATGCTGTTGAGTTCATGAACTATCTGAAGATTTTCTTATGGATCACTTAAAGAGGTTTCCATGTGCATATACCCCTGTTGGGGTTGTTTTTATACAGTATTGTGTCTTAAGGTTACTTACTAGCAGTGACTTCTTTTTCATGACTTCTTCTTAAAGTCCATGCCATGTGGTGTGGGTAGTCATGTCTATCCACAACCTTCTGTCTTTTGTACTTTCAGTCAACTCTGACACTTTTGATCCTCCATGCCATGATGTCAAACTGTCCAGCATCTTTTCTCTCAGTCTCCCTCTGCCTCTTCTCCCTTCCAACTTTACTACTGTCACAAACCATACTCTAGCTTTCTCCTTCTCATCACAGTGACTTGGAAATGGTAAAGACAGAGCTCTCCTGCTGTGTTTAATCAAGTCTGGTGGGATTTCCAAACATGATGCTGCTTCATCAAGAAAGCCTACATCTAATTGTTAACTCTTTCACTAACAAGCAACTCACTGTGCATTAGCTGCTTACAATGAGCAACCCCCCCAAAAAAATTTATAAGGCTTACAAATCAGAGGGATAGAAAGATTGGAATTAACACCATCTGGGACTCAAAGAATGAAGAGAGTATAAAGATTGTCTGAAAACCCTGTACTTTTCCTATCAGTAGTCTTTTTTGTGTTCATCAGCTTTTGTGTTTTGCATCACATACCATTATGACTGAGAGTCATTGCATAGTGTTGGAGCCAAAGGATTAACTGTATTCTCTCTGAAGCAACGTTCAGAGTAGGGCTTAACATTAGATCCAAAGCTTTTTAAAATGCTGTCTTACATCCATCTAATACAGATGGCAGGGTTTTACAAATTTGTGAACTCCTAAATGCCTATCTTGTGCATTTTCTCATTATGCCTTCAATTTCCTTTATATTCTGATAGTCTGTGCTGTGTTGCACCAGTAAAGCTTGCCTGTCCGTCAGTTGCTATGCCCTTAATTTTACTTTTGCATTTGTTATTTTGTTTAAATGTTTTCAGTTTCTTATTGAGTCTTACCCTTGTATGCATGATGATTAAATTGAAATGCCTTGCTTGCTAAAGTTCTATCATGAGTTGAGGACAAATCTATGGTCAGACTTTCCTCATAAGGTTTGAGGTTTGAACAATGGATTAACATCATGGCACATGGGTAGTAACCCATAAGTGCTCCGTTCTTCTTCCAGCTCAAGTCTGAGGCCAAAGAAGCTCAGCACAGTGCACAGGCTCTTTAGCACCGGCGAGGATCCTGAAATACTTTGGGTAGATTTTTAACTCCAAATTGTACCAGAGCAGCAGCGTAACGCTACTCTTTTAGATTTCCAACTGCCAAGGGATTTTTTACATGTGCAACAATGCACACGGGCGTCCGATCTTACTACTCAGAGACCAGGGCAAATTACTAGAAGTCCGAGTCCATGTGAAAAAAATCCCAGCTCATACCGGGGATTGAACCCGGAATCTCTAGCACTCGAGGCGGATACTATGCCGCAAGACCACGCAGCCCCCTTTCCTACTTTCCCTACTTTTCTCATAAAAGTGGGCTGAGAGATGTACTCATGTTTTGTTTCACCTTCTGGCTATGAGCAGTCTCATCTTCTTCTTATATCCATGCTTCATGACATTGGTAGCCATTTGTTTTGAAAGCTTTCTCTCTCATATACACCTTCTCCTCAACTTATGACTTATGCAACTTATGACCATTCGTACTTATGCTCTCTCACATATACAAACACACACACACAAAATAAAAAAGGGTATATAAAGGTTGATAACTACATTAGTAGGGTGGAAAAAAAATGGACAGGAACTAATGCCTCAAGTACAACAGAGTCTAGACATCAGAGTCAGTTTGACCCTACCGTGTATTGCAGACTGTCTAGAACCGCAGTCTAGATGAAGATACTGTTGGAAAATATAAATTTGACTAATGACCAGTCCGCCTTACCACCTGTTAGTTGGAACAGAACTCAGGCGTAAGTCGAGGAGATCCTGTATTTTCAGTCATTTCTGACACAGATGATCCTCTATGCCATACTGTCAAACTGTACAGCAGATTCTTTCTCGGTCTCCCTCTGCCTCTTTCATCTATAACTAACATCATCTTTTAAAAAATGACCTTGACTCCCAGGTCAACCCAGCCTTGAGTGGGTACCGGATGCAGTGCCAGGAAGTAAAGGCGACCGGCGTGATGTTTACCACATCACCCATCTAGTGCTAATTGGTCTATAAAAATACAGGTCTAGCCCTATATGCCTAAAGTCATGGAAAAGGGACCTTTACTTACTTTACTTACTAACATCTTCTAAGCACTCACAATCTGTAAGCTCTGGTACACATTTCTGGTTTTACGTCCACTTCTGGACTTTGATCTTTTTCCAGAATGTGAGTTTTGCATGTAAATCCATTTTACAGAATGGCTTACTGTATGCAGGCTGTTGGTTTCTTGTCTTTCAGGCATATAGACTTTGACATCAAAGGAAACACCCCTCCCCCACCCCAATTAGTCAACTTTTACAACATGCTTTTTAGTATCCAGTGGGTCTGGGTTTTTTCCCCCACAGACATGGCCCCAGAAACAACAAGGAGAGTTAAGTAACATGATCACTGTGTTTTTCCTTTCTCAGATATGACCATCTGTACGTAGTTGTATTACGTCATCCACTGAACGCCTCTAGTGGAGCAGAAATTGTTCTTTATCAGCTTCAGAAGTAAGTCTTCTTTTTGCTTAGATATGACATGTTTTTAAAATGTTCAAATTTCTCTACAGTTTTCTACAAAGTAAAGTAAAGAACCCTTTTCCATGCCTTTAGGCGTATAGGGCATTAAGGGCTTGACCTATATTTTATAGACCAACGGCACAAGATGGGTGATGTGGTCCGCCGCCCACCTTTACTTTCCGAGATTGCACCCGGTACCCACTCAAAGCTGGGTCAACCTGGGAGCCAAGGTCATTTTTCTACAGTTTTTCAGTCTTACGAACTGAGAACTAAGGAGTCGGCATGGTGAAGTTCATGCTGTCAAGATCATGTTGGATTTGGACTTCTTTGCTTAGTTTGTTAGTGGCAGACATTTTGAAGATTACTTGGGGTCATCGCTCGATCTTTTATGCTTTCTGCGACGCACATAGAGACCAGTCACTGTGTGGAAAGTAACTGAGATATATCAGAGGAAACAGTAAAATCAGTTTTTTCACTATAGACAAAAAGCACACACATACATAACAATGCAACCAAAAATGAAGAGAGATTTTGGACGAGACTAACTAGTTCCTCTAAATAATAATCTTAGCCTTTAGAAAGCATAAAATCTTACTTCAACTCAGAGATTGGCCAGCAGGTGCCACAGAGATGGAAATTTAGCAGTTAATTCAAGATAATGCTCGCTCAAAGGATTTGGTCAATTACACAGACAGTTCAGTGTCAAGAGGCAAAAGAATTGCTTGTGCCTTCTTAGCTAAAGTTAATGGTTGATGTTTGGTGCAGGAGAGCCTAGCATATGATACCACAACATTCAGCTTAAGAATGGAGGTGGAGGCGGTCACTTCAGCTTTCTGCTGGTTAGAGAACATGACACACACACACACACACACATCGTGATTGTAACTGACTCAGAAAGCATGCTGAGGAAGATCAGGACAAGCATGCTTCGTGCAGAGTGGCATGCTTGGCTGTGGAGGACACGGGTGAGGAGTATTGTCTGGATTTTTTCACCGGGGAATGCCGGTGTGTTGGGAAATAAACAGGCGGAAAGACTGACTGGCTCTGCAAAACTTGGTGGAATACTGATACATGATAAGGCAGACATGGTTGGTGCCTTGTGGGAGAGTGTACAGTTAGGAGGAGCAGATGGATCACCACAGTCTGGTGAGATTGATGCCGGAGGAAGTGACGAGAGATTCTGGCAGATGCTCGAGGCTCAGAGAAAAGGCAAGGTGGATGTTTAATCAGAATGCTACTGGCATCATTAGTATCAGAACTCTTTGCTGGCTGCTGAAGATGGGGATGGAGCACTTATGAGAATGCCCCTCGTGCTGTGATGTTGGTTCTTGAATCAAATCAAATCAACTTCAACTCAAACTAGAGGCTGAAGTGAAAGGTGATTAAGTAAGAGGAAGACATTCTTTTATTTAATGGGAGGATAACATCAAGAAATGGGATGGAAGACAGAATGCTAGACAGTATAATCTTGGCAGTGAACAGAGTACAGAAGATCACCTGCGGCCAACCTTTATTTTGAATAAGGTATTGTGGCGCGGTGATTTATGTCACTGGCGTGAGGGAAAGTCAAGTCCAACATGATGTGTATAAGGAGATACTCCATACGTCACTCGGGCGCCAGTATTCACTATTCTGTTTTACGGAACCTCACGCAAGACCCCTGCAGCACGTCCTCATCGTGCACCACGGATAATGTCTCAAATGAGCATTAACAGAGCTGTCAGGGGATCTCAGAGTTTGGCAGCCCTCGGAGGTGATGTGTCCTTGTGGCTCTCATCAGCCCGCCCCCAGCCCGCTTTTTGGGTGAAAAAGGTTATCAAAACTCATTAGGCACATGAGTAAAGTGCTTGCCAAACGTATAACTAAAATTACAACCCTTGGTTAAAAGTTTGTGGAGTGAAGAGAACATTGTTCTGCTGAGAATCAACTATTGACCTAGAGATTTACCTGCAGCACAGACGAGTAACATCTCCTGTGGGTGACGTCTCGCAGCATGATTCTACTCATATACATCCTCTGTTAACTCTCAGTGTCATCGTCACCGCGCTGAGGTACATCACTATAGCAACAGCCCATTGGCTGGCTAAGCCTAAATATCCGCGAAAACTAGATCCTACGGCACACGAGTAAGCTCAAAATTCGACCATCACAAATCGTATTGAATGGGAAAAAGTCCAAATGTCCACACCCAAAGACCCCACTCGCCCGAGTGTTGGGACCAAACAGATAACGATATGCCTGACACAGGATGTTGAATTCTGTCGTGCTAACGGCTCGTCAAAGATATCTAACGTGCGAAGAAAAAGAATGTACCTATTCGTATGGTCACAAAAGTCCAGAACCCGCGGGCTGCTCCCCGCTGATTTCCGGAGAGCACAGCCCTTGTCGAGCGGGAGGCCTAATACGGTTGTGAGGTTAAGCAGGCATGTGCAGAACGTGACGATTCCTTGGGTGAGCCCAGAACCAGAGTGCCATGTGCCGGCTCTGCATACATGGAAGCCTCCTTGGATGGTGGGGAATGCCCATGATCTGCCCCTGCCTTCCCTTGAGGGCTAACCGTTCCACAAGGGGCTGCCCCAAAGGGGACTCCGGGGGCAACACCTGCGGAGAAGGCGACAAAGAGGACACCACACAAATCAGGCAACGTCTCGACCCACACAAAACAATGGCCACAGTATTCCTAGAAATAGGCCTGACGTCATCCCTCGAAGTCGGAGTACATCTGCCCACGAGGCAGGGAACAGTAAAACGGTTGTACACGCAAAACTCAGGTCCAGGTAAAAGCCAAAAGTCCAAGCGGACGACTAACCGGGACCTTCCACTGGAATTCACAGCCGGTGAACGAAGAAGAAGAAGAAGAATAATAAGGTATTTAATTGTGCCAGTGTTTTTTTTTTTAAAGTTTCATATTGATTGTTACAAGTTACTAAAAAAAAAAAAGCCAACAAATGCTAGGGTTGGTTCTTCGGTGTCCTGTAAGGGATAAACAAGTAAATTTTTTTAATAAGAAAATGAAGGTGGCAGTATATTAAGCACATCGTGAATAGAAGCAGACAAAGAATAACTAAAACAGGCAATGCTGATCATCATCAATTTGAATTGGCCAAGTTCAACCGCTGCCTAGGGAGCAAACCTCTCTTTGTTATCATTAATTATAATTTTGGCTCCTGTTTATGCTCTTATTTCATTGTGTGTTTCTTAGTGTTGTAGCTGCCATGTCTGTCGAGTTAGGTTTTGTGCGTGTGGTTTGTAGGGCTGCCATCTTAATGCTGATTGATTAGTTTAGTGCTCTTTATGTTGCCGGATTATATGATCTCTGCCACTGGTTGCTGTCCTGTTTCATTTTCATAGTGTGTCTGCTATTGTGGTCACTTTGTTGAAGTCAGTCATGGGGTTTGTTCCATCATGTGCTATGTTCGTGGTTTCATACTGGCAGTGAAATAGGAAACAAATGGGTTGCAGAAACAAGGACCTCCAGGAGAAGCCCTACGATGAGCATTGGAGAGAGGTCAGAGGGGCTGGTCTGACTCCATCCATGATATCAGAAGGATTGAACAGAACACAGAATCACATGGAGGACTACAGTATGCGCCCTATGTGATGTACAACAGCACAACAGGATAAGAATAATATATGGTGGTTTAGTGTGCCTGCCTGCCTGCCAAGACAATGGTCCTGGTTCAGTCCCCAACAGAGGCATGATTTTGTGTTCCAGACAGCTGGGATCAGTCTAAAAAAAATGAGTATTACAGTTTTAAGAATTTTGAAACTTGAAAAAAAATTGCCAACAGCAGCTTAGATTTGTTTCCTTATAATCTCAATTCCATTTTTGTAACTGCCACATGCTTCAAACAGATTCTACTTTCAGTGAGATGAAACTTAACATTCTTTTCTCTCTCTCTCCTAAACAACTTCAGAGAAAGCCCGGCCAGAAAGACTGATGTCCTGAAGCTGGACATGAGTGGGAGGTTTGCTATCAATGTGGTTGACAACCTCATCATGGTACACCACCAGGCATCCAAGGTTTGCATATAAAAATACTTTTTTTTCATGTTTTTATTTTTAAATGGAGCTAGGGTTAATTCGTTCAGTGTTGCTATAGACATGGTGGGGGGGGGGGGGGGGGGGGGGGGGGGGTGAGTGGTCTCAAAGTATGGTGTCCTCCTGGTGTGCTGAAGGTCCCAGGTTCAAGCCTGTGTGAGGGCTGGGATTTATTTCACGTGGACTTCTAATAATTGTTCCTGGTCTCTGGGTAGTGAGATCAGACCCCCGTGTGTATTCTTGCGCACGTAAAAAAATCCCTTGGGATTTGGAAATCAAAAAGAGTAGCCTAACTGCGCTGCCCGGGCAAAATTTGGAGTGAAAAATGTGCCCAAAGTATTTCAAGATCCTCGCCGATGCAACAAAGTTTGTGCACTGCGCTGAGATTCTTCAGACTGAGGCTTGAGTTGAAAGTAGAACGGAGCACTTATGGGTTACTACCCTTGTGCCATAATGTTGATCTGTGGAATAAAACGTAAACATAGACATGCAGTAATGTTGCTGTGAGCTGTTTTTCCTGTGGAGTGCCTTTCATTTGTGCAGCGGTTGTGTCATGGTATTCAGTATTCATTTGTGCAGCGGTTGTGTCATGGTATTCAGTATTCATTTGTGCAGCGGTTGTGTCATGGTATTCAGTATTCATTTGTGCAGCGGTTGTGTCATGGTATTCAGTATTCATTTGTGCAGCAGTTGTGTCATGGTATTCAGTATTAATTTGTGCAGCGGTTGTGTCATGGTATTCAGTATTCATTTGTGCAGCGGTTGTGTCATGGTATTCAGTATTCATTTGTGCAGCAGTTGTGTCATGGTATTCAGTATTCATTTGTGCAGCAGTTGTGTCATGGTATTCAGTATTCATTTGTGCAGCGGTTGTGTCATGGTATTCAGTATTCATTTGTGCAGCGGTTGTGTCATGGTATTCAGTATTCATTTGTGCAGCGGTTGTGTCATGGTATTCAGTATTCATTTGTGCAGCGGTTGTGTCATGGTATTCAGTATTCATTTGTGCAGCGGTTGTGTCATGGTATTCAGTATTCATTTGTGCAGCGGTTGTGTCATGGTATTCAGTATTCATTTGTGCAGCGGTTGTGTCATGGTATTCAGTATTCATTTGTGCAGCGGTTGTGTCATGGTATTCAGTATTCATTTGTGCAGCGGTTGTGTCATGGTATTCAGTATTCATTTGTGCAGCGGTTGTGTCATGGTATTCAGTATTCATTTGTGCAGCGGTTGTGTCATGGTATTCAGTATTCATTTGTGCAGCGGTTGTGTCATGGTATTCAGTATTCATTTGTGCAGCGGTTGTGTCATGGTATTCAGTATTCATTTGTGCAGCGGTTGTGTCGTGGTATTCAGTATTCATTTGTGCAGCGGTTGTGTTGTGGTATTCAGTATTCATTTGTACAGCGGTTGTGTTGTGGTATTCAGTATTCATTTGTGCAGCGGTTGTGTTGTGGTATCAGTATTAATTTGTGCAGTGGTTGTGTCGTGGTATTCAGTATTCATTTGTGCAGCGGTTGTGTCGTGGTATTCAGTATTCATTTGTGCAGCGGTTGTGTCATGGTATTCAGTATTCATTTGTGCAGCGGTTGTGTTGTGGTATTCAGTATTCATTTGTACAGCGGTTGTGTCATGGTATTCAGTATTCATTTGTGCAGCGGTTGTGTCGTGGTATCAGTATTAATTTGTGCAGTGGTTGTGTCGTGGTATTCAGAATTTATGCCAAATTGTTCGCCTTTCACAACAATGTGAAAATAATGAGTTGTCCCCCCTGTCCTTTCTTCTCCTACCCTGTCCGCCTCTATGTTTTCGTTTCCCCTCTGTCTTCTGTGGTGTACATAAATATATATATTTCATAACATGCAAACATTACCATCGAAATTTACTGTTTCCGCTGACAGACCCAACAGCCCCAGCTTTCCTCCAAACCCCCGGTCCTCTCTGCCTCCCACTGTCTTTATTTCCTGTTAAATGTCAGTGAGAAACGGTGCAAACCATCATCATTTTCTTCACATCATTTTATTGATTTCGCCTTTGTTTCAAAAGAGATTTGTTACATGTTTCAAACAATAAACACTTTAAAAAAAAAAAAATTTCAGTATGGCCAGTAGCCGGTTTATGTGTGAGCTGGTGAAATATCATATGTGTGCATAGCCAGCTTATCATGCCTGACCTCTTCCATCAATGACAGACTGCATTTCTGATGACGACTGTTGGTTTTGGTGCCACTAGCAACTGCTTTTTTCTGGATTGTTCCAAGACTAATTGTTTGCTCACCAGTTTTCCAAATATGACAGTGCATTAAATTTGATTTTCACTGGTACAGGAACGGAGTGAAGTGAAGTTGAAACCTCGACTAGGACTAAGACATGCAGTAAAATTCCTACTATTATTATATATTATCACTACTACTTTTACCACTATTTTTCTAGCCTTCCTTTATTTTATTTTATTCATTCCACATCATCTTTTTTTATTAGTTTCTCACGTGACCAACTGGTGGTTGGAGTAAACTCCCCTTTGTTGTTGATGTGGAGTTCAGTTCTTGTCGAGAAAGACCCAGGCCGATACATTGATATGTTATGTGTTGTTTTGTGCCCGTTGTTTCTGCTTCCCAATTTCATTGCACTTTTTAGTCATAGCTCACTGATTAATCACTGGATTAATTTCTTAGTAAAATTGAAAGTCAAGGACAGGGTTCATTGTTCACGTTTTGAGGCTTATTGGGCACATGGTACTAGCCCCATTTTAAAATCATAATCATCACCAAGTGCCTAGCCGACTGTTGTGGCCAGTCATGCCTCTTCCATCTGCAGTCTTCAACAGCATATATCAGTTTATGTGTTGACACCCTTCCAGGTCATGACAAAAGGCTGTCTTATTCTTCAATCCTTCTGTCAGAAAACTTATCAGGAGGCCGGTAGCCTTTATGAAAGCTATTGTGCAGTCCATATCTTCTCTTGTACTATACAGCTTTGTCTTCGTTATGGTTGGAACAAGCCCGATTGCGTCTCTGTTGACAGCATACAGTTGACAGTGTTGGAGAACTGCTCAGCATTTTGGGGTGACATGTTTGTGATACAATGTCATTGAGTTCTCCCTCCTTCAAAATATCTGGGTTGCTCTTTTTCTTTATCTGTCTAAGGAACTCTAAGGATCTTCTGTAAAACCACATCTCCGAGACGTAAAGTTTATTTTTGGTTAGAGAGACAAGGAACCATCAGTCTGTCTGCACACTCATGAGTCAGATCTGTAAAATGGATGTGCATACAACACTCAGGTTCTTGAAAAGGACTAGAGCCTAAAAGTTGACAAACAACTGGAACTTTCTGCTGGAATTTACAGCTGGTGAAAGAAGAAGAATAAGAAAACAAAGTTAAAGCTAGCAGGCACGCTCCCTAGTGATGATGCCATTACAGTCCTGCATGATTGAACATGATTCTGTTTTGTGCAGACTTCTGTCATCTTTGATATACATCTGGATGCCAAATCTGATGGATATGTCAACTACCATTACCCAGTGTTGTCTCCCCTTGGAATCAAGCCCTTCAAATTACTGCTGCCTTGTAAGTGTTCCATCTGTGTAGAGGCAAGGCAAAGCCACATGAGTGAAATTTGTTAAATAGAAGTAATCTAATTCCATGACATACTGCAATATATTTCTGAGAATGTGAGGGTTTGTGCTTGATTGTTGTCTCTAAGTTTTAATTTACTATTCAGTTTAAAATGACTGTTTTGATATCTTGAATGTTGAATTAAGAACCAACATCATAGCACTCGGGATACCCCATATAAGCACTCTGTCTCCATCTTCAGCAGCAAATGAAGAGTTACAATTCCAATGGCACCAGTAACTGTCTAATTGTTGATCCTTCTCACCCTTCCCTTGTGCATTGACCATCGGCCAGATCCCCTGGCAACTCGTCACAGTGGCATTCTCCTCAGACTAAAATGATCTATTTGTGCTTCCGCACTGTTCACATGCTCCAAGAGGCCCTTACAACGTCTAGCTGATTTTTTCTCTTACTCTAAAAGTTGGGGGTTTATTTTACGGGTGTATCATTCAGTTCAGAGTGCAGTTTTTCAGAGATCCCCAGGGATTGTCCTAGATGTACAGAGTCCTTGCTTTGTGCAACACTGTTATCAGGGAGCCAGCTGTTTTGTAGGAGATTGACCAAAACCTGGTGCAATGAAGTTGACCCTCTTGGCTTTTTCTGTAACTTTTAACTGTTGATTGCAGGACTTCCACTTATTAACCCTGACACCCTGGGAAGCTACAAAACTAACATTTCCAATTGGGTCCAATTCCTGGAACTGTCTTTTTTCCAACTTTTCTCTATTGACCTGTTTGCAAGATATATAGCTAATGCTGTTGGCTGTGTTTGCACCTGTGCAAATGTTTATGAGGTCAGGGTGTGAATATATTAACTAAACATAGGTGGGGGGGGGGGGGGGGTATTTTCTTTAAACCAAATGTTTTTAAAAGCCAAGTTGACATCAGATTTTCCCATAAGCCTTAGTGATAGAGGTCAAGGGTTCATGACCTGGGTCACCTAATACATATATTTTTTTAGACCCTGGGTACTGTATTCCATTTAATGCTGTACTTGTTCATGTTTATTGATTTTTCCATTTATTTATTTTTGTATATTTAAAGCAAGAAAAAAACTAAAATGTGTGCATAAATAAATGTTTAAAAAATTATTAATGATGTGCATAAATGCTATTTGTAAAGGATTGGTTTTCTAGAATTTCAACGAAATATTACCATTTTGTTTTTAAGCAATTCTGGGGTTAAAGAGTTAAAGACTGGATTTAAATTTTGTGTAGTCTCTAGATTTCTGAGATATCTTACATTTTATTACTTTTTCATGTTTATAACAAATAATTTTACTTCTTTTGTTTCAACATAGTTTTATTTATCAACAGATTTGAATCTACCACTGCATCTCTGAAAACTTTATCATTATGTAGACAAGGTCTACATTTTTTGTTTAATTACTGTTCAGTAATAGAATGTTGAAAATAAAATAAATAATCAGACGAATGAAGAAGAAGAACCTCCTCCTCAGGGGAAGCAATTATTCACACAAACCTTAAATCCTAATGTACTTGAATCTTCATCTTCTTCTTTCATCCTTCTGTCGGAAAACTTCCGTCAGGAAACCAGTAGCCTTGCTGAAAACCGTCAGGCAGTTCAGATCTCCATTTTGACCACTATGTCTTGACTGAGGTTGGAACCAGCCAGATTACTTCTATGTTAGCAGCAAACTGTTAACATGTTAGCGTACGTGCTCAACATTTTCAGATACCAGGTTGTTGGGACACCTCTCCCTGATTCTACTGGCTTTGTTTTATTATACCAGCTTTTTTGATAGTACCTGAGAAGACTAACTGCTTATGTTGTGTCTCATTTCATTTGTGTCCTCTTGTAGAAGTGAAGTATAATTTAACAGAAAATGCTCATTTGTGTGCTTTGTAAATAGGGTTTCCCAAGGACTTTATAATTCCCTTTGTCCATTGCTTGCATGGTCGGCCTTTTCTTTGCTTTCCTGCCTGGTCTGTACATCATTGCTTGCTATGGTATGCTGGCTGCTGAAATCTGTTTTATATGACCAAACCATTTCACCTGTGGTCGTTTAATGAAATCCAGATCTGCTGCTACCCCCATTTTCCTTTAGATTTCATCATTTCTGATCTTATCTCTTATTGTTAACATGTGTTATGTGTGCCCAGAAAATAGTCCTATATTTTGCACCCCGCTTTTATGGTCTGTGCTGCATGTTTCTTTATTTGCTTTATGTTTTCATTTCAGCTGTTAATATGCAAGCTGGAATTGACAAGACTGAATACAATTGTGAACTCTGTATCCTTTCACTTCTGGAAAATTGTATTTATTGATATCATTGTATGTTTTAAACACAGTCTTTGAAAGAAGGTTTTTAATCCTGTATGTATGTATGAATGTAAGTTGTACCCCACCAGGACATCACACATAGCTTTAAACATCCAGTGACACAAAGTGGCACCATGCGGAAGGGGATCACCCGTGGAGAGGTCCCAGAAAACCCGTTCAGCTGTTACGCCATATTTATGGCCCGGCTATATTTAGGGCCCACGGCAAAAGCCAGGGTGCGGCTTCAAAAAACGAAAAATTGCATCCCACATGGGGACGACTATTAAACTATATTAAAGAATCCTGTATGAGTAACGTATCTTTTATATCATGGAAACAAACTGGCTAAAATTTTCAAGCAAATTTTGAGTTATATATTTCTGTCTATTTAAAGTATTTCTGAATATATAAAGGTAAAAAAAACAGGTAAAGTCGGGAGATGTGAACCAGCGTCATTGCACACGGTTATAAACCATAAGTGCTCTGCCACCAGTACGGACAGCTGATAAGAAACTGTTCGCCTGTGTCGCCGTCCGCACAGAACTCTGTGGCTACAGCGACGTTCCTCCATTTACCCCAGAGTGTCAACTCTGGTACCCATTTCCTAGAGGCTGGGTGAACCCCGGGAGCCGCCCAGTTTTGAACACCGACCGTGGGCTGCAGCAAGTCGCAGTTGGATTTGAAAGCGAGCCTCTTATCGACTGTGCTAACGCAGCCCCATTTTTTTCTGAATATATGAATAGCTGTATGGATTACATTTAAGAATATTATTGGCCGTCATAAAATCATGTTTTTATCACATAAGCTATTATTTAACCAGGTTATTTGAAAATATATATTGTTGAATCCACTTATAACACCACATTGACGTGAAGACGTGGTCAAGTCAAATGGCTCATGCTCTGAAGGTTGTGGGTTTGTTTCACGGATGCATCGTTCATGAGTGCAGGTTTTACAGAGATTCATGTGGATATTCACTGGAGCTGTATGTGACACTCGGCAGGCAGCTGTTTTTGCTGAGAGAGACTGAGCCATATGAGGAAGAAAAAAAAAATCTCTGCAATGAATTTGATCCCTTTGACTTGAAAAAAAAAAGATTTAGGGCCGCATAGCTAGTACTGTCGCCACCATAGGTGCATGTACAGTCGTGTGTAGCTGTAAAAGAGATGTATAATTCCTTATCTTCACAAAGATTCTGCAAATTGGATTGTCTTTCAGCCTGATATTGTCATTGATGCAAAGCTCGGTAAGTTGTTTTCATAAAGTAGTTTAAATTATAGTTTTATAATAGTATTTCCTTTTTTCTATGGGGAAACAGAGTTTCCATTAAACATATACATATAATTTAATTTTTCATGTCTTTCCAACAGTGAGTATAACCAGAGATAATGCTGTAGGAGCTTGGATGAATATATAAGATCTATAAGACACATTGGTCTATAAAATATAGGTCTAGCCCTATATGCCCAGTGCATCTTAAGGCATGAAAAGTGGTCCTTTGCTTTATCGTTTTGTAAGAAACATTTATAAGTGTTGAGTTATTGTCTAGAACTATGCATTTACAAGAGTCTGGAAGTGTTCAACTAATGATGCACACCTACATGAGTCCAGTGATCATTTAGAATTTCACATGTACAATAGTCAAGTGAATTTATGTATGTTCATATGTACAAGAGTCCAGTGATCATCTAGAATTTCACATGTACAATAGTCAAGTGTATTTATGTAAGTTCATATGTACAAGAGTCCAGTGATCATCTAGAACTCCACATACACAGGAGAAAGTAATCGCCTAGAACACCTACAATAGTCCAGTGATAACCTAGAATTCATATTTAGTCGTCAAGTGATATTTAAAACTTCACATATACAGTTCTGTAAGTTAACTTCACATATACAGTAGTCAAATGAAGTTCTGTAAGTTTATATGTACAGATTTAAGGTGATCAGAACTTCTCATATACAAGAGTCGAGAGATTATCTAGAACTTCACATATACAAGAGTCAAAGGATCATCTAGAACTAACATATACACAATTTTACTATTTGGGTCCCTGTATGGGTTCTGGGGCTCCATTTTGGAGAACTCAGAAAATACCCGCTACCACCCCTTCCCCCGTTGCATTGAATTGATTCCAGAACCGACATCACAGCACTGGGAGCATTCCCATAAGTACTCTATATCCATCTTTAACAACCAGTGCAGAGTTCCAATGCTAATGGAACCAGTAGCAGTCTGTTTCAACCACAATGAAGACACAACTGTATGGTAAATGAGAGTATATGGAGTGCATGATAGCTTTCATAAAGGCTACCGGCCTCCAGATGTAAGTTTTCTGATACAAGGATCGAAGAAGAAGAAGACAATATTATAATAATCCGCTGGCCACTTGTTAGACCCCTAGGGGCTGCCAGTTCAATCGCCCTGTCATAGACGGTGACTAATTAGGGTTTTTTTTTTTTCTAAGTCGGAGTGCATCTGCCTACGAGGCAGGAAACCAACTGTCTGCTTACAAATAAGCCAGATCTAAAAAATGGATTTGCACGCAAAACTCAATTTCTGGATCACAAGTGGATGAAACAACCAGAACTTTCCGTTGGAGTTTACAGCCAGTGAACGCTAAGGAGAAAAAGTCTACTGGGCATCCAAAATGCAAAACAGTTTTCCCTTAATAAATTTAAAAGTGTAGACTTAAATAATAGACTGCACAATTGATTGCTTAGCATATTTCGCTGTATCTGATCAGAAGCATTACATCCCCATATAGTGAAGCCTAAATTGAATCCTTTCCACTAAAATACAAAAATCATACTGTCTTTTCTTGATTCAGTGTTCATCTCACTGCTGGAAGTTAAAAATAAAGACACTGCTGCCACAGCAGTTTCAGATTTGAGAGAGAGAGAAAAATAGTGTAGAGAGAGTGAGAGAGAGAGAGAGAGAGAGAGAAGAAAATAATCTTTGACATTTTTTACCAATAATTTTACATATTGCCAGGTTGTTTGTGGACACTGGAGTTAAATCTGGCTCCCCTTGTGACCATGATACCTGATAAGGTGGGTAACTGTTGCACTGCTTTCTTAAATCATCTGACTAATCATTCCTGGACATTGATGCCTAGGAAAGCTGACTGGGCAACAAATGGCTGAAGAGGTTGGATGTGTCAAAATAAAGGCACAAAAAAAAGAATGCATTCTTAGTGACTCGATGAATATGTTTAAAAAAATCCAAGCTGGATTTATCAGGCAAGAATGGATTGCAACACTAAGCACTTAACGAATATCTGCCCTAACCTTCATCTTTGTGCCAGGTCATGCGAGTCTTCAAGGGAGAGCTGCACTTACTGTACCGAGGAGCACGCCAAAGGACATGACTCCGTATCCCTGTCTAGACTGATGGACATGGGGGTGCAACCTGGAGCTGCAAGAAATGAACATTTCACTAAGGGGACAAGACATTTCATTACCCAACACAAAACAGGCGTCATCAGTCATTTTACACTTGGGGAGCTTTTGAGGAGGAGATCAGAGCACCTACGGATCTGTCTGGAGTGCTGTGATGATAGTCTTTTCTAATCACTAATCACTAAAGACACAAATGTTGCAGCTATACTGTACACTGGTGTAATGCAGTTACATCCTCAGATAAATGCAGAAGACAAAGTCAAGGCTAAGCCTAGTCCAGTGCATTCATTTGAAGTCGTGTGATAAATAGTGGGGCTCACTCTCTAGGATGGAACCACTCAATCGGTTGTGTGCCGTTTCCACAATGAAGGTTGGCTGCAGTGAATCTGCAACACACTCTCTTTTATCGTGGTTGTACACTTTCTCAGACTGGTGTTTATCCTGTTGATATTGGAAGATCTGCATTCACACCCAGAAGACATCATCATCTATACAGATGGATACGTGTAGTGCGGATCAAGGTCAGCATGGGCATACAAAGCACAAAGGATGGGAAAACAATACAAGAGGACAGTGGCGCTTACCAGGCAACTAGGTCAAGATGGAGATAGCAGCTGCTTCTAAGAACTAGCATGAGCAGCAGAGCAAACAGCCACACATGCAGTAATTGTATCCATGAACATGCTTCGGAGAATAGCAACAGTCGATGTGCAATCTGAATGGGTAGAAAGTGTTTTTAAATCTCATTTAACCTCCCTCCACTGGATCTACACATCTGGTCATGGATAATGAGCTAGCAGACTACCTAGCAAGCTGTACACCAGCACATGTGGAAAGAAACATGCACAGTGCAGATATCGTCAGCGTTGTGCGGACTGGGCTAGTGGATAATGATGAATCTGTGACACTAACATGATTGCATGACATGGGAGTAAAGCATATTGAAGCACGTCTATGCCACCTTTGATTCAGAGATAGAAGACATTATAACCAAATTCTCATGGGAACAATTAGTAGAAGTACCTTGGAGTGTCTGCTGCTTCGGAGAACTGAGCACGCATGGGAATGCCCAATGTGCAGTGACTTTGATTGTGATAATGTAACATAACATCTTGGATAGAACAAAGTGATAACTAAAAAGCTTTTAAAAGATGAAAGATCAGCTTCATGGTGCCAGGTTTTGTCCTGCACGATCCGCCTCAACAGAATGGTTGACCATTTTTTTTTCTGGTGGTTCAAAACAGTATGCAGTAGTGACACCTTTTTTTTTCTCAGCACTGCTGTAATAGACACTTTTGGGGCAGTACCGGCACCTCTTTTATACACTTTGTGGTGGTGCCAACACCTTTTTCCCTAGGAAGAAAACCCTGCTTGGAAGTGTGTGTGAAGAATGATCTCCCTAGCTCCAGTGGCAGTCTGTAAAACTTGGCATTTTTTAACTGAACATGTACGGTCCACAAACCAGCCACATTCACGGTGGAGACAAATTAGGCATTTTAGAAAGAAGACTACTTGTCTTCAGTATTTCAGGTCATACTAGAGTCATCATCGGTATGTCCTTTGCAGAAATTCCCTGTCAGATTCCAGAAAGCTTTCTTTGTCAACTACCCCGCCTCATTAACTTTAATACTCAGGGTGTCCTTGCTATACTGTGTCCACTGTCATGCTGGCCATTTCCTGATTCTTCTTGCAGAAATCGTATCCTCCATTACTGTTTTTTCCAACCCATTATGGCATTTAATATGAGACCGAGAGTGAACAACAGGTTGATGTTATCCCAGAAATGCGACAAAAATAGACACCTGTAAACAAGCATAAGCTTCTTCTCTATGCTTCACCACTATACACGTCTGAACTAAACTGTTGTCTGAACTAAACTGTTGAACATGTTTTATTACCTTTATTATTTAAATACCTTTACTGCTTGATTGTCTTTATTGTGTGATTTTCCTTGTTATTTGATTATTTTTATTGCTTGATTTTCTTTAAATATTATTATTATTAGATTTTCTTTTTGATTATCTTTATTGCTCGATTTTTCTTGATTATCTTTATTGCTTAATGTCTTTGTTCTTTGATTATCTCTGATGCTTGATTATCCTTGATTATCTTTAGTGCTTGATTTCTTTGTCCTTTGATTGTCTTTAATGCTTGATTTCTTTGTTCCTTATCTTTATTGCTTGATTTTCCTTGATCCTCTTAATTGCTAGATTTTTTCTTTGATTATTTGCATGATTATCTCTATTGCTTGATTTTATGTGTTCTTTGATTATCTTTGTTGCTTGATTTTATGTGTTCTTTGATTATCTTTATTGCTTGATTTTATGTGTTCTTTGATTATCTTTATTGCTTTATTTTCTATGATTATCTTTGTTACTGATTTTTCACTTCTGTTGCTTGATTATCTTTATTGTTTGAAACAAAATGCAAGTAACTGTTTATGTCCTTCTGCCTCACAGGACAAACTGATTCAGTTCCTCTTATACCGAACTGACAGCAAAAGTGTGATACTGTCAGTCTGCGCCCAGATGTTGGTGCCAGGAAAACAGGCCAGTTTGCAATCCCTGGCCAAAGTTTATGACATGTTAAATGTAACATACAAACAGTTTCTCGACACAGAAACACAGGCTTCGGTAAGATTCTAGAACAGTTATTGTCATTTTAACTTTTGCTGAATAATTAGAGGGCTAAATAGAAACAAGATGCCAATGAGCCAGTGCACTTATATACCAACTGACACCATTATTAAGACATCCAAACATAAGTATGAGCGTCAAGTAACAGATTATAAACAACATATTCATACCAGCACTGCTACCAGTGCCAGACTTAGACATTTTCAAAGGCTAACGTACTTAAAATTAACACCTGTGAAGTGAGATGGCCAAGAAAAGCCGCCATCTTAACCGTCTGAGACAAAGCTAGAAATGATATTACCAGACAGACTGTAGTAGCAACATCATGCAGCAAATTCACTGAGAAACAGAAGATAAAATGGTTTGGTCATCTAGTAAAAATGCAGCCAGAACAACTACCAATGCAGGTACTACACATAAAAAAGATCATCATGAAGAAGATAGATTGGTGACATTACAGAGCTTCTACATCAACACAGAATAACAGCAGCCATTGCTGTTGCCAGTGGATCACAAACTGTTCCTCCCCATGATGCTAAATGGCAGAAGTGGAAACTGATGATGATGATGAGTCACTTTCTGTGTATGAGTAAACACAAGTTATGGAACATGGTTGAATTACAGTCGATTGTATGAAATAATGTTATATCCCAGTTTCTGAAGGAGGCATCATAGGCTTATGTCTCAACAGGCAAGCGCGCTATTTAAGATTCTTCAGTTTTGTTCTTTTCTCTGATCCCAGTTGTGCCTTTCTGTGTCAGGTTTTGAAGAGGCATCTGGTGTGCTGCATTGGTTTGTGCTGCCTTGGTCTGTGCTGCCTTGGTCTGTGCTGCCTTGGTCTTTGCTGCCTTGTTCTGTGCTGCCTTGGTCTGTGCTGCCTTGGTCTGTGCTGCCTTGGTCTGTGCTGCCTTCTTCTGTGCTGCCTTGGTCTGTGCTGCCTTGGTCTGTGCTGCCTTGGTCTGTGCTGCCTTGGTCTGTGCTGCCTTCTTCTGTGCTGCCTTGGTCTTTGCTGCCTTGTTCTGTGCTGCCTTGGTCTGTGCTGCCTTGGTCTGTGCTGCCTTGGTCTGTGCTGCCTTGGTCTGTGCTGCCTTGGTCTGTGCTGCCTTGGTCTGTGCTACCTTGGTCTGTGCTACCTTGGTCTGTGCTGCCTTGTTCTGTGCTGCCTTGGTTTGTGCTACCTTGGTCTGTGCTACCTTGGTCTGTGCTACCTTGGTTTGTGCTACCTTGGTCTGTGCTACCTTGGTCTGTGCTGCCTTAATTTGTGCTGCCTTGGTTTGTGGTGCCTCGATCTGTGCTACCTTGGTCTATGCTGCCTTGGTCTGTGCTGCTTTGGTCTGTGCTACCTTGGTCTGTGCTGCCTTGGTTTGTGCTGCCTTGGTCTGTGCTGCCTTGGTTTGTGCTGCCTTGGTCTGTGCTACCTTGGTCTGTGCTACCTTGGTCTGTGCTGCCTTGGTCTGTGCTGCCTTGGTCTGTGCTGCCTTGGTTTGTGCTGCCTTGGTCTGTGCTGCCTTGGTCTGTGCTGCCTTGGTCTGTGCTGCCTTGGTCTGTGCTGCCTTGGTCTGTGCTGCCTTGGTCTGTGCTGCCTTGGTCTGTGCTGCCTTGTTCGGTGCTGCCTTGGTCTGTGCTGCCTTGGTCTGTGCTGCCTTGGTCTGTGCTGCCTTGGTTTGTGCTGCCTTGGTCTGTGCTGCCTTGGTTTGTGCTGCCTTGGTCTGTGCTGCCTTGGTCTGTGCTGCCTTGTTCGGTGCTGCCTTGGTCTGTGCTGCCTTGGTTTGTGCTGCCTTGGTCTGTGCTGCCTTGGTCTGTGCTGCCTTGGTTTGTGCTGCCTTGGTCTGTGCTGCCTTGGTCTGTGCTGCCTTGGTCTGTGCTGCCTTGGTCTGTGCTGCCTTGGTCTGTGCTGCCTTGGTCTGTGCTGCCTTGGTCTGTGCTGCCTTGTTCGGTGCTGCCTTGGTCTGTGCTGCCTTGGTCTGTGCTGCCTTGGTCTGTGCTGCCTTGGTCTGTGCTGCCTTGGTCTGTGCTGCCTTGGTTTGTGCTGCCTTGGTCTGTGCTGCCTTGGTTAAATACTGGTATTTACAGCCTCAAAAATTCCATCAATCCATCACTTGCATGAGACTTTAAATATCTAGGTAACATAATATCATTTATTGAAAACATTGGAACATAAATAGAGTATAAATGTAAAAAAGCAAATCAAATCATTAGACACATGCCATAAGACTGCAGGAAAAATATGTAACAATCGACCCCAGGAGAGCACTGTTCAGTGCACTTTTTGTGTGTTAAACCAACATTGTGCTACCAGTGCCAAACGAGAGCATTGAAAAAAAAAAGGAAAAAGAAGAATCAAAACAATAGAAATGAAATGTCTATGGCAGATCCTTAGTGCACCAAAAAAAAACATGCCGGGATCTCATCAGTGCTGAAGTACATCAAGAAAAGATATAAAACCTAACAAAAAGTATATTAGCAAGCTTCACAATATAACAGATACAAACAAAACGTGAATGTTGCGGTTATGGAACCTTCATCAGCAAATACAAATCAAACTACTACATAAATACACAAAATCACTTAGCTGGTATCTCAAAGTAGCCGTGTCGATGGTTTCTCAGCAGATTGCCTACTCGCATGGGCTGGGGGAATAAATAGCAAGAGATAGCATGTCAGAATGGTTCATACATGTGTCAGACTGGCACTGGACTATATACCATAGAGAGCTGTATCACATAGACACAGTGGAAACAGAATAAGATGCCACTGACACAAGCAGTGAAAAGATTTTCGGAGGCTGTGAATATCAGATGCCACTGATGTGAATGGTGAATAGATGATCTGAGGCTGTGAATATCAGAATCTATGCAACACACTTAAAGGCTCACATCAGATGCTTCTTTTAAAACTTGATGCTGTAAGGCAGGACACTGTGAGGAGTTACTATTGGATCTGGCCGATGCTCAATACTCAGGGAAAAGATGAGATGGATATACAGTCAGACGGCTACTGGTACCATCGGAATTGGAACTCTTCACTTGCTGCTAAAGATCGGAACTGAGTACTTATGTGAGTGTTCCGAGTGCTGTGATGTCAATTCTCAATTTAACATTTAACATTTAGGCAGGCAGAACAAGGTTTATAGAAAACAAAGAAAGTAATGAACTTAACAGTGTGTACCTAGCATTATTGAAAGAACATTCTTAAAATGTTAAAGTCTGAAAAGGGCTGCAGGAATGACCAGAAGAGATCAAATCAGGAATGAGGTCATGAGAGGAAAAAGTCATCACAGAACCAATTCTAAATTACATAGACAGCAAATCAAACAGTTTGCCCTCTTACAGAGAATGCTTTAGGACGCCATACCATGTAAGGCATACACCAAAAAAAGGAGATGGACGAAGAACGCAAGGTAGACCAAGAGCAAGATGGAAAGATAACATCAGAGAAACTCTTCAACAGCACACTACCAGAATAACAAGAAGCAGAACCTTACTTATATCTCCCTCGACACCCGAAGCAGTGAAAGAGGAAGTGAAGAAGAAGAGGAAGATTCTTAAAATGATCTGGTAACTGTTTCTTGAGAATAGCTCCACCACTTTCTCCTCATTCTAGTATAACTATCACTGTTGGAGACTGAACACTTAACTATGTTAATATGTATATCATGGAAAGATATAAAGCAGAACGAAAAGTAGATCAGTGAGCTTCACACAATATAAAAAACACAAACAAAATGTGAACGTTGAGGCTTAAGAGCCTTCATCAGCCCATACAAAAAACGTACAGATACACAAAAATCACTTAGCTGATGTTTCCGGATGTCTTGCCAGTGGAATGAAGAAACACATAAGGGCCGAGAATAAATAGCGATTGAATGCCTAGGGCCGTAACTCGAGAATTTCAGATGAAACTGTGTTGACAGTTTCGTCCCCTGGGTGTTAAAGTGCCAAAAATTAAAATAAAGCGATTTTCAAGAGACTTGCGAACTCTGTCGCTGAAGTGACTATGTTTATTGGCTGTCATCTCCATGTCTTACCTGGGTGATCCTGTTAATATGTAGTTGAGCTGGCCACCATGACCACCATAGCTTTCTGAACATTTTCTATAGTAAACTTATGATGTGTTTGTGACTTGTTCGACAGGCAGGTGAGGCTTCTATCAGACATGTTAACAGCAAAGTGGTGATTGAGCAGTCTGACATGTTCACTCACGTGTTCTCTGTGTTTGAGGACTACAAGGTATGCTAGTTGTGTGGTTTGTATTGCTACATTACTAGTACAGGCGTGTGGCTGTATTGTTGGGTTGCTGGTACAGTTGTGTGGTTTGTATTATGTTACTGGTACAGTTGTGTGGGGTGTATTGTTATGTTGCTGGTATGTTATCTGAGTTGTATTATTATATTGAAGGTACAGCTGTGTGGCTTGAATTATGTTACTGGTACAATTGTGTGGCTTGTATTGTTATGCTGTCTATACAGTTGTGTGACTTATATTGTTACATTAATGATACATTTGTGAGGTGTATTGTTGTGCTGCTGATACAGTTGTGTGGCGGTATCATTATTTTGCTAGTACAGACATGTGTCTTCTATTGTTATGTACCTGGTACAGTTGTTTTTGGTATATTGTTCTGTTGCAGGTACAATTATATGGCTTGTATTGTTATTTACTGGTACAGTAGTGTGCTTGTTATGTTAGGTTGCTGGTATGGTTGTGCGGCTGTGCTTGTTACATTATTGACACAGGTGTATGGCGGGTACTGTTATGTTACTATATTGTTACTGTTGCTAATAAAGTGAGAATTTGCACCATTATGATTCACTCATCAAATAGCTTCTTCTAGTCTCTTTGTCATAACATCATGGCATATGAAGCGACTGAGCGCGCCCTGGCTCGGTTGCCGATCATCTGACAGACTGCGACGCCTAGCGGCACAAGCAGATTTTGACAAAAGAAGAAGAAAGAAGTCTCTTTGTGGTGTCTACCCACGTGTTTTTATTGACTTTTTCATGCACATTGGACCTCCCATTTTACCTTCAAGAAATGATATGTGTCTCTTTATGGTTTAAAAAAAAAACCCAACTTTGCTGCTATCTGTATTTACTGCTTCTTAGGGTGGTGTAAACAGATTGGGGGGAGGGGAAGAGGGTCTTGAGCCTGAGTATTTGGGGTGTGGGTTAGGATGTTTATTTTTGTCCCCAACAGAAAAACTTGCTGACCTTACCGGGGATCAAACCCAGGTCTCCCGCATAAGAGCCTCCCTTTATGGTTAAAATAGGTAAAGGACCCTTTTCCTGCCGGTAGTTCATGAGGCATGTGGTGCTAAACTCATATTTGTATAGACCAGTTGTCACTTAGTGAAAGAGTTGGTATAGTATGTTGACCGATTTTACCTCCCATTACATTTTCATAGTGCCTATTTTAGCCGGGGTTAATATTGAGAAAAGTGGAAACAGGTATGCTCCCTGCAGAGTGGCAAGCATCGTTTCTGAGGTCCCAGGTAGTTAGCGTCCTTTGGATATTTTCTTCAGGTCATGCTGGTGTGTTTGGAAACCAGCAGGCAGATAGACCTATTCTCCATCACTTGGTGGTGAACCGATGAATGACAAGGTGCATGTTGTGAGGGCCCTTTGGGAGTGCGGGAACAGTGCGGGGACCTAAATTGATCATTATGGTTTTAGGAGAATAGCGCTGTGGAGAGTTACCAATCGATCTGGCCGACGCTCGACACTCAAGTGTAAGGCGAGACAGATGTACAATCAGACAGTTACTGGTGCCATTGGAAATGGAACTCTTCTCTTGCTGCTGAAGATGGAGACAGGGCACTTATGGGAGTGTCCCCAGTGCTATGATGTTGATTCTTAATTAAAAATTACATGTAGTCTGTGTTAACATGGAAGCCAGGGTGAATTACTTAAAAAATCTGCCTTGCTGCAGACTTAAAACCAAAACCTTACCAGTCTTTAAGAAATATTATATCGATTGAGTAAATATGAGTAAATAAATAAATAAATAAATATGGGAAGTCAATAGGTAAGGCACAAATGGTTGTTTAAAAAAAGCAAAAGAAATAACAACTTGAAAACCGATTATTTTTACACACACACACTGTCCCTTTATTTTTCAACATAATTTCCACTAACATTGATGCACTTGTCCCATCATTTTATCAGTCCTTTCAAACCTGCTGCACAGAACTACATGCTCTGTTTTCTAAACCACATTTTCACTTCACTTTCAACTTCTGCATCATTCATGAAATGTCTCCTGCCAAGGTGGGTTTTCAGTGGACTGCTTTATAGGGATAAACATTTGTCACCATAAACAGGAAGCATTTCCTTATGAATATCCTTTGCACTCTGTAAGTATGGTCGTCATTTTGTTTCTATGTTGCAAATGTGCATGCAACAACTAGCGCCACCTAACAAATGGAGACATAAAGTTTGATGTTGCTGTTACCTAATGACACCTTTATAAACCACCAACTACATTTTCCTGCCATCCCATAACCATTTGTGGCTTTCTTATTGACTTCCCCTTCGTAACCTATTGAGTAAATATATTGTCCTCCACAGGACATCAAATATAAGTTTGTGGTTGCCGTGCTAATTGAGTACATCCGGTCCCTCAACCAGTTTAACATTCCAGTGCAGGTGAGTTGGCTGTCTAGTGGTGAGTATTGCAGAAGTTTGAAGAAAATTAGAAGATGGGCTATGAATTTAGGAAATAGCTCAGTTGTGTTGTATTTTCATCGTCATCATCACCTCCACAGTCACCATTATCATCAACATTGTCATCATATTAATCAGTCACCAACACCACCACCATCATCATCATCATCACCACCATCATCATCATCACCATCATCGTCATCACCACCATTGTCACCACCAAAACCATCAGTACCACCACCACAATCCTCACCACCACCACCATAACAATCAATATTACCACCACAGTCATCACCACTACCATATCCACCACCGTCATCACCATAATTATCATCATCACAATCATCAACATCACCACCATCATCATCGCCACCATCATCACCACTACCATCATCATCACCACTACCATCATCATCATCATCATCATTATCATCATCATCATCACAACCACCATCTTCATCATCATCACCACCACTACCATCATCATCACTGTCATCATCATCACCACCACTACCATCATCACCACCTCCATCATCACCACCATCATTATCACCACCATCATCATCATCATTATCATCATCATCATTATCACCACCACCATCTTCATCATCATCATCACATTCATCACCACCATTGTTACCACCATCACCACCACCATAACCATTATCACCACCACTATAATCATCATCAGCGTCATAATTACCACCATCACCACTATGAGCATCCACATATGTCATTATCATCATCCTCATCATCCGCTTTTGCTGTCAAGCATCATGGGAAAGAACAGTTGGAGGTCCGTTACTTGATAGGTATAATCATTCTCTTTGAATATTATGTCCTTCGTGAATACTGTCATTCTGTCTTCCTGCTGTCTTTGGTTTTCTTATATGTAAATCCTTTGATAGTAGCTGGTGCTGCTGCATTCTTACTTGTGCCAAAACTGTTAGACTTTCTGTGTGCATTTGACAAAAGGTTTTCCTCTTCTATTTGTAGACAATGTTATCAAAGACAGTTGTTAATGTGGAAGTAAAAGCTTTATGCTTTACTTGGAACTGTCTTTGGGGAAGTTATGTTGTATGGAAATGGTACATTCACTTATTAGGAATGTTACTAGAGACAGTTGTTGTATCTGTGGAAATGAAATTCTCACTTATTACCCAGGAATGTTATCACCACCCACAACACTTGTGTCTGTGGGGACAGTTTTTTCACATACTACTACTACTGGAGAAAGTAATCAAAGACGGTTGTGTCTATGAATATGATACCTTCATGTATTACTTGAGAATGTAATCAAAGACGGTTGTGCCTGTGCAAATTTTACCTTCATGTATTACTTGAGAATGTATTCAAAGTCAGTTCTGTGTGGAAGGGGTACTTTTACCTATTAATGGGGGGGGGGGGGGGGGGGATAAAGAAAGTGACATGAATGATAGTAGTCTCATATTTGTAGAGACCAACCAGCACTTAGTGACTGATGTGGTCAGCTGGCTGTCTTTACTTCCCAGTTCAAGACCTGGGACTGATCAACTCAGTGTGGATTTAAACCCAATATCTTCAGACTGTCAGCAGCCTAGTCACTGTTCCTTTAGTATTACCTGGAAATATTGTCAGAGATAGATGATTTTGTATGTCATCAGAAAATGTTACTGAAGATGCTGTTACTGTAACTTGTATTTCTACAGCATTATTTATATGAACTGGTGATCAACATACTGGTACAAAACAGCTGTTTCTACCAGTTACACCAGTTCTTGCAGTACCATGTGCTCAGTGACTCCAAGCCTCTGGTGAGTTGCTGGATCTTTTACTGTCTTCTGATTTTCCTCACATTCTAGATAAAAACATTTTTATATGTTCACGACTCTTCTGTACATAACTGTTTTAATTTTGCTCTTTCTTACTACAAGGGGAAGTCAATAAGTTAGTCACAAATAGTTATGGGGTGGCATGTTAATATAGCTAGTGGTTTCTAAAGGTGTCAGCAACACCAAACTGTATGTCTCTGTTCATTAGGTGGCGCTAGGTGTTGCATGTGCATTTGCAACACAGAAACAAAATGGGGACTATATTTATGGAGTGTACCCTCAAAGAACAACGTTCTGGTTTGTGTTTTTGGGGGGCAAAAGGGCTGCCTGCAAAGGACATTTATAAGAAAGAGCTTCCCTTTAATGCTGACAAATATTTATCCAGTAGTGGTGCACAGCTGGGTAAAAAAAAATTTTTACAAGGTCGCTCTGAAATTGTTGGTGAAGTTTGATCTGGTCGTCATGATGAGATTGCAACAGTAGCATCCATGCAGCTGGTGGAGGCAATGATTAGAGGTGACAGGTGAGTAAAGGTTGACTCTGTAGCAGCTGCTATAGGGTACTCACATGGTTCAGCATACAACATAATGCAAGATTGATTGAAAATTTAAGAAATTATGCTCAAGATGGTTACCCAGACAATTGACAGACAAAAACAAAATGAACTGATTAGGCTTGTTCTTGCAGCATCTTTGTTGATATGCAGATGAAGGAGAAGACATGCAGGACAGGATAATTACTGGGGACGAATCATGGGTGCATCACTACGAGACCGAATCAAAGCGTGCTTCACTACAATGGAAACATCATCCAGGCCTGCTGACTAGAAGTGTACTGCTACTTTATGACAATGCCAGACCACATACGGCTCGTTTAACTCAGGAGAAAATTAACCATCTAGGGTGGGAACTTCCGGAACATCCCCTTTATAGCCCCGACTTAGCCCCTAGCTATTTCTACCTTAAAACCCACCTTGGCGGGAGATATTTCGCCAATGACACAGAAGTTGAATGTGAAGTAAAAATTTTGTTTAGAAAACAGAGCACACAGTTCTATGCAGCAGGTTTGGGAGGACTAATAAAAGAATGGGACAAGTGTGTCATTGCTGATGTAAATTATGTTGAAAAATAAAGGGACAGTTTGTGTGAAAGAATAAATGGTTTTCAAGCTTTTATCTTCTTAACAATTTTTTTTTAAACAACCATTTGTGAATTACCTAACTTCCCCTTGTAAAATAGTCAGCATCTGTAACTTGTGACACATTCAGTAATTTCGAGATACCAGGTTCGATTCCAGCTGTTGGCAATGTGGCAGCAAACTGCTTTGCCTTTCTTTTTTTTTTTCTTTTTTATGGTAAAGAGAGTTGACCATTCAATAAGCATTGGCAAACTGCTGAGTGTACAATTGCCTAGTAGAACCAAACAGCCAAACAGTGCTGAGGTTAGTTTTGTACCTCCCTGAGTTTGGTTCTGTACTAAATAAACCATCAATGTCTGTGGCTTAGGGGTTTTGAACAACATGTATGGTTTAATTCTGCTGCAGTGATTTGATAGCAGACTGCCAAGTCTACACCTCTGTGGGTATCAGGAGACTGACTGACAAAATTACTCAATGTAAAATTGCCTAGGATTTGTTCACAACACTCTGAAGATATGCAGCTAACTAGATAAACCACTACTTATATTTACAAACATATGTTTACATTTACAAACCAGTGTTTTATTTACAAACCAGTGTTTTATTTACAAACTAGTGTTTATATTTACAAAAACAATGTTTATATTTATGACACCTTGCTCTACTCTGTTCACAAGTTCTTCAAAGTATTCAGCTCATGTCATCTATACATTTGAAATTTTATCAACATTTGTGTATTGTCTTTACAAAAATGGTAAACCCAAAGTATTTTGAATTTTCATTTGAAAATTCCTCTTTAACTGAGTCACTCTTTTATTCTATTGTGTTTAACCCTGGATCACATTGTTATTTACCTTTTCCTAAATGTTGCTGTAAAAAAAAAATGGGAAACAATTTTTTCACAATCCGCGGTTACTGGGTATATGATTCTTGCCTAGTACTTTTTAGACCAGTATATGCTCGATATGTAATATCAGTATCAAGAAAAGGTCTCATACATGTGAAAACCTGTCTACGCTTCTCCAAGGGCATCCTAGAAACAGCTTCTGAACTGGTAGACTGGCCAGTGTAGACAAGATTGACATTTCTGTCAAAGTCATAGCGCATTTGCCTGAGCGGCAAGGAACCTACAGTCTGTACACAGATGTGCCAGATCTGTAAAATGGATGTGCATGCAGTACTCAAGGCCAGAGTCAGAAAGTAGATGAACAACGAGGATTTTCACCAGGGTTTATAGCTAGCGAACCAGAAGAAGAAAAAGAAGTTCTAGAATTCTGACTGATTCATATTCTATTAGTGCTATCAGCGACTACGTTTGTATCACTTTTAGAAATCTTCTCTGTCCAGTTATCTTTTCAATTACTTTTTGATTTATGTACTGCTCTTTTTAGATAGTTCTTGTCATATTTTAGCACCATGATATTTCAGATCCGTCTTCTGCTTCTTCTTCTACCTTCTACCTTTCACCATCAGCTTTTGAAGAAGTGAGCCTTGATGTGGGCTATGTAGATGCTGGTATTCATGGCCTTGAATATTCCATCTATCCACAGCTTGTGTGGTCGACCTCTGGATATGCTCTCATTGTATCTTTGAGACAGGGCTATCACTGTTGCGCTATCTTATAGTAGTCATGACACATGTCCGAAACCATTTTTATTTATTGTTTCTTGATCTATACATTTGATCCATTGTCCATATTTCAGAGCCACATTATGTGGCTGACTGACCACCCATACATAATAGTGATTTTTTTTGTCATTAATAATGTTGTATAGCTACTGAAAAGAAAATAATTTTGACATTCAGAATCTTTGTAACTTAATGAGTGAAATTGTTAAAATTTGACAAACTAATACCTTAATGTTAAACCAAGTCATTTTACAGTTCTCTTGTCGTTCGATATTGTCTTAGGCTTTCCCGTCAGCTAGAAAAAAATCATATAACTATATATTTCCTTTTTTTTTAACAGTGTATTATTCTGAAATAAAGTAAAAGTCAACAACACTTTTCATGCCATTGTTGCATTAGGCATATTGTGCTAGACAACTGTTTTATACATCAGTCAACACTAAGTTATGTGATAAAAATTGGTTCAACTCCTATACATTCCATGATATTTCTGGTCCCCATTTTAGACTGGGTAAACCTGGGAGCTTTAGATTGATATGAAAATCCACCTCTGTGGGGATTCAAACCCATTTCGCTGCTGCATCTCACTATAATCTTCTGTACCTTCATGTAATCTGAACCTCCCTATCGTCTTCTACACCTCCTTATCGTCTTCTTCACTTCCCTGTAATCTTTTGCACCTCCCTATAATCTGCTGTACTTATGTGTGTTTTCAATATTTCAGGCATGTTTGATGCTGTCACTAGAATCAGTTTATCCACCTGCTCACCAGCTGGCCTTAGATATGCTCAAGGTAAGCAATGAACTATAAGAAAAAGAAGAAGAAGAGAAAACAAAGAAGATAAATGCCTTGCTGATAAGAATAAGCGATCATGGTTTGCCATTTTCTTCTTCATCTGCAATCATGCTTCATCTCTGAGCTTTTTGGTCTTATATCCTCTCTGTGATGAAGTCATCAGGGTTTGGTTATCTTTGTCTTCTCCGTTGCCAATTGTTTACAAGTTTTTGAGTTTATTGTTTATTTTTCTTATAACATTTCCACAAAACAAAACAAAAAACAATTGTCTGATGTTTATGGTATCGGCATTAATAACAGGCTATATTGGGTTCTTTTATAACTTATAGTAGGTGTTTTTTTTTTTTAAATACAGAAATTCAATTATCTGGGCACATGTATAACTTCTGATGGAAGATCTGTCACACAGATATAGAACAGAATAGGGCAGGCCCAAAATGCCTTTTATAAAATGAAGAACATTTTGTGCGATAAATCCATGTCATTGGAGGTTAGGAAAAGAATTCTCCCAAGCTGTATAGAGCCACATTAAGTGATACATCATTATTATCATATACTCTTGTATGTGACAGTAGACCCAGGCTATAATGAATACCAGATAAAGTCCTTGGAAGTAAATGTGGCTGGAATGATACTGGCCATATAACCCATCGTAAGCTAATTGGTCTGTATGGGTTTAACACCTAAGTACCACTGGTGTGAAACGGGTCCGTTACCTACTTTACTTTACTTATAGTGGCATCTAGTTTCTGGTTACCTATAAAACTATGTCCAAGACCTTCTTTTTACATGTAGGACTGTATTTATTCAGAGCTAAGACAGTGTTTTACACTACACAGATTCATAAAATTTGAACAAAGAAGACACAAACAATAGATTGCACAGTTTATTTCCTAGCATATTTCGTTGTATCAGGTACATACTACAGTAACAATTGATTAAAATATAGCAAATAAATGAATCCTTTGAACTGAAACATAAAATCGACTACATTCAAAAACTATGTTTCACTGGGGTAAATGCAAGGTGAAGAGCATGTCATTTTGTTTGCATAATTCTGGACTAAACCGGTTAATCGCTGTCACTTCAACAAATCTCAGTATTCTCCGGTTGGCAGAAGTGTAAACAATTCAGAATGCATCTTCCTTGTTTACAGTGTGTCCAGACTCCAAAATATGACACGCAGTGGCTGATGGGGGATTTTTTCTACCAATCACCTAATTCATTGTTGAGCTGTTGTTAGAGTTTTGCATTGCTTTCACCACCCATAGTGGAATATGTTCAGCAACCCATTTCTCCAGTTGTTGATCCGTTCTGCCCACATATGCTGCATAACAGGTGCATTTAAATTTGTAAAAACAATTAGATTTGGCGTACGTCGACACTGGTTCTTTCACTGGGTTTAATTTTGATAACAGGCATGGCTGCATAAAAACTCATTTGGAAATGAGACCTCATACTTCTTACCAAACACCCCGCTCCTACCTCAATGTGTGTGTTATACTTTCTTCTGAAGAGGGTAATGTTCCTGAATGTGATTGAAATAAATTTGGTTGAAGCTCATAACATATTTTTCAGCTGTACTGTAGTTTGCCATGTTGTTTTTAATATATAAAAGACATGAAATTTTTTTTTAAGTTACTAAGCACATTTGATAAAATTTAGTATGATGTTCTTTATTGTTTTAAATAATGTGGACACAAACAATGCATTCATAAGTTTATTGCCAGGCATATTTTCCTGCACCTCATCAGTTGCATTAATTTATGCATGGAGTGAGGCCAGAAGGGCAGAATGTAAGACAGGTCTGTGTGCCCAATTTTTAACTCTTCCAAAATTAAGTTTGTTTGTTCGCTTGTTCATTCATTACTACGGAGTTACATCAACGTATAGTGAAGCACAAAAACTAAATAAATTCTATTGAAATGGGAATGGTTTCTCTCGATGCATCGTGTTCGTCTAGTTGCCAGAAGTTCACTTTAGGCACATGACTTACCAGCGTAACTTCAGATTTTCTACACATTCTTTCTGCTTCCATGAGAGGGATTTTGTTGATTTTAATCTTTGAAGCTTCAACTAGTCTCAGCATTGCAACTATCAACCCTGTTGTCACACAAGCAAATACCTCGGAGTAAATCTTATCAGAACTATTTTTTGGCCAACACTATGCTATCAATGCCAAACGTGGACACTTACATCCTCCAATGAACGTAAAATTGTGACAACAGAGAGGAAATGCTGTAGAAGAGCTGCAGGATTTTCAAGGAAAGACAGAATACGAATTTATGAAATCAGACGAATGCTAGGAATAAAGCCAGTCTTACAGGTCATCAAAGAACAACAAATTAAGTGATTTGGACACCTAACAAGAATGCCCTGGTACTATCCGCCACAGCGAGCCACACTAAAACGTTACAACGGGTATAGAGCGAGTGGAAGACCTCGGAAAATATGGAGTGATGGCATTAAGAACAGCCTTACAGAAATGAACATCAGTCTTAATAGTGCTCTTGACAGAGCTCATCAATGAACATTACATTTCCCCCCGACACTTCGATGAGGTACAAGGTGGAAGAGAAGAAGAATAAGAAGAAGATGTGAGACTGGCCGAAGCTTTAACAATTAAAATCAACAACCCTTATGTCAACAGAAAAAATTTATAGTAAAATTGTTTGTGTCCGCATTATTTAAACTCACTGCGAGAAAACATTGTTTTGAATTCAGCATTGTTGTTTTGCCAACAGAGAATACAAACGGCAAATGAAGAGATTATTGAAGTCTTATTATCCAAGCAGCAACTTCTTCCCGCAATCAGGTATTTAAACATTGCCATTGATTCAGTCCTGTACCTAATTGGTTTCATGAGACAAGTATTGTAGTTAAAACAAACAAGATAGAGATCAGCAGTATTGCAGGTCGTTTTAAGTGTTATCAGACATAAAGTCTGGGTTCTGGGGCCAATTTTGGGGTGGAGGGGAGGGGAATAGACCTACTGCCTCCTAAAAGCATGTAATGGGAGGCGACTAATTAGAATGTCTCCTTGAAAGTCAGATTGCATGTGCCTGGGAAGTGAGGAACTAACATTCTGCATACAAATAAGCTAGATGTGTAAAACAAATGTGCATGCAAGACCAAAGTGCAGAAGTGGACAAACAGTCAGAACTTTCTGCCAGACTTTACAGTCCGTGCATATGAAGAAAGAAGAAGAAGAATAAGAAGACGAAGCAGCAGCAGAAGAAGACTGGGGAATAGTTTTATTGCATACAGAAAAGGAATAAAATGATTTTATCATTTCATAAGAATGTCCTCAAATTTGACAGTACTGTAAGTTTTGTCATCTTCATTCTTTCTAGGTTAATACTCACACTTCCTTATACAGTTGTCAAACACAGTTGTCCTTGTGTCTAGCTTTGTCATAATTTTGATAGCTATGCTTTGCAGTGGTAGTATACTTTTATTCTTACTTTTATTCTTATACTTCTGTGGCTGCTAAACCAGGATAGGTTAGCCGATCAGCCAAAACTGACAAGTGAGTTATAGGTAATGCTTAGTCTGGATTCGGTGGACTGTACGGATGAAACTCTCTTGGTTCAACAGACAAAAAGGTGACTGCCAACAAGCTCTGTGGAAAGCCTTGAGCACGGCAAGGCACCAAAGTAGCCCTGGTCATCCACTGTATCCGAGTTCCATCTCCAGACATCTTGATTTAGCTTGCCACTAGACTTAGATGAACTGAAATGAGAGAGTGAGGTCGACGAACTGCGCAACTCTTCCTCACTTAAATCAGACTAACAGTGCATGTCATTTTTTCATCTAAAACCGAATCCAGTCATGAATGGATGAAAGGACTGGTCCTCATTACCTGTGATGGACAAACAGTAATACTTTTTTGATCATCCAGTGATCGTAGGTTTAAACTGCTTGGAGGAGTTTTGAAATTGTCTTGGATTCTGACATTGTCCAAGCCTACAATAGATTTCAGGAAATGCCATGTAAAATAAAGATAGCCTGGCTGATAGTGACCACATCATCTGCTGAGTGCCGATCGGTCTAAACGAAAGGATGAGACTAACACCTCTAGGTATGGAATTGAGTCCTTATACTTCTGACCAAATACCCAGCTTCTACTTCATTGTGCGTTGTGTCAGTGGCTTAGGCGTTGCGAGTCTGACTGGTAATTCCAACAAACCGTGATCGAAACCCACTGCTGGCTGCATGGTTTTTTTTATCATGGTTCGGGGCATCGCAGGTCGACCCAGCCTAAAATTGGTACCAGGATGGCTGTCCTGGGGAAGTAAAGACGGCCGGTGTTATGCTGACCACATTACCCACCTAGTGCCAATTGGTCTGTAAAAATATAGAGAGGCAACATAAACATTTTCTTTTTTTTTCTTCTCCTCCTCCTTCTCTTCTTCTCTTTCTTCTTCATCTTCTTCTTTCTTCTTGTTTTTTTTTTCCTTTTTTCTTCATTTCTTTCTCTTCTTCTGCTTTTTCTCCTCCTCCTTCTCTTTTTCTACTTCTTCATCATCTTCTTCTTTTTTTTTCTTCATTTCTTCCTTTTCTTCTACTTCTTCTGCTTCTTCTAGTCCGTGCCTTAAGAAGACATTTGTAGTAATATCTTTCCACGGTGCAAATTTGTAAATACAGATTTATGCATCATGTCTGTTTATTCTGGCAGCCCGTGTTTGATAGTTGATGATTCATCATAATTTTCCCCCTGGTGCAGGTTCATTCGCAGTGTTGGGATTGTAGACAACGCCCAGTCTAGGAAATTTCTAGAAGCTGCACTCAGCACAAATGACAATATGATTTTCTACACTGTTTTCAAGTTTTTTGAACAAAGAAACCAGCGGTTATGGGCAAACCCAAGGTTTCAACAAGGTAAACTGTTCACAACTGTTTATACATATAATTTGATAAATTATGAAATAAGCACAGATCAAAAACAGAAATGGAATTAAGTCGCTGTGTAAATTCTGAGACTCCATTGTGGGGAGAGGGGGTAGTAACAAGAATAGACCCACTGCCTTTCTAACAAGCATGTCAGAGAAGTTGACTACAGAAGGAGGAAGTGTTGGACGAAAGGCGCTAATATCGCAGCAGTGCTGTAAATGAGTACAGCGCAATTACATCTTCGGATGAACACATAAGAAGAAGATACTAGTTTGCGTGAACTGTTGTGGAAAGTATTTTTTCACCCTTAAAATAAATGGGAAAACCATTCTGAAGTCACTGAGAGACCATTTGGTATATAGTGAAAGTAAAGGACCCTTTTCTACGCCTTTGGGCTTATTAGGCATATAGGGCTAGACCTATATTTTACAGACCAATCGGCACTTGGTGGGTGAGGTGGTCAACATCATGCCGCACCGCCTTTACTTCCCAATACTTTACCTGGTACCCATTTAAGACTGGGTCGACCTGGGAGCCATAGTAATTTTTTTTTTTTTTTTTTTTTTTTTTTTTTTACAAGTCCGGCTCCATTGGGATTTAAACCCACCAACCTCCAGAAACACAGATAAGGGATTGTGTTGTTTAAATTGCTGTATAATAGTGTTGAATATATATAGCATTAAACGATTCTCATCTTTATAGTTTTTTTTTTTTTTTTACCTTTGTCCCCCAATGGAGCATAGGCCCTCATTCAACTCATGCCAAGTCATCCTATCCTGTGGTATTGTATGAAGCTCTCCCTATGTCCTCTCCATCTTTTTTAACTTCACTTATTGTCTATCTAGATGTTAATATTTATTTCATATAATTAAAAATGTTTAGGATCATTCCTTTTCTCTTTTTGATTTTTATTGTGTTTTCCCACCATCTTTATTTGAAGAAAAAAAAATAGTTACTTTGTTTATTTTTAAACAGGTGAACACTGTGATCAGTACGTGAAGCAGTTTGAGGCATTGTTTGGAAGTGAGTCTCTGATGCCTTTACAACCAGTTCAGTGAATCAGGACAGTGCAGTGAACCAGGACAGTTCAGTGAATCAGGACTGTTAAGAGAATCCGGACAGCTCAGTGAATCAAGACAGTTCAGTTTGCAAAGTTAAGGATGTTCAGTGAATCAGAACAGCTCAGTAAATCAAGACAGTTCAGTTTACACAATTAAGGATATTCAATGAAGCAGGACAAATCAGCTTACAAAACCAAATCTGTTCAGACAGTTCACTTGACAAAGTCAAGGCTTTCAGGAAATCAAGATTATTTACGTTGGAGGATCAAAACTTTAAGAAAATCAGGTTGATGAAATCAAGGTCGTTCAGGAAATTGAGGCATTTCTTTATGAAAGGAAGACCGTTTGTGGAAACATGTTAATTGGCAAGTTCCATTTCACAGGTGTGAAAAAATGAATACATTAAAGACAGTTAATGAGCAAAGTGAATTGTCACAACTAAATTCAGTAAACAGACAGCTTTTCAATGAAAAGACATTTAAACAGGACAGTTAGTGAGTTCTGTGAAAGTTATGTGAACAGGACAATTAGTGAGTTTTGTAAAAGTTATGTGAACAGGACAGTTAGTGAGTTCTGTAAAAGTTATGTGAAGAGGACAGTTAGTGAGTTCTGTGAAAGTTATGTGAAAAGGACAGTTAGTGAGCTTTGTGAAAGTTTTGTGAACAGGACAGTTATTGAGTTCTGTGAAAGTTATGTGAACAGGACAGTTAGTGAGTTCTGGGAAAGTTATGCGAAGAGGACAGTTATTGAGTTCTGTGAAAGTTATGTGAAAAGGACAGTTAGTGAGCTTTGTGAAAGTTATGTGAACAGGACAGTTAGTGAGTTCTGTAAAAGTTGTGTGAACAAGACAGTTAGTGAGCTTTGTGAAAGTTGTGTGAACAGGACAGTTAGTGAGTTCTGTGAAAGTTGTGTGAACAGGACAGCTAAACAAGTTCCGTAAATCAAGGCCGTTGAGACAGTAATGAATGAGGTAGTTATTTATTCACTTTAGACTGCAATTGACATTTATATATAAATATATATATATATGCAGATGATCATGTGATAAACAATGTAATGTTATCTAGAAAATGAATCATTAACTCATTATTGATGTTCGCAAGCATACTTGTCTATTGAAACATAAATACTCATTTTCTGTGATACATTTAATCAGAGTATTACAGTATGAGAAACATTATCCCTGCCTTGCAATGTGGCTAATGATTGGCAGTTTAAATACAGTACAACTTCTGAAAGTAGTAGAGATTGAGCCCATTTAAACCTTGATAAAAGTAGTTTGTGCACTTTGGTTTTGTTGTAAATACTTATGTTGCACACAGATATCTCCATAATAGCCTCAGTCTCCACCTTTAGGTCACACAAGGAGAATCTCAGTACTGAATAGTCAATATGTAAGTAATATCAGTGAGGATCCATATGTGTCTATGCCTGAACAAAAAACAGTGGAGACTCAGGATACAAATTTAATCCCTTCCATGACTGTGTTCATATGGTACATATCTTGTATCCTGAAATTATTTTCCTCATTATAATTAATTTAAATAAATTTAATATGTTCCAGCTCGGCTTCGGCTGCTGTACATATAAAACAAAATAACATTTTTGTTTCGTAAACACGGAAAATGTGTAGAACTGCTTTTTTTCTTCTTCTTTTGCCGGCAGTGGAAAGCAAGGTTACTTCCAACCATGATACTAAAGCCCATCATCATCAAGTACCTTGTTTGCTGGAATAGCCAGTCACACCTTTCGAGTCTGGAATTACCTGTTACTCAAGTCCCCTTTTGGCAATATTAACCTGACCTAATCTATTTAAAAGTTATTGAGATGCTGCCAGGTAATACCAAGAGTTTTCGTCTCTCTAGCTGACCTCTTCAGCTCGCATCCTGGATTTTGCCTCATATTCAGGAAGCAAATTGGCACACCTGGCTTCAAATCCTGGAAAACTTGCATCTAGTTACGTTTGTATCCTTCTTCTTCTTCTTTGCGTTCGCCAGCTGTAAACTCTGGTGGAAAGTTCTGGTAGTTCATCCACTTCTGAACTGCAGTACTGTTCCAGAATCTGAGTGTTGCGTTTGCACCTGTTTGACAGACCTGACACATGTGTGTGCAGACTGTTGGTTCCTTGCCTCTCAGGCAGATGCACTCCAACTTCAAAGGAAGCTCCCAATTATTTGACTCTTACGACATGCTTTTGGGTAGGCAGTGGGTCTATTCTTGTTTTCCCTATAACTGGGCCCCGTAACCCACACGGGGTTCATTTGTGTCCTGAAGTTCCACTGTATTCCAGAAACAAAAATTATATTTTGTTTTTTTGCATTTGAGGGTAGCTTTTCTAATTTGCTAAAATGTGTCTGCGTGACTCAGGTAGCAGATCCTTCTGGGGGACATCTGTGTGACTCAGGTAGCGGACCCTTCTGGGGGATATCTGTGTGACTCAGGTAGCAGACACTTCTGGGGGACATCTGTGTGACTCAGGTAGCAGACACTTCTGGGGGACATCTGTGTGACTCAGGTAGCAGACACTTCTGGGGGACATCTGCGTGACTCAGGTAGCAGACACTTCTGGGGGACATCTGTGTGACTCAGGTAGCAGACACGTCTGGGGGACATCTGTGTGACTCAGGTAGCAGACACTTCTGGGGGACATCTGTGTGACTCAGGTAGCAGACCCTTCTGGGGGATATCTGTGTGACTCAGGTAGCAGACCCTTCTGGGGGATATCTGTGTGACTCAGGTAGCAGACACTTCTGGGGGACATCTGCGTGACTCAGGTAGCAGACCCTTCTGGGGGACATTTGCGTGACTCAGGTAGCAGACACTTCTGGGGGACATCTGTGTGACTCAGATAGCAGACACTTCTGGGGGACATCTGTGTGACTCAGGTAGCAGACACTTCTGGGGGACATCTGTGTGACTCAGGTAGCAGACCCTTCTGGGGGACATCTGTGTGACTCAGGTAGCAGACACCTCTGGGGGACATCTGTGTGACTCAGGTAGCAGACACTTCAGGGGAACATCTATGTGACTCAGGTAGCAGACACTTCTGGGGGACATCTGTGTGACTGAGGTAGCAGACACCTCTGGGGGACATCTGTGTGACTCAGGTAGCAGACACTTCTGGGGGACATCTGTCTGACTCAGGTAGCAGACACTTCTGGGGGACATCTGAGTGACTTAGGTAGCAGACCCTTCTGGGGGACATCTGTGGCTTAGAAAGAGTAGTTTCATTAATCTCACATTTCCGGTACTGAGGCGGTGCAGATGGATCATTATGGTCTGAGGAGAATGGTGCCGCAACGAGTTACCAGGAGATCTAGCCGACGCTCAACACTCAGGGGAAGGATGAGATGGATATACAATCAGACGGTTATTGTCACTATTTTATTTGGAACTCTTCACTTGCTGCTGAAGATGGGGACAGAGCACTTATGGAAGTGTCCTGAGTGCTGTGATGTCTATTCATAATTCAACATTTAACATTCTGGTAATTTTCAGCTGTTGGCGATTAGGGTTGCAGACTGCTTTGATTTGCTTTCAACATCATTTTGAAATTCAACTGTTCAGAACACAGTGGACAAGTCAAATTGTCAAGTTAAAAAACACACATCTCTGTGTGGGTTCCAGGAGGAGAAGAGATTAGAAGAGCTCCCCAACAAGCATGTCATAAGAGGCAACTAATTGAAAGTTTGCTGAAATTGAATGTGTTGGGCCGAAAGGTGCAGAGATCGCAGCCTAGCTGTAAAACACAGCACAGTATGCCATACATCTTTTTTTATGAGCAACTCTTGAGAAGAAGAAGAAGAAAGATGTAATGAGGTTATTATTCAGCACTCGATGTGTTTAGCTATAAGGTCAAAGTGAGGACTGACTTCATTGCATCAGATTCCATCCCTTATGACTCAGTCTCTCTCCCCCGAATGTCTAGCTGCTCGCTTAGTGCATCGTACAAGAAAGGAGTGAAACGAGCCCATGTTAGTTGTAGGTTGATAAATTTCCATATGGTCAAACAAACCCCCCCCCCCCCCCCCCCCCCCCCCCCCCCCCACCCCACCCCCCCGACCCCCCCCCCCCCCCCCCCCCCCCCACACCTCCCACCCCTTTCCCCCTGTCGTTATCACTGCATTGCAAAGTGGCTATTGAGTGGAACAGGACTAGAGTAGAAGAAGAAGAGAGCAAGAGTTTAGCCACTAAGCTTCTGCAGCTCCAATGTCTAAACAACAAGGGGTAAATTTTAATCCTACAATCCATTCATCACAACACACGCACACACCACAACACACTCCACACACAAATGTTGAGGTTCGCTTCAACCTTCTGTAAAGGTTATGCAACTAATATTTTCAACAGACATTTCTGATGGGAAGCAGATGTGGTCATTTTTGTGCTGACCATATCATATGAGTATAATGCTGTATCCCTGATATACCATATTAATATGTATATGTTGCTTTACTCACTTTATCTGATCTTCTTTTTTTCAATAGGCCCGGCCCTTGAGGTTCTAAGCTTGAGGTATCACCTGCCTCTATCCGCACATGATCTCTCCACTGTCTTCTAGGTCTTCCTCATGGTCTACAGCCATTCAGCTCCATTGTGTACATACTTTTTACCTCTCTGTCATCTGACATTCTCTCAGGAAGCCCTAGCAGTTTCAGTATATTGCGTCTCATGTTGAAGGTGATGTGATTTAAATAGATTATGAATTTCTTTGTTGCTTCTCAGTCTCCATTTCCCCCTGTTTGGATTTTTAGTGGGTCAAAAGGTTCATCATAAGACTTTTCAGAAATGTTATATTTCATCTGATGCCAAATGATAATATAGACTGCTGGCATATAAGCCTGTTTCACACATATACAATGATATGTGGCAATGGAGTGTAAAGTTTCTAACTGACTCATGAAGAGAACAAAGAAAGAGACAATCTACATTCTTTGATCATGTGAGAAGAAGGAGAAAACTGGAGAACATAATGACAGTAGGAAAGTTGGAGGGGA